ACTATATGGCGTATGTCCGTCTCCATTAGCCCAGTCGGAGCAGAACATAGGACTTAAAGGGACTATCCCGATTAGAACAGAGTCTCCAAAAATTGAAGTCTGATTACGTATGAAATTTAAGCACCAAAATATATAGAATGGTGGATTGACCTTGTCTCAAAATTTCAGCTCAAAATATTGAGTCGTTTGGACGTGAACGTCAAAACTGCTTATCCGGACACGTAACCCTTTTAAGATTTCGGGTCAATTTTTTCGTTGGGTGACCTGATAATCGATTCCCGTTTCTTGAGAGGCCTATACAGTGAATGACCCATGTGCCGTACTTGATAACGGACGGTAATTATTTTTATAAAAAAAGGTCTGGTTTTATCCAGACATTGTATAATACAGTTTGAGACACCGGTCTCCATTTCCAGATGAAGACTGACGGATTTAAGTTGTTTGCAAACGTATCACAAATATTGAGTTACTTGCTCGGCCCATAGGTAGAGGGTTTTAAGGCATTTTAACACAAAATTAAGCAGATTTATTCTCCAAAACATTATCGGGATTGGCCCTTTAAATACAAGTTACGTCAGAAGTTTGTTTGATAAAGACCAGAAACCTCCCCTTTAAACGTCACCAGAAATAAACTTCTAAAGAACATGGATAACTTGTATGTCATGAGTTTTCGTCTTTCATCCACATGCATATATTGTGACCATTTACGGAACCCTTATGTGCTTAACTTATTACTCGATTGGTTACTATGGAAACCATTAAAAACTGGCAAAACACCTGGTTGTGAAGTAGTTATTGTCATGGAAACAAATTTCCAATGATCAAGAGAGGAAATAACAAATCGTTAAATTCTTACTGTCATCGGATTCCGGTACTCATCTTCTATTTAATTGCCATGGTAACCAGTGATGTATATCTGCATTCTTTATGATGAACTAACTATAGTATATCTATTTGTCTAAAACCAGAGAAGATCGTTCTGTCTCCAGGAGACAATTATTTATACATGGATATTCTTTGGATTTGGCTGTGATCTGCAGGAGACAATTTCAGAGTAAAATGTTCCAGAGTTAGAAGGTGTATAAGGGTAGGTAGAGAGAGAGAGAGGGTGGGTGGGAGAGAGAGAGAGAGAGAGGGGGGGGGGGCAATCTTGTATACTGTTTTGTGTTCTTGTTGGCAAATGAAAATGGGTTTTGACGTCCTACTTTTCTGCACCGACTCTAATATTGAATTCCAATTGCCAAGGCATGTTTTAAGTGCACGTCAATGTGTACCCCGGCCCTCGGTTTTTCGTCACCGGCGTGCCTTGTACATTGGCGTGCACGTAAAAAATCCCTATTGTTTAAGTGCTTTGACATAAAAACATATATCAAAACTATTATTGCTCCTGCACATATTTGATTCGGGTAGCCGTATAACACAACGCTAAAGCCCAAGAGAGTTTCAAAACAGTGCGCACGCCAGAGAGTTAAACCCTAGTAGGGCAGTGCTACAAAGACGTAGGGTCACCTGTCCAACCCTATGAGTTTTCTCTGCCCCCCCCCCCCCCACACACACACACAAGATCCCTACATCCAGGCGAATTATTGAAATGAAATTGAACTATCTAGTCTGAGTCGAGTGTATACTGGAATGACCTTTGTTATATTTCTGTCTGAAAGAAACTTATATAAAACCTGTGAGAAGACGTGTAGACATGCACAATGTATTATTGATTAATAATAACTGTTGTATTAATGGACATTAGAAATGGTTTCCTGTAAGAATATATCTATAGCTTAATTAATGCGTAGGATGGCTCTTTGCTTCTTCTTTTTTTAGTGAAGTAAATATACGATTACTTCTTTTTAGAGCGTGGTTCCCCCTTGTCAGTGGTGCAGGATGGGGGGACGTGACAAGGGCAGCTGTCTAGTCGTTCGGATAGTATGGAAACTAGGTCCCGTGTATATATATTGGCGTGCACGTAAAAGATCCCTTGCAGTTGGAATTCGATAAAAGAGTATGCCCTAGTGCCGCTGTCCGGGAAAAATTTGCCACATAGCACACTTTATGGTGGGCATATGCCCATCTTCATTAGCCCAGTAGGAGCAGAACAGTAGGACGTTAAACGCCATTTCATTTCATTAATCTTTGTCATCTTCTCAGGACACCAACCCTTGCCATCTTCTCGCGGCATCAACCCTCGAAATTTTCAGCATGGTTTTCCTTTGTCGACGGGGGACCTGCAAAAACCAGTGTCTAGTCTTTTGGATGGGTCAACGAATCGAGGTCTCGAGGTCCCGAGTACACGTTTGCGTTCGAGTAAAAGATCACTTTCATTTCGGTTCCATTTCATTTGGCAATTTGAACACCCCCATATCGATAAGTTTTATTATTATTTCAGACGGGTTACTGGTAATAACTAGACGCCATCATGTCTGATCTAAACGGTAAGTATAAATCATAGTTATTCTGAGTTCGATTAGGGAACGTCACAAATTTCAACACTTGCGACCAAAGATCTCGACCCAGCCGACCCGTCCGCGCTGACGGAGTAAAGTGTTGACCTACACAAATAACCAACATCAGGGCCTAAGTGAGAGGGACGCAATGACGAGCTTTGCGTCATGGTTTTGAGATTTTGCGCTCCTCCCAAATGGCAAAAAATCACATCATAATAATAATCATAATTCCCAACCAGTGTCAAACATATACCGTGGGTCAGATATGCTACAAATCGACTCTACCATGTTCTACACAGTCCAATATCACCCGGCGGCAATGGGCGGGCCCTCCATCCAACCCCTGCCTCCTTCGCACACACATATAAATATTGTTTTTTGGGGGCCCGGATGGGATTTTGTTCCTCATGCAAAATCATGGACACCACGCCTCTGGCCAACATTTATTTTATCATTTGCCTTTGGCGGCGTCGTTCAATCTATCGCCAGTTCCGCGGGATAGTTGTTTGGACGCAAGTATTGAAATTTTGCGACAGTCCCTCAGATTGAATAGCTCTCATTTGTTTTAAAGTTGCCGATGCAGCAAATAATAAAAATGTGCTCATACGAAAATTATATGCAGCAGTTCACTGGCTCTAAGTCAATGTTTGTAATTAAGTTTGAATAGGTGAGTTTTTAATCGAGATTTCAAGAAGTTACAAATGTAGTTCAACTGGGAGCAAATTCCATCTTTCAACAGCGTCAACAGGTTGCACGAATCCACTTTGGTATCACTAGCTGATCGAGATTTTTTGAACGCAAATGTTCGAACTATATCACCCTCGTGATTTCTCCTAAAATGGGCTTCACCACGCGACAATCGTCCAATCTTAATGGGAAATAACCGCTCTTTCTGGCTTAACCCTTTCGCCTGAATGATGTTGAATACGACATAAATTCGTATAGACATAGTTTTAATATTGCTTTTTTTTTTATTTATTTATTAAAGTAATATCTTCTGGTTTTTTATTTTTATCATTAATATTTTTTAGATTTATTTCGTCTCCATCCTCGTCTGAGTAAAAAACTAAGCAACGACGAACTGCGAGGAATAAAGAAATACGTAGACCAACAGGTATTTCATCAGAGCGGGAAAATAATAAGCCGTCTGCTTTATCTAGAAACGCAAGCAGACGTGAATAAAACACAGCACGAGAAAGATGTGGAAACGCTGTCGTCGGAAATAAAACAAGAAAGAACATTCTCTCAGGAATACAAACGTGAATTTACCAGTTTATCCAATATTCTCCATGCTAGAGATGCTCGCCATCAGCAACATCTGCAGAAATTAGAAGACGAACTCCGCAAAAAGACACTAGAATTGGAAGATAGAGACATTCGTTGTACGGAGTTAAAATCTACGATTCTTTCAAAAGATCGATTAATCGCTGAACATAAAGAAACAATAACAGAACTCGAAACGATGTGTTTAAAATTAGTCAAAGAGCGCGAAGATTCAAACGAAATTAATCGATTATCGAACGATATTTTGAAATTAAAATATTCGATGAGCAACAAAGACAGGGCTTTGAATAATTTACGTAAACAGTTGGACACTACACGGCCTACGCCCAATAAAATGGCGTGTGATGGGATTCATTGTTCGTCTGCTAAATATTTGCAAGAATGTAAAACACAGCTAATAGCCAAATGCGAAGAAACGGCCATTTTGAATTTTCAAATAGAAGAGGGTAAACGTAAATTAAAAGAACAGAAAAAATTATTGGATGGTCAGCACCTGTCAGCTACTTTAACATGAATAAATGAATGAACTGGGTTTTAACTTCCTATTTTTCTGCTCCAGCCTGACTTATGAAGACCACCTTTTAGATGAACTATATTATACAGTTCTTGAACAAACTTTATTGGTTGTGATTTAGTCTCTTTAGTTTTCAATTTACTGGAATACAATTACTGTTATTACTGAGCGACCACGTTTCGACTAGGCTTCTCTAGTCATTATCAAGCAATGATAAAATATGTATACATGTACACAACAATACTTAGTCAATGCTGACCAACCAGAGATACCTTTTAATTACATGTACCTAAAGAAGACCCTCGTTTTTTGTCCCATTCGAACGACTAGACAACTGCACCACTGACAAGGGGAAATCCCCTCGGAAAATCACATTGAACTTTCTCAGCCAATGCAGGGATCGAACACGCGACCTCCAGGCTAGCGAGCCAGCGTCTTACCCACTTAACCACCCTGGCTCCTAATGGAGACGGACATATGCCAAACAGTATGTTTGTGCTACAAGGGAAAGTTTGTATTTACATCGGCTCTTACAGCCTAATCTTATTTTAGATTCCTACTGTCACGTATTCTTTTACGTTCACGTCAATGTGTACATGGGACATTGTTTTTTCATCCCTTCCAACTGACTAGACCCTTGCCGTGGAGTTTTCTAGACTAATACCAGGATCGAACCATCCTTCTGGTTAGTGAGCCAGCATCTTACTATTTCGAGGCCTGAATGTGTCGTGGAGTTTTCCTATGTACAAATAGAAATAAAGTTATAAATCCTACAATCTTTATTATCACAGTATAAAATTTACATCTTTATCTTATATTCATCTGTGTCAGGAATGTTTAGATGGTTTGGGTCGTAGTTCTGATAGTCCATGAGCATATTTACAATTGTCTGGTAACCGTGGACAACCATCTGGATGATTATCATGGAACCAACACAGCATTGTTTTAAAATATTCCTCAGGGTTGATTTTATTTGTTTTATTTTTTTGTTTTGGCTTCGTTCCCCACGGATGATCGCTGGATAAATCTCGTAATCTAACAACTCCACCAGTTACTGAAATGAAATGAAATGAAATGAAATGTGTTTTAACGTCCTACTGTTCTGCTCCTATACTGGGCTAATGACGGGCATACGCCATGCAGTGTGCTATGAGGGAAATTTTGCCTGGGCAGCTCCCTACTCTTATATCGAATTCCAACTGGCAAGGGATCTTTTACGTGCAGGCCAATATGTACACGGGACCTCGGTTTTTCGTCCCATCTGAACAAATAGACAGCTCTGTCCTGCACCACGGACAAGGGGAAACCATGTCGGAAAATCTCGATGAACTTTCTTGCCCAATGCAGGGATCCAACACGTGACCTCCAGGCTAGCGAGCCAGCATCTTACCCACTTAGCCACTGTGGCTCCCCACACCCACTAGTTACTGAAAGATACAAAAGAACAATGAAACTGATGTTCCAACATAGATCCCAAAATAAATAGATAACACTCTTTAAAGATGTATTATGTAAGGTTTAGATAAAAACCTGGCCGTTCAAAAACAGAATATTTTTTTGTATGGCTTAATGAAAAAAGAAAAAAAAAATTCCCAGACAAATTTCCCCCATAGTGCACTGGATGGTAGTCTTCATTAGCCCATTTTGTTTTCATTGGAACCATACACTGTAACCCAGGTATCATTTAATTTTGTGTATCTAGCACTAATTTCTTTCACAATGGTTTAATATCTAAACTATATACACAAGATTAAATGATACCCGGGTTACAGTGATACGTCAATAATTGCAATGATTCTTTTTCAGAGCATGATTATATAAAGCTGGCTTGATAGTTAATATGTAACAAGAGAAATTGGTTAGATAGGCGACTCTACTTGAAATAGTAAATATTCAACAAACCTTGAAAGATGTGATTATGATTCCGTAATAAAGTTTGTAAACCGCCACATTCAGATTTTAATTCTTGAAGAGTTTCACCAGAAAATAAATCAGCTACTGAAGCCAGTGGTAAACTACCTGAAAAAATACCCAACAAAACATTTAATATTGTGATAATATTACCAAACACTGGTAAGAAAAAGCTGTGGAAAATCCCATTTTTATCCACTTTGATTTTATCAAGTGTAAAAGTTCCTGGCAAGGAAAGTTTCTAGTTATTCAGATGGGACAATAAAACGAGGTCCAGTGTACACAGTGGTATGCAGAATTTACGTAAAAGAACTCTAGACATATACAATTCAAAATAAGAGTATGGCCGTAGCAAAATGTCCCTCATATATAGCACACTGTATGGCTTATGACCGTCTTCATTAGCCCAGTCGGTGCAGAACAATAAGACGGTAAACACCCATTTCATTTTATTTCAATTATAAAAGGTTTTAAATTCTTGTATAGAATAATGGTCTAACCTCCTCTATTCCACACTGTTTCATGTTTCGTTGTTACTTTATCATCACCACAAGATAAAATCTTCTCAAAAACAACATGTACTATTTTCTCTTTCGTTTCCTTAGAAACACTTTGACAGTTCCTGGCAATTTCTTTATTAGATCTCGGTTGAAATTTCTCAGTCCATTTATTGGAGTCTGTTACTGCACTATCTGCAATTTTCCTTTTTTTATTACTACTAGTATCACATTCTTCAACAGTGGTAGGGTTATCGCCCTTGTCACAAGGTTTATCAGAATTATCTCCCTTAGAGCACCTGTTATCTATAAACAATGTTCTTTGTTCATCTATAGAAAGTTCATCTGTGATATCATAACTTCTAGTTCGACCAATAAAACACACCTGAAAAATAAAAACGGGAAATATTACAGCCACTGATCATCATTACAATATATATATATTCAATATTGTGGAGAGTTACTAATAGGACCACACTACACGCAAAACAAAACTGACAAGATAAAACTGCGGACAAGACAGAATACATAGATATTGCAAGAAATAACCAACAAATATCAAATCAAGTGAACGTATCCGGGAACCAGCCATAAGTGTCCACTGCACTGTACAATCCTAGGCCTTTAAATATGCAGGCTTCACTCAAAATGAGAGAGGCAGAGAGAGAGAGAAAAACAGGGTTTAACTTCCACTCTACACGAACAAGCTCAATTTTGGACTTTTATTTAAAAGATTTGATTACGTGTAGGGGTCTATAGAGCAGTGGGAGGAAACCGAGGAGGTTGGACAGGCAATATCACTCTTTGTCGCGTACAAGTGAGGAATTGAAAGCACGGCACTTGACTAAATGACAGACCTTATGATCTAAATCTCATAGATTAAATCATTCAGGTTTGCAGGAAGTTTATTTAACATCATCTTACTCGTTTCGTTGAAGGAATACGCAGAGTATCTTCCTCAACATTAAATCCACAGACTCCGCCCACTTTCTTTACAAACTGTAAATATGTCTGATACTGACTCTCACCGACACCCCGTTCATTAAACTTAGAGTCAAAATCATGGTGACAGCACGGTAATACAAAATAACAGCAGTTATACGATGATCTGAAAATATTCAAATAATAATCTGTTTACATGATCAAATATATAAAACATAATCATTTCACAGAGATAGAGTAATTGGGTTTAATGTCCACTTGACACAAACCAAAAACATGAATCAATTGTTCATAGGAATCTTTGTGAAAGGAAACCAGAGGTTAGTGGAGTAGAACAGAACGATACCACTGGGGATACCAAGAATGTGTGGATGCTCAAGAAAGAGAGAGATGGGTTTAACCTCCACTTGACACAAACTAGGTCATTTCGGGACTAAAATATGGTTCAATTTTATTCCAATAATTTGCTTGTGCATAGGAAACCTGAGCACCCGGAGAAAACCCAGGCGACCCTACTCCTTGCCACATACAAGGGGGGAATCGAAACCATGCTACTTGACTCCATGACAGACCTTTTGATCCAACATGTTAACCATTCAGTCACCCAAACCCCCGACCTCATTAAACACAATGAATATATTTCATCTGTCATGGTTGGTTGGAGATATTATCAATCTAGTATTATTCCCTATGTGTTTCGAATATATACAAAGATACTTTTATTCACCAACAACCAGTAAAAATGTTTCAGGATAACAGGATAATAACATACCTAGCTGTCATTACTGGTATCCATGGAGTTAATTCATCACTATGGTTACCAATCAACCAATCGTATTGAGGAAATAGGGTCTCACCAGATGGAGTAATAGCTTCTTCCTAATTTAATACATCCAAAAAAACAAAGGTTATAAAACTTTGACAAAGGACACAATTCAGTATTCCATATAACTGGTCTTTGTTTTGTTGATTTACGAATTTTTTAGGAATAAATGAAATGAAATGGGGTTTAACATCCTACTGTTCTACTCCGACTAGACTAATGAAGACGGGCATACGCTATACAGTGTGGTATGAGGGAAATTTTGCCCGGAAAGCAGCGCTACGGCCTACTCTTATATTGAATTCAAACTGCCAAGGGATCTTTTATGTGCACGCCACTGTGTACACCGAACCTTGTTTTTCGTCTTATCTGAACGACTAGACAGCTGTCCTTGTCAGGCCTTCCGTTTTCAGGAATAAGTTTAACTCAGTGAGCCACTGTGGCTGTTATTAAATAACTGTGGCTGTTAATTATTAGTATATAACTGACCTTCAATTCAACCCCAGATCCATACCAATCCCAGATGTTTCGTTTTCTCAAATCTAATCCTACACCATGATGCTAAAATAGATGTATTTTTACATAAGGCCTCAAGTTGTTTACAATTTAAAAACTTAAAGATACATTATGTAAGATTTAGATAAACTAGAGCTGGCAGTTCTTACTATAATAGTTCAAAAATAGATAATGTAATTTGAATATGTTGAAAATTTCATTCAAATTATTTTATTCTGAGCCAAGTTATCACAGTTTGTAGTTTTAACAAGATGTGTGTATTGATTGCTTATTATCGTAACCATGGTACCGGTATGTTCGATGCTTAGATAAATACTTAAATTAAATCATTAAATGGCCAAACCGTTCGAATCTAGATAAAATCTCAAGTATCTGATGGCATCAAGAGTTGATTATGGTCTTGTTTTGTTAACAAATGGCTAATTAATAGTTTATATAACATTTCAGGCCTAAACAAAGACCTGCAATAGGAAAATTTAGCTCTTGAATAATGTGTCATTAAAAATTTAAATAAAACAAATACCTGTTTTGTATTTTTATACACAATATTTGATGAAATTGAAGTTTTAGTATTTGATGAACAGAATGTAAAAGTTAAAGTGAGAGTAATTATAAGATATATAAAATCTCACCCCTTCAGCTGATAAAATATACACCAATAAACCATTACCACATCCCAGATCAACAAATGATTGTTTCTCTTTTATACCCTTTAATTCTCTGTCTTCTTTCCATACTAACTAGAAATATATAACACAAAATATATAATACAACATACATGTATATAATACACGATATACAATACAAAAGATATATAATACAAAATATATCATACATGATATATAATACAAATTATATCATACAAAATATATCATACAAATTATATAATACAAAATAAAGATATATTGCCAGGCAACAAAACATAAGCCCACAGCAGCTAAGTCGCCCGAGCAGACATTTCTTTTGTTATTAATGAAAACATTCACAAGACACTAAAATCTGATTAGGGGTATCAACCTGTTAAGTAATTATCCGAAATGAAAACATTTACAACATACTAAAATCTTATTACGGGTAACAACCCATTAACTAATTATCAGAAGTCATTAGAATTTGTTTTGATTGTTTGTCTCATGAGCTTAAACACTGTGTATAAATGTATATTAACTCTAGCCTCTAGAACGTACTCTGGCAATAATTATCGGAAATCAGATATCAACTTTAGCTTTTAAAGGATCCACAAGACAGGCAAAGGTGGACCGACAGACGACAGTATATGACCACATTTTGTATAAAAATAATGTGTTGTCTAAAACTTAAAAATTTGAAACTAAAAGTTTTTGAACAGAACCACCAAGTACTTTGTGTTTTTAAGTCTTTTTCCTGAAGAAATAACCAGGATAATCACAGGTGTTTTCAAAGAACAGAAAATAAAAATTTGTGTGGCCTTTAAACAACTTACACAGGTACATGTACATACCAATAAATATGTTGCTATGGCGATATCTTCATAAACAAATTTCTGTGGATCTGTTCGCTCAGGCCAGACCTGAAAAAACATTGAAAACAAACATTGGAACTGAAATGAAATGAAATGAGGTTTAATGTCCTAATGTTCTGCTCCGACTAGGCTAATGAAGACAGGCATATGCAATACAGTGTACTATGTGGGAACTTTTGCCTGGACAGCCTACTGTTATATCGAATTACAACTCTGTCTGGCACCACTGACAAGGGGAAACCACTCCGCAATAATTCAACAAATCTTTCAACACTGAAGTTTGTGGGGGAGTGGGTTGCTGAATGGTTTAACACAGGCGATTTAGATGAAAAAGTCTGACAATGAGTCAAATAAAGTGACAAGGAATTACGTCGCCTGTTCAACCTCGTGGGTTTTCTCCTGGACCTCTTGGTTTCCTCCCACTGCTAAAAACCCCTCCGCGCAAGCGAATTATTAAAATACAATTGAATGACAGATCAGTCCCAAATTGACCTAGTGAATGTTAAACCTCATTTCATTCCAAAGTTTTGCCTTGAATCCAAATGTTGATGAAACTAACCTCGACAAGTTTGAGTCCATATTTCTGTTTTAAATGGTTGTATAGTTTATTGTATTCATCCACCTGCACGAGACGTAAAGACGTTTGACCTGTTCGTAGTTTATCTTCCTCCGCCCATCGAGAAATCTTCACCAATAAAATCTCTTCTAACCACATTAAAGTCACATGACCATCTTCTCGACCACTTCTTCTTTCCACATCAAGATAGATTTTACTAAATAAAAAATAGAGAAAAGAACCCAAATTAATGATCTACATGTACAAGAAAACTTCATTCATAAAAGAGAAATGTTTTATCACAAAGTTTTATGTACAGTAAACTTCTGTTGAAAACATCTTTTCGTGTCCTGTGAAGGCTCCACATTTTCTACTTTATTCTGTGCTTTTAAATAAAATAGAAATGTATCATTTTTGTAATATACATGTTTTGAAGTTTTGCAAAATTGGTACAACTTTTCTTGGAGAGAAAGCAGTTACAAGGTATATGACATTAGGTAACTGAGTTATCATCTATCTGTTGTGTCGAGTTTTAAACTCATTTCCCAATGTCATCAATCAAATGAAATACCTGTAGGTAGATAAAGTACAATCACTAGTTTAGCATGGATGTTTATCAGGTGTGCTTATATTCATAGATTGATCTGTCCTGTCTTTACTTGAAATATGGCAGGCTGATTTACCCAATACTACCTAAATACTACCTAGCTCATTATTGTGAAAACCCCCCAGAATAGTTGATCGTTCAAATCATACCAGTATCGGCAATATCAACTTGACGACCATGATGGATAACTTTAAGAAGGCGGTGCTAATTATGTACTGTTATTATATTACTTACCTGTTGTCTTTGCCCTGTTGAAAAGAAAAACAATAATTCATCTCATCATCGATGTTTGTCTCAATTCGTTCTTCACCATTTTCCACATTTATTCTACAAATTGGTGTAAATGTCACTTTCTTGTTGACATGGTCTAAAATATAAAAAAATATTTAATATTGATAGGCCATACATGTACATCTCCTTAAAATAAATAATTAGCATAGGGACTTTACCCTCCTTTCATTGTTTATTACTTGCAATGTCCGTGTAATCTGTCCACAGGTTTCTTTTCGTAGATGTACAGTCTTTGCTTCACCTGTTCTTACTATATGTATAGAGAGAGAAATGGGGTTTAATGTCCACTTGACACAAACTAGGTCATTTCGGGACTAACATAAGGAACAATTTTATTTCAATAATTCGCTTGCGCATAGGGGGTTTTAGCAGTGGGAGGAAACCAGAGGACCTGGAGAAAACCCAGGATGTTGGACAGGTGACCCTATTCCTTGTCATGTACAACCAAGGAATGGAAACCATGCCAGCTGACTCAATGAAAGACCTTATGATACAACGCGCACACGCTACAAATATTGTAATAGGAGATACCAGACCAGTAGGCTATCGAGTACCGTACATCAAACAAATCTAATGTACCGTATTATTTCTACGATATTCTCAACTCACCATATTGTACTATTTCTCTAAGAGTTGGATATTTATCAATTTGTTTCGGTATCAAATCTCGAACGATAATACAATTCTGGCTATTATTTTTATTCAGATCTACATCGCCAACACAATCATTAAATGGGTTTGTCTCCCTTTTACTAGTGAACCGTAAAATAAATTTCTGTCCAACTTTATTCAGATTTCCTTGTACTTCATCATTTGTTGCTTCATAAATAATTTTACCACCAACCAATCGTCTATTTACCACGTGTGGTTTGTTGATGAAAACACTCAGTGAGTCCAGAAATCCAGACAATGAACCACGAGTTGAAATTTCTTTTCTTGAAGCAGATTTTGTGATCTCAAGTTCGTCCATAGTTTCATAGACCTACCCTATCAACAGACATAAAAACTATAATTTTGTGTTGCAATTGTTTACATCATGGGGGCTGACATTTTAACTTTGCATTCTGGGATATTAAGTTGTATATAAGTATTAAAATAGGACTCAGACCAGGCAAAAACAAATTCTGCAAACTCACTTTCTGTTCTTTACACTGAAGTTGTCTAGAATGGATTCAGATTCATTAAGTTTCTAATGTTTGTACAAATAAAACATTCCAAACAAATCTTTCAAAAACTGATAGGTTTTAGATCTCTTAATCTTGTCTGATCCAAAATCTAATAGTAGATAGAACATTGACAAAAATTCCAGCGGGTTGTTCGAGTATAAACAGTTTGTTAGAAATGGGGCCATATCACAACACACTCACTTAAAATAGAATTTATTATTTAGCAGATGAAGACACAAACCCACATTCCAACCATAGCGGCATTTTAGTTAAGGTGCTGTTTTTTTATGGTACTAGTCACAAGTACTAGTAGTAGTGACATACAATAGTCTATAATAAGAATAAAACTAAAAATGAAATGGGTTTTAACATTCTACGGACAATGTTCTGCTCCTGACTGGGCTAATGCAGTGTGCGATTAGGGAAATTATATCAAATTCCAATAAGGCATCTTTTTTATGTGCGTGTAAATGGGTACATGGAATCTCGGTTTTTCGTGCAATCCGAACGACTATGCATTGTCCCTTGTGAGGCCCTCTACTCTGTCCTGCATCACTGCACAAAACATTAGGGACCCAACCCTGCTAATTTTTTTGACTAGACCTGGTGCATGTAAATATTGACTACTAGAGTTTCCTGAAACAATTATAGAGGAATATGATGTTCTTTACGTTGAGTTATATTTATACATTTATACTTCAATTTTAAAACTAACAATCCCTAAACAGCCTCAGAAAGATCTAGTAGGCCTACATGTATACCGGTATAGCAGCAGTCTTTATAATAAGGTCTGTCATTGATTCAAGTGACATAGTTTCAATTCCCAGTCTGAAAAGGTGCAGGGTCGCCTGTCCAACCTGGGGGGGGGGGGGGATTTCTCTGGTTTCCTCCCACTGCTGAAGACTCCTACACACAAGCGAAGTATTAAAATAAAATTGAACCATTATGTTAGTCCCGAATGACAACATTTGTGTTGAGTTGCTAATTAGGGGTTTAGAATAAAAAAAACCCCGCTAAACTTGCCAATATTTGATTCATCTGGTTTTGTTTTGCAGATTTAATCCTCAGCAAATTCAGAACACTTAAATTATGATCAAGACTACAATCGAGAGAAAGACTTGAACATCAAGATGTGTTTACCGGCTTGTTGTTGTGTTGTTGAGTTTTTACCGTTTATATGTTTAGTGACGATTCCGTTGTATGGATCATTTTGTGGTGTTGATGTTATTTTACGTTTATCTATTCTATTATTGGTTCATTCGATTCTCATCAACTACATTCCTAAACAATGGGTAATATATTCTGTTATTGACATTTTACCATCTAAACAATGGGCAATATATTCTATTATTGATATTTTATCATCAAAACAATGGGTAATATGTTCTGTTATTGACATTTTACCATATAAACAAGGGGGGTGGAACGGCCGAATGGTTAGCGCGTGCGCGTTGAATCATAAGGTCTGTCATTGAGTCAAGTGGCGTGGTTTTGATTCCCTGCTTGTATGTGGCAAGGAGAAGGGTCGCCTGTCTAACCTCATAGGTTTTCTCTGGGTCCTTCGGTTTCCTCCCACTGCTATAGACCCCTTCGCGCATGTGAATTATTAATAAAAATAAAATTGAACCTTGTGTTAGTCCCGAAATGACCTATTTTGTGTCAAGTGGACGTTAAACCAAAGGAGTCACAGTGGCTCGCTTACCTTGAGATCTCAGGTTCGCTCTCGGTGTTGGTCTAGACAGTTCCTCAGGATTTTCTATCATGGTTTATCTTTTGTCAAGCAAGATTTAGGGACTGACATGGATAATGTCTAAATTGTTTGGATGGGATGGAAAAATCAAGGTTCTGTCCTTGTTAAATGATCATCAATATGAACTGCATGTCACCATGCTAGTTTTAGAATACATGTGGATGTGTTTACCTTTATAACACGATCGTAAGGCCTAATACATTTACATACGAAACATGCAAAAATAGACTGTTTTCTTTCGGAGGGGTAGTAATTGATGACATTTTCCCCTAAAATTGACTTGTGCTCGTCAAGTGTTTATAACGCCAGGAACTTTTCTGACAAATGCAATTTTCATCATGTAGTTAATCACGTGACCAATGATCTCTAGGTTATTGCAAATCTGATAATTAATTTATGTTTGATGTATTTTTCAGGTATCTATTGTTCCATACAGTCAAATATTATTACTGGTTGTTCTAGCCTATCTACCTATAAACATAGCACCATGGCCGGTAGTCTGGATCTATCGGGTCATATTACATGTTACAGAACCAGTGTTATTGTGGTTAGAGATAATTCTGGTACAGAACTATATTATGAGATGTAGTCAGAGAGTTATAGATGAATGGGACAGTGATGAACCAGCTACAAGGGTATATATAATACATATTTATCTTCGCCTGTCCAACCTCTCTCTCTCTCTCTCTCTCTCTCTCTCTCTCTCTCTCTCTCTCTCTCTCTCTCTCTCTCTCTCTCCCCCCTCCCTCTCTCTCACACATATTTATTTGAATATTTGGGAGAGCCGTGGTGGCTTAGTGAGTAAGACGTTACTTCGCTAATCTGGAGGTCCTGTGTTTGAGAAAGTTCATCAGGATTTTCCAGATTGTTCCCCTTGGCCCATCACCATAGCAGACACAAATAACCTTTGTTTGACACTACGCAATCTCGTGTCACCTGGGTTGATGCAGAACAATAAGACGTTAAAACCCATTTCATTTCTGTGTCCCTCGATTGCAATTCCATCAATTCTTAAAATTCAGGACTGAGATAACAGGGAGCCACGGTGGCTAAGTGGGTTAGATGCTGGCTCACTAGCCTGGAGGTTGCGTGTTTGATCCCTACATTGGCCGAGAAAGTTCTGAGGCAAAATTTCCTCCCTCATAGCACACTGTATGGCGTATGCCTGTCTTCATTAGCCCAGTAGGAGCAGAACTGAAGGACGTTAAACCCCATTTCATTTCTGAGATAACAGTCGAGCACAGCACCTTCACATAAAGGGAGATAATCGGTGTACTGATTTTGTGCATCACTGCATATTTCTGCCCATTCCGTACTAGATGTTTATTTGACATATAAATTGTATTTTTTGTGTTTCAACTGTTTGTAGGTTTTGTTAATTGGTTTTTCATCTGTTTGTTATTTTTCATCTGTTTGTAGGTTTTGTTAATTGGTTTTTCATCTGTTTGTTATTTTTCATCTGTTTGTAGGTTTTGTTAATTGGTTTTTCATCTGTTTGTAGGCTTTGTTAATTGGTTTTTCATCAGTTTGTTATGGTATAACGGCAGCATTTGGTTGGTCGATCTACACTGAATCTTCTAGTATACACATCTGGTATGATTTTATTGTCTTATATTTACTGGGGTAACTGGGACAGTATTTGATGGTAGGGTGCCCAACACAGTCAAAAGTTGCACTTTTGAAAATTGAACTTACTTCTGCTAATGGTCAAAGCTAAGTGGAAGCTTGTTATATATATGGGGAGTTGGATGGCCAAATGGTTAGCGTGTGCGATTGTATCATACGGTCTATCATTGATTCAACTGGCGCGGTTTCGATTCCCCGGTTGTACGTGGCAAAGGAGTAGGGTAGCCTGTCCAACCTCTTCGGTTTTCTCCAGGTCTTTAGCAGTGGGAGGAAACTCAATCGTTAGGCCATGTAACTGTCCAGGCAAGATTAACTATAAGTTTGTCTCAAAATGAACCCCACTTATTCCTTAAAATAAAATAAACAAAAAGACGATTATAAAGGATCAGGCTCAGGTTAAGCTTGTATTGTGCTGGTGCATCAACAGTGAAAAGGGGGTATATTCTGTTCATTGTCCATCACACTTACACAAATACAGTATGGTAGATGTAGATAGATAGATTTAGCACAATCATATACATTATAATGAATAAAATCATAAAATTGTGAATATATATATTTTTTGTAAACGATTTGAGGACCTCTTTAATATTATAGCACCTGGCTACTTCAGCCCAGTCAGCCTCCCCCTCCCCCCACCCATTTCAATTCAGTCCTGTAAAGGATGAGTTGGGATATGAATTTATTCAATTTAATATGATGTTGTCGTTTATTTCAGGTGTTTATTGTTTGTTATAATTATATTCATCATGATACATAATATGATGGTGATAGCTCCACAAGGTAAATTGTAATGTAGATGATTTATAATTGTGATGTTTGTAGTTAATCATTTAACCTGAATCTAATATACTGGCCGACACGTCAATAAATATAACACAGTCAGGTTCCATATTGAATCCTGCATTAAACTGACACCAGCTGTAGCGCCTCAAAGAACTAGTAGTTGGTCCTATTATACTGACTACTATTCACATAGGCGCTCAATGATACAGTAGTTTTGGTCTGTCCAAAGATGGGGGGTTGGATGCCGAATGGTTAGCGCATGTGCGTTGTATCATAAGGTCTGTCATTGAGTCAACTGGTGTGGTTTCGATTCCCCGGTTGTACGTGACAAGGAGTAGAGTCGCCTGCTCGACCTCGTCCTCCGGTTTTCTCCCATTTGCTTAAGACCCCTATGAGCAAGCGAATAATTGAAATAAAATTGAACCTTGTGTTAGTCCCAAAATGACCTAGTTTGTGTGGAGTGGACTTAAACCCCATTTCTCTCAACGAAAAAACATGTGGGCAGTGAATTTAATAAGGCTTCGATACTTGTGATAAATGGATAGCGATTAAAGACAACATGGTCTTGTATATGCAATGAATTCTGGTCCGACTTCGCACTTGTTGCTAGGTCGTGCATCAGCGAAGTGACGTGACACAAACATGACTTCTTTTAATAGACTTTTTATAGCAGAGGTACTCCCTTGTGAAAACAGTGTTTTGAGAAAGATTTGAAGCAAAATTTTAATAGATTAATTAGTTTGAATATGTTTTTAGTCCAACCAAATACATAATCAAATCACACAGTTTAGACGTTTGTACACCGGAAGGTATCTTTAAACTGCCATGTATATTTCAGGTATATTAAGTGATGCAGCTTTCTGTGGATTATGTTCTGTGTTTGTTTTATATGCTATGATTCAAGAAACTAATATAATACAAAACCCTACATCAACACCGCCATCTTGGAACAGGTAGAGTAATCTTATATAATACAAAATCTTACATCAACTCCACATCAATACAAAACCTTGCATCAACACCGCCATCTTGGAACAGGTAGAGTAATCTTATATAATACAAACTCTACATCAACTCCATCTTGGAAAAGAAGTTGTCAGAGGATAATCCAACGAGTAACGACTAATTAAATGGATTCTCCCCCAGCCAAGTCATGTGACAAACAAGATTGCTTAAAATAGATGAGGGGACTTTCTTTCCGATTAAAATGTTATGAGTGGAATTTGAAGAAGACTTTTGATGGATAAATTAATTGGAATATGTTTTTAGTCCCAATATCTCATCAGATCACAGATTGTGCGGGGAAAGACACCTTTCAATTCATTTCTGATAATTTTATTTCAGGGTTGAAAAATCTTCTTTTGTGCAGATTCTACTTTATATTTTGAGATTAAAGATGGGTGAGTTAACAAAAGATTTTTGTCTGCTACTGTAACTTTTTTATTTATAATTTGGAAGATGTTATTTAACCGTATGTTTATTCCACACTAAATTTTATATTATTTACATCAGGGGACCCGTGGTAGGGTTGCCGAATTTTAAAATTGTGTGGTTTAGATCAAAAGGTCTGTCAATGAGTCAGGTGGTGTGGTTTCAATTCCCTGTTTGTATGTGACAAGGAGTAGGGTCATCTGTCCAACCCTCGTGGGTTTTGTCCAGGACATCCAGCTTCCTCCCACTGACAAAAACCTGTACATGCAAGTAAATTGTTGACATGAAATTGAAGCATATGTTAGTCCTATCACGATCTAGTTTATCTCTGTCGATATAATTTAATATTTTATTTAATTTGTACAGTTTATATGAATATTTTTGTGAATGATGCACATTGTATTACAATTATGATAATACAAATGTGTACTATTTGTTTTCCTTCAGAATATGCTGTAGAAGCTATACAGTTATTATCCAAGTTTTTGACTCCATTTTTTCTGATCACCATGGCAATACGACTATATAGTATATTATTTATCATGGATAAAGTCAGTGTAAATATTTTACAGGATGAGGAGGAAGAGGTAAAATAATAACAGCTTTTATTTCTTGATTAAAGCAGATGATCGTCAGTTTTCAGACAATATCAGATTTTTCACCGCTAAAATTTACTCAAATTGATTATTGAACATTTGGGGTTTTGGATGGCCAAATGGTTTGCATGCACGCGCTGTATCATAAGGCCTGTCATTGAGTCAACTGGCATGGTTTCGAATCCCCGGTTGTACGTGGCAAGGAGTAGGGTCGCCTGTCCAATCTCGTGGGTTTTCTCCGAGTCCTCCGGTTTCCTCCCACTACTAAAGACCCCCTACGCGCAAGCGAATTATGGAAATAAAATTAAACCATATGTTAGTCCTGAAATGACCTAGTCTGTGTCCAGTGGACGTAAAACCCCATTTCTCTCTCTCTTTATTGACCATTTAACTAAGAAAGCAAACCTAAGATCTTCCGGCCTTGATTCAATTTACGCAAGACTTACATGTATCAGTGGTGCTGGCTTCTTTATATTGTCTGGCAGAGCAGTAGGACATTAAATGAAATGAAATGAAATGGGGTTTAACGTCCTACTGTTCTGCTCCTATGCTGGGCTAATGAAGACGGGCATACGCCATACAGTGTGCTATGAGGGAAATTTTGCCCGGGCAGCGGCACTATCGCCTACTCTTATATCTTAATCCATCTGCCAAGGAATCTTTTACATCCATTCCAATGTATACACGGGACCTCGGTTTTTCATCCATCCGAAGGACTAGACAGCTGTCCTTGTCAGGCCCTCCGTCCTGCATCACTGACAAGGGGGAACCACACAGTAGGACGTTAAACCCCATTTCATTTCATTTATATTGTCAGCACATGATGCCTAATCTTGCAACATTTTCACTTCATTTAATTTAATGAAAATCTCAATATGAAAAGAGACAGTTCCTGTATTGATGGTGTGGGTTATGTTGACGGTAGGGAGCCTCGGTGGCTCAGTAAGTAGGACACTGACTTGCTAACAAACAGGTCTCATGTTCCCTCCCGGTGTTGGCCGGGAAAGTTCCTCTGGAGTTGGGGGGGGGTTCCCCTTCTACGGATAGGGTGAATTTGAATTGTATTTGAAAATAGAATAACAATTCTACTAAAGGGAGAAGTTTGTCTTTGGAAATAGAATAACAATTCTGCATAAGGGAGAAGTTTGTATTTGGAAATAGAATAACAATTCTACGAACGGAAGAAGTTTGTAATTCGGAATAGAATAACAATTGTCATTGTGAATCTTGTTCAACATTTATTTTATTTTATTTTTTCAGGAGTCATCATTAATATCAGAAGACGAACTGTTATATGATATATCATCATGGCGATCACCATTACTGGTGAAATTAGCTGTTATATTTATGTTTACGCAACTCAGTGTTCTATTTTTACTGGAAATCAGTGGACAGAGGCAAATTGATACAAAATGGCTGCCATGGTTAAACCAAATATGGCCAACACAGATATTATTTGGACGTGTATCCCAACTTTTTGCAGTTAATGGATTTTATATGTGGAGACTTTTTTGTGCAGATGATTGGACATGGTCTGAATGGTTATAAGATTCTCATGTGAAGATAAACTAGAATCTCATTGGTTGTTTTATATCATGTGATGTGAGAGATGAATTTGAATGGCTGTAAATACTACTATTAAGGCCAAAATATGAAATAACTGTGTTTATGTCTTACGGTTACCCGACCATAATCACAGACCCTAAACTCTTTTCTCTCATTTCCCAGGCCCTATAACTTGGTCGAGACATTTTGGTATTAACTTCACGAGCCTTACGCAGTAATTAAGCTAGAAATGCTAGGAAATAGAAAATAACAGCGCCACAAGAAAAAAAAATGATAATAAAAACAAATAGGAAGATTTTCCTGTTTTTTGGGAGGACATAATAATACTACTATAATAATATGCTTTTTTATGGTGCTTTAGTTTATAGTAGCTGATTTAAAATGGGAATTAGTGCTTTCGAACATATTTTGATAGAAGTTTGATTTGACATTAGGCCACAAATATTAACGGATTGTCTTGAAACTTTACACACATATTCCTGGTACACTAAGGATGATGCCTTTTGTTTTTGGTGCATTCCAGACACCCAGGGGCAGAGCCATTTCCAATTTTTGTGTGTACCACCTGAAGACTACAATTCTTGATGGGTCATCTTAGAGACTTTATTTATTACCGTAACAACGGTAGTAATGACGATCGAGGCTAGCCTAAAATAGAATCACTCATATCTCGGTTCAGAGTGAAGCAATTTGACTGAAATTTTCAGGATGTTCTGTTTTCATTATCTATTTTTTAACTATTAAAGAGACAACTACTGGCAGCTCTATAGCTAATCTTACCTAATGCCCCTACTTCTTCAAAGGGAGAATGGCACCTACTGATGTAAATACATGCCTGATCCACAAGGGCAATGTCACGCCCACTTTGTTTTGGAATAGTTTATCTGTAAACACATTTCAGACTGTAATTCTTATGAGATTTTGTTCAGATTAGACATGATCATTCATTTCAACTACAGGTTGCAATAGTACCTATTGATTTTTGTGTATGTCTGTAAGTAAACATGCTACAGGTTGTAATTTTTAACAGGATGGAGCCTATTGATTTTGGTAAAGCCATTTCATATTTTATTTTCGTCATTTTAAAAACTACCATTTCGACCAAAGCAGGAATGTGTGAACTTCTCATGCAGTGTTTCAATTTTTGACAGGATGGAACCTATTGATTTTGGTACAATTCCAGTGTTGGCCAAGAAAGTTAATTGTGATTTTCCGACATGGTCTCCCCTTGTCAGTGGTGCTGGACAGAGGGCCTGTTATAAGGACAGCTGACTAGTCGTTCAGATGAGACGGAAAACCGAGGTTCTGTGTACACATTGCCATGCACTAAAAGATCCCTTGGCAGTTATAATTCGATATAAGAGTAGGCGATAGTGCTGCTGTCCGGGCAACATTTCCCTCATAGCACACTATATGGGATCTTTTACGTGCACGCCAATGTGTACACGGGACCTCAGTTTTTCGTCCCATCCGAACGACTAGACAGCTGTCCTTGTCAGGCCCTCCACCCCCCGAAGAGGATTTTAAACACTAATAGAAGAAGTAGAAGTATTAATTAAGAGATATACATGTATATACAGATTTAGTTTTTTATAACTTTTGTTTTGTAAACATTTTTATCTTTTTTTGACAGAAATAAACATTATTTTTTAAAGTAGAAATTTGACATTGGAGACGGCATTGGAATAGAAACACTTGAACTGGAAGGGGGATAAACTATATTACCCAGTAGACCATAGGCTTGTGTCAGAATCTAAGGGGAGATAACTTATGTTGCTTATATTCTCTGTGGTCTGTCATCTGATGGTTTTCGGGGGGGGGGGAAATGGCTGAATGTGGACTGTATTATGAGGTCTGTCATTAAGTCAACTGGCGTGGTTTTGATTCCCGGGTCTTACATGACAAGGAGTAGGGTCAAACCTTCTGGGTTATCGCTGACCTAGTTTCCATTTCAGCCCCACTGGCATTACCATCCCTATCAACATGCCTGATCACCAGAGTAAATCACAACCAAGACGATCTGGTCCAAATAGTAACTTACAATGAACAGGCCCCGGTCCAATAGAAATTACAAACAAAAGGCCACGGTCCCAATAGAAATTACTATCAACAGGTCCCGGTCCCAATAGAAATTACAATCAACAGGCCCTGGTTCCAATAGAAGTTACAATCAACAGGCCCCAACCCCCAGAGTAAATCACAACCAACAGGCCCCGGGAGTAATTCACAATCAACAGGCCCTAGTCCCAATAGAAAATTACAATCAGCAGGCCTCAGTACCAATAGTAGATTACAACCTGCCGGCCTCAGTCCCAAAAGAAATTTGCATCCACAGCCGAAATATTTGTATGGATCCATTGATAAAATCTTTATAATTTCTTGTGCCTACAGGTTTTTAGCAGTGGGTGGAAACGAATACCGGTAGACCCGGAGAAAACACGCAAAGTTTGGCAGATCACCCTGAATACTTGTCACGTACACGTTGACTCAAGGACGGAATTTATTGTCTAAATTGCACACATAATACGATTCGACCACCCAACCATGCCGAAATAAAATAGAGAGAGGTTTAACGTCCACTCAAACAAACTAGGTCATTTTGGGACTAACATATGGTTCAATATTATTTCAATAATTTGCTTGCGTGTAGGGGTCTTTAGCAGTGGGAGGACCCAGAGAAAACCCAGGTGGTTGGACAGGCGACCCTACTCCGGGAATCGAAACCATGCCAGTTGACTCAATGACAGACCTTATGATACAGCACGCACATGATAACTATTAGGCAATGAAACCCCACTCCCCCCAATCCAACCCGCCTCCGAAATAAAACAACAACAAAGTCTGGAATCAATTAGTTATATATACACTTGTTTTATTATTTTTTAGAGTATTTTGTAAACATAAAAATATAAAAACTAAAATCTCTATATCAATTATATTATTATTATACATTATAGTTCTAATAGCTAGATCCATTCTGTACACTATTCAGCAGTTTTGTGCAAGTGGGGCCATAAAGGAATAAAATGTCTATTTGCATGGTATGGTGTCAAAAGCAGTCTATTCTTTCTTCAATTACAGCAATTATCACAGCAATGATCTGAGTCAAATGAATTCGATTTTATTTTAACCATTTGACCCTTTATATGAACCAGAATGATATAAAAAATCGACAGGTTGTTTTTTTTTAAAAAGTGTCACCCAAAGAACAACATCAAAAAGGGGGACAAATACCAAGTACATGGAACAAGTCCCTGATTAAAAAAATCAGTCAATTAGAAAAAATAAAAGCGAAAATTGTCCTACGATGTCCATCTGGTCTTACGCATGTGACATCCTGCTTCTGTCCAGATATGAACCCAAGAAATTCCACAAATAAAGGCAACTCGGGGGCCATATAATATTCTGTTTTTTACTTATATATTCATAGCTAGGATAAAAACAAAATTATTTACAAAAATTGGATAAAAAATATAAAAATTATTTTAGGTAGATAAAAGATGGTTTGTTATATGTTCATATAAAATAATTACAAGGAATGTGTTATATACACATCCAGACATCACCATGGATACCTTTTAGTATATACTCCTACTCTTGTTGGAATATTTTTCTTAAAGACTTGGTCATTATTATAGCAGATATATATAGCGATATTTAATAACTGTCCCCACTGGTAACAGTCTAATAAAATATAAACATTAATATAGCAGTATTGAAGATATCAAATATAAACATATTACCTTATTGAAGATATCAAATTTGTGACCCTTTTTGAGCATTACAATGAATTATGTGATATAATACTTGTATTAAACCCTCTGATATATATATATATATATATACACAAGTATGATAAACAGTTTTACAATAAACTCAACTGATTTAATATAAACTATATTATCATTCACTTATAGCTGACAACTCTGTAGTTTTATAATAAGCTCAGCTGATATAATATAAACTATATTATCATTCACTTGAAGCTGAAATTCTATATTTTATTTTAGAAAAAACACTAAGAAAGAGACAGAAAAAATATTTAAACCTCATGGCAGAAAAATCATAATGTTTTCTGACCCCGCCCCCAAACCCATAAACGGAATTAAATGAAAGCATGGTGTCAGGTTAGTAGCTAAATATTATAATCAGATCTATATTCAATAAAAATAGTTTTAATATTTCAAGCCAGCTTTGTTATGAGATTCGTAAGTGGAATGTGGCTTCGTTAAAATGTATGGTAACAACTTGATTTATTGAGACAAAATTACCCTTTCATTAGGTTGGCCAACTTTCACATAGATTTCATGGACTATTCCCGAACTCCAGGATTTCAGTATAGCGTTGGATCCACAAGACTCCTAACATCTTTCTAGCATGGGTTCCAGGTCAGTTGTAAATGCCAGTCATCACCAGTTGATGAAAAAAAATGACCGAAAATGTCTCTGGGGTCAATTAACATGCCTTCAAATTTGTAAAGCTTCCGTGCTTTATCAAAAATGACCGATAGTGACAATTTTGAAGTGGAAGCCCTGCTTTCTAGTGTTTTGTTTTAAAAATCCAGAAAGACTCAGAGAAAAACTATGTTTTGTACGGCCAACCATAACATTCTCTTGTAATACATCATTCTCCAAAATACTTCTAGTATTATAATTTTTAATATGTATTTTGTTTTCATTAAATTCAACAAAAAAATATTTTGAGGATATAAATGTGGTAGAAACACTATTCTCCAAAATACTTCAGTTTTATTATCATTAATATGCGTTACATTTTCATTAAATTCAACAAAAAATATAAAAGTTTCTTTAAAAATATTTTGATGAAAGATTTTGATATAATTATAAATGTTGATTTTGATCTACATCTCATCACAGTCATACAGTTTAAATTTCTTATAAACAAAATTAAGGAATGAACATATACTGTAATAGGCCTATATATATATATATATAAACTAGTATCATATATATATACTAAATTTCATTTTATTAAATTTGAATAAATGCACAATCATTATTTAATAAATCCTTTCAAACTAGGGTTCAATGCCAGTCAGTATTTACAAGGATATGAATAATAAAAAATTTCACAACATTTAAGGTTCTGAGCAGGTGATATAAGCAAGCTAGTCCCACGTATAAGTGTAGCGAAAAAATGTTCCTTTTTTTTAATCTGATTTAATCTAAGCTAGAAGATTATTGAGCGTCAATATTGTGGATTTAATATTCGATTTGACTGCATTTTAGAAATAAAAAAAGAAACTGGATATTGTCTGAAACAAGGCATTATTGATATAAGTGCATTAATCTTTAAAAGATTCAACTTTATGTAATTTTCTTCGAACCCATTAATAGTTTTATAAATTCATCTGATCAACTGTGCACCTATTCAAATAAAATCTTTCCAATAAATTCAAACGGGGACATGCCAATCATCAGTATAATGTCGTAGATAATGGACTGTCCGTCAAATAAAAATGGTTGAATTGATGACATTAAATAAAACAAAAAACTTTTAAGCAATGATAACAACAAGAGAATCTTACACAAGGTACAATTTTATGGATACACAATTACTGAGTTTAATGCTAAACGACGTTTCGACGAGGATACTCTCATCTTTATCAAGCAAAGAATATCCTCGTCGAAACGTCGCTTAGTATCAAACTCAGTAATTGTGTATCCATAAAATTGTACCTTGTGTTACGTTGATTAACTAAATGCCAATCAAAGAAGAACAAGAGAATCCTTGTTGAAACACCACTCTATATAATGAAAGTTTTGTGGTTCTGTTTTGTTGAATATATTTTTGAGATACATTATTTAGGTTGAATGTATCAATGTAGTTAGAAGAAGAAATATATTTGTATTAATTAATTAATTAATATTAAAGCCAGTCTGTATTTTGTGTACCTGTAGATATATTGTTTACAGGGCTCCTATATTTTGATGTGATCTGCTTCCTGAAAAAACATAAAATACAAAAGCCATTAGCCTAACAACAACGTGTAATTTAAAACTCTTCCGAGACCCTGAACCAGGATTCGAAAAAATGAAATGAAATGAAATGGGGTTAAACGTCCTACTGTTCTGCTCCTAACCTGGGCTAATGAAGACAGGCATACGCCATACAGTGTGCTACGGCCTACTCTTATATCGAATTCCATATAAGAATTTTACGTGCACGCCAATGTGTACACGAGACCTCGGTTTTTTCGTACCATCCGAACGACTAGACAGATTTGAGGAATAGATAGTCTCTGTTTCATCACCATCTATATAAATAAAATTCGATGTCTTTGTGCGGGTATGTTTGCCTATCACGTTTTGTCACTGCCCTCCACCCCCACACATGTGGTATCAAATTAACCAGCATGACCATGTGAATGTTTTAGGCCATACACATTGGGCCCTGGGCGAATTAAGACCTGGACCCCGGGCGAATCATACTTTGTCGCCATGCTCCACCCCCACATATGTGGTATCAATTTAACCAGCATGACCCCAAGAATGTTTTTTAAGCCATCTAATTTTGGCCCCAGGTGAATTTGGGCCCCTGTCGAATTTGCGCCCCAGGCAAATTTGGGTCACAGGTGAATTTGGAACCCGGGTGAAGTCGGATATCTTGCTAGTAAATAAATAAATAGGATGAAATGAAATGTGGGTTTGAATGTCCTACCATTGTTTACAGACAGGAATAATGAAGATGAGCATAAATTGATCTAATTATCCACAACACAGACCCTGAGTTAACAAAGCATTCTCAGACTTAAGTTAAAAATTTACTCAAAATTGTTCGCCTTATTGTAACTAACATAAAACTTTTGTTGTTTTAATGTATTAAATACATCAATCAGAAACTATGTGTAAAGTTTTGTGTTTCTGGATCAAAGATATTTCTTACAAACAGTGATTGAAAGTTGAGTAAATTCTTAACTTAGGATTGAGATTAATTTGTGAACTTGGGGCCTGATTTTAAAGCGATTTTCTTAAAATAAAATTTAATGAAAGCAGCATTTTAATAATAATCTAACTTATTTGACAGTACACCTAAACATGTTATAAAAGTTGTTCAGTGTTACCGATACAATATACAAAATAAAACCAATTCCAAACAGGCTGAAATTTTCAATGAAGACTTACGAGTTAGTGTTCCTTTTTCTGATCTTCTTCCATAACCATAATCTGATTGGGGTCGCCTATGTTTTCCTGTTAGATCTCCAGTAACCCGTAAAACTTTACTACTGGGACCGATGGTTGATTCGGCTTTACGATACATACCAGGAGGAGAGCTGTAAACACTGCCGGCATGGCTATAACGTATATGATTTCCACCTAAAAATATAACCAATCAAATTTCTTGTTACAACTGGCGAAAAGTTAAACAAAAGAACTATGTGAAATTCTTGAAATAAAACATAATAAAGAAATGGAGTAGAGCAACCAGTGATATAGTGACGGGAGGGCGACTGACCTAAGCACAATGACCCTTTATATTAATATTTTGTGACATTACCCTATTACTTGGTTGCATAAGAAATTCTGTCCATCTCAAATAATGGTGGCATATCTCAGATAATGGTGGCATATCTCAGATAATGGCATATCTCAAATAATGGTGGCATATATCAGATAATGGTGGCATAGCTCAGCTAATTGTGGCATATCTCAGATAATGGTGGCATATATCAGATAATTGTGGCATAGCTCAGCTAATTGTGGCATATCTCAATTAATTGTGGCATACTACAGCCAATTGTGGCATAGGTAATTTTGGCACAATCACAGCCAATTGTGGCATAAAACATTACAGTTAATTGTGGCATAACACATTACAGCTAATTGTGGCATATGACATCACAGCTAATTGTGGCACAGAACATAAGACTCTTTATGTTAACTTGGTTGATGCATCCTCAGGTATGCTAATCTGCATTCCCTCGTAGATTTTTTACTGCGGAAAGAGGCTGTTACCCATCTTAACATTCTTACAGACTAATGACTGTTAACAATAAACATCAGAGTTATTGCCCTTGTCACAGATTTGTGGAATAAATCATGATAAATGAGATAACTCACCTGGATCCCCGTTACCAATGACCTGTGGATCTGTGTACATGCCAGGAGAGTTGACATAGATAAGTGAATTAGAATTAGGTCGACTCTTGTAACTAGGAGGAGGCATTATCACAGACTCATTATAAACTGTCTCACGATCATCTTCAAAATAAATTCCTTCCACGCCCATATTGACGAGCTGACGTACTTTTGGTAAAAACATGGCGAATAAAATTAAAGTAGCTGAAAATAGAAAACGGGTTTTTATCTAAAAAAACCACTAAAATAATATGGTGGGTTGCTAATTGATAATAACAGTTGGAATAAAACACAAAAAAAACCCCATCCTACTGTTATGCTCTGACTGGGCTAATGAAAACGGGCATATGCCATACAGTGTGCTATGGGGGCAATTTTGTCCGGGCAATGGCACTATGGCCTACTCTTGTATTGAATTACAACTGCCAAGGAATCTTTTACTTGTACGCTGATGTGTACACAGGACCTCGGTTTTTCATCCCATCCAATCAACTAGAAAGGGGAAACCGCCCCAGAAAATCCTGACGAACTTTCTCGGCCAATGCAGGGATCGTTCACACGACTTCCAGGCTAGTGAGCCAGCATCTTAACCACCATGACTCCCCCGTAAATTAATGAAATGAGGTTAACAGTTTAACGTCCTACTGTTCTTTATCTCTACTTCTTTTGGATTTAAAAACAAAATAAAACTAAAATAATGGCCATATATACTAACCATTCAAGAAAAGACCAAATGCTATGCAAGCATCACCAAATTCTTGAGCAAACATATGATCACGATTTAACCCTCCAACTAACGTCCATGCTAACCAAATTGGTATGGAGAAACCAGCCGATATTCCAATAAAAACACTTTCACGATTATTGGTTATAATACCATGAGCTCTGAGTGCAAGAATCGTGGTAATCAAGATTAATACCATAATATAAATCAATGACAACACATGATTCTCAAACTCAGTTCTAACAAAACTCGCCATATTCTCCCAACCTGTAAATATAAACAACCATAATCATTGATAAAAAATGCCATATTCTCCCAACCTGTAAAATTAAACAACCATAATCATTGATAAAACATGCCACATTCTCCTAACATGTAAATATAAACAACCATAATCATTGATAAAACTCGTCATATTCTCCCAACCTGTAAATATAAACAACCATAATCATTGACAAAACTCGTCATATTCTCCCAACCTGTAAATATAAACAACCATAATCATTGATAAAACATGCCACATTCTCCCAACCTGTAAATATAAACAACCATAATCACTGATAAAACATGCCACATTCTCCCAACCTGTAAAACATGCCACATTCTCCCAACCTGTAAATATAAACAACCATATGCTCAAAATCTTGAAATAATTACTTAAACACAGAAACAAAATGAAATGAAATGAAATGGGGTTTAACGTCCTACTGTTCTGCTCCTATACTGGGCATACGCCATACAGTGTGCTATGAGGGAAATTTTGCCCGGACAGCGGCACTATCGCCTACTCTTATATCGAATTCCAACTGCCAAGGGATCTTTTACGTGCATTCCAATGTATACACGGGACCTCGGTTTTTCGTCTCATCCGAAGGACTAGACAGCTGTCCTTGTCAGGCCCTCCGTCCTGCATCACTGACAAGGGGGAACCACGCCGGAAAATCGGGATGAACTTTCTCGGCCAATGCAGGGATCGAACACCCGACCTCCAGGCTAGCGAGCCAGCAACACAGAAACAATTAGAGATTTAATATCATATTCTCACAAATATCCCCCACCCAGAAAGTTTTCCTTTTTGCTCTGGGGCCCTGACTGTTATGTCTGCAAGGCATCACCTGACTATTAATGGTTTATCTATATCTTTGTACTTTAGAGTGTAGATAAATGGTTGTCATGCAAGGTAAGCCAACATTTTGCAAGAGGACAGAAAATAACTCCAAAAAAGGCAATTTTTCTTACAATTAGGGCCATAATCCAGAAAGTTAGGATCCAATACATGCAAATATTGACAGGCACCCAGACCTTTGGGATATAAACATATATCTTAAGCTTTATAAAAACCGGATATAAATTGTGACCTCTAAAGGGTCCATAATCATGGTATTACATTACATGCTTTTACACTATTTGCATCAGGGGAGCAACTATTTTATCTGGCAGTTTCTGACCAATTTTCATGAAATGCAAACTCAACCATCAATAGGGTGTATCAGTGATATTTTTGAATGGTCTTTAAGTTTGTGACCTGTGAGCTGTAGAGTGTCCACAAACAAAATTTGGACGGCCAGGGGCGACAACAATATCCATTCGCATGAACATGTAGGTGTATAAAATCCGTCAGAGGAGATATTTTGGTAATTAAGATACTAACCCGAACCAGCTGCCCACGTGTAATGATTACAGATCCAGTATGGTTCTCCTCGATTATCAAAAACTTGAATGGCTTCTGGTGGTACGGTGATCAACCATTGGATACCAATAACAACCTGCACTCCCACAGCAAACATAAACATCAAAAACTGGTAGATGCCCTTTAAGTAATTTGGTGATTCTATATCGCCTGGTAGAAGGGACTCAGACGATTTCGACGTCAAAATAACCATCAGTTTTACCAGCAAGACAGAAAACATGATGGCGTAGGAAATACCAACACCAAATCTGGTTATGCCACAGGTAGCCTTGGTAGGAATCGGGAGGTAGGCAAACAACGTTAAATAGCTGAGAAAGATGCCAAATAACAGAAGCTGACCGAGCCAAACGGTCCTCCATTTATGACTCTGGCGAGTGCCTAATAATTTATACATGACATAAATTTCGAAAATAATGACAGCAAAAATACCCAAACCAGCGAGAACCCCAATAGGGATTATCCACTTCTGACCAATCTCAAATCGTGTCATATATTCATTTTGTGTGCGAGGTTGTGTGGCGAAGGCCCCAGTTATCTCTTGCCTGATTGGATAATAGACCATTGCTCTTGTTCCTCCAAATGTAGGATCGGTTGTTGTGTCAGCAGGTCTGGGCGTGGTAACTGCTGGTGTTGTTGGTGCCATTGTAGTCTCTGATTTACATACAGGACAGAGAGAATCCGAACAACTTCCTTTAGTGTAGATGTTGTTGTCCATGATTTTCATCCTTTCAAATATATTTTCAGTCTGACTTGGTTTATAATTATACACCTGTTGAAAAGAAACATTATCCAGTCTTAATATGGTCTAACAAATGAAATATCAGGAGATATGTAAAAAATGGGGTTTAACCAGTATGAATAAACACCAAAACAGCATATGAGAGAGAGAGAAATGGGGTTTAACATCCACTTGACACAAACTAACATATGGTTCAATTTTATTTTAAAAATTTGCTTGTGCGTAGGGGTCTTTAGCAGTGGGAGGAAACCGGAGGGCCCGGAGAAAACCCACGACGGTTGGACAGGCGATCCCACTCCTTGTCACGTACAACCGGGGAATCGAAACCATGACAGACTATATGATACAACTTGCACACGTCAACCATTCGTCTCTGCCAGGATTGAAAGAAAGAGTCCGGCCATTTTGTATATAGATGTATTTGTAATGATGTATATATATACATAGTAATGTTTTGGTATGTGAATAATTTATTTTTTAAAAAAAAGACAATCTGAAAAGACAACACGAGAATCTTACCAAATCAAAGCCACCAGTTCCTGTGATTGTGTAGATGTTATAGGCAGAGTTTGCGAGCGAAACATCCCCAGAGATATATTTACCATCTGCGCCACGTGTAACATTAAATACATTCATACCAGTCTCCTTTATCTTCTCATATATAACAGTTCCTTGATTCTCGAGGTTGAGAAGATCCGAGCACAGATTATTACTGAAATATATCACAACAAATAATAAATATATCAACAAATATATCACAACAAACAAATATATCACAATATATCACAATATATTACAACAAACAAATATATTACAACAAACAAATATATCACAACAAATAAATATATCACAACAAATAAATATATCACAACAATATATCACAACAAACAAATATATCACAGCAAACAATGTCTATGTCTTGCATGAGAAGCAAGATTCTGTGGGGCACAAATAGAAGTTAGGAGTAAATGTGGAGGGGGGGGGGAGCTGCAAGTTCTACAAACCCATGATACTAACTTGACTAAGCTCATCATTATAGTCACTTATAACCAATAGTCTTTAGATTCAGAAAATATCCCACAAGTTTTGGGCTTTGTCGTGGATTTTCAATACACCTAGACCTACTGCTTACAACTTTTAAAGAACAGCCAACTTGCTTAAAATCAGAAGTTTTTCAAATTTGGTTTCCATTTTCGTTCCTGTTATACTTTACCAAACTCAATTTTACACTGCATCTGATATGTTTTATCACTGTCATGTTAATACTTGTGTACATCCCACAAAATAAACAGCCAATCACAACACAACTCGCTCTGATCCACTGATGTACACCACAAGAAACATTCACCCCATTTAATGTCTATTCAGCAAGAATTATTTTCATAACGTATACACATGTACATGTACAGCATCTAACTACCATAAATATGTATTCATTAGATTAAAACTGTCCCGGGGGACAAAACCCAGGAGGCCAATGTGGTTCGCTACGTTAAAGGCCCCACCCCCACCCTCCACACAGGAACCCCCTTCGTTGACAGCCATTCCCCACCCCCTAACTACCATATGTATATATACCACATGTATTGAGTTACCTACCCTGAACATTTTTCTTCAGCAGCAGCTTTGACGCCTTTAATGATGGCTTCTACGGCCATCATGGTATATGGTACATAAACATCAATATCATCACCTTTAAATTTATTAATTGTTGTATTACATTTACTGGCTCCACTGAGGTCAAATCGACAGTTATTTTCCTGTTGAAAATATTCCATAAGCCATGGATTGACAACCCCATCAGTAAGAGCATCCGGTCTTAGCCCTGTCCAATGTGTCTTAAATTCATTCATATAACCTGTGTATAATGGATCTGATACTACGTGTGACATGATGATACTATTGGTAACGGTAGGAGTCAGACCACTGATATCTAGACTTCTTCCCCAGGATGATGTACCAATAAAGATAAACTTGTTGGCAATTGAAGGTTTTCTGTTCACTGCTTCCAAGATCCTAAAATGAAAAATTGTAAAATTAAAAACATCACCAACATCACCTAGCTTGTTTCCTGGTAAGGTAACATACATGTCTCAGACAGTATTAGGACTCTTCACCTTTGGAATCTTGCTCAGAAAATACACAAAGTTTGGGATTAGAGGTCGGCAATAATATTCACAATCCTAATTTTGTGAAAACCTGTCAAGAATTTGACTATATAGTGTGAGTAAAATCCTTTGATAAAAAATGGAATGAAATGGGTTCAACGTCCTACTATTCTGCTCCGACTTGGCTTATGTAGACGGGCATTCGCCATACAGTGTGCTTTGAGGAAAATTTGGCCCGGACAGCAGGACTACGGCCAAGGCATCTTTTACGTGGATGCCAAAAGTGTACACAGGACCTATTTAGAATGAGTAAAATCCTTTGATCCAAAATCACACAGGGGAAATAACTCTGGGATTTCATTTAGCCCAGAACTTAATATTTCTGAAAAACTGCAGAGAGAAAGAGAGATTTAACATCCACTCGGCACAATCTAGGTCATTTGGGGACTAATATATGGTTCAATTTTATTTCAATAATTCGCTTGCCCGTAGGGGTCTTTAGCAGTGGGAGGAAACTGGAGGACCAAGAGGAAACCCGCGAGGTTGCACTGACCCTACTCCTTGTCACGTACAAGCGGAGAATCAAAACCACGTCACTTGACTCAATGACAGCAGTCCTTCTGATACAACGCACATGCGATAACCATTCGTCACCCCCCCCCCCCCCGGCCCCTCGTTCTATAGGGTTTGTAGAAGACTGAACAGACAGGGCTTACAACAATATAAGTAATCTGTGTGAAATGGATACTGTGACAACAGTGAGTACTATTTATACAAGTACATGTATGGTTATGGGTGGAATATCATAAGTTGATATAGCCATGATTCCTCGCCCAAACTGGCCTTTAACAGTAAAGATAGCTTATAGAGAATGCAAGATACATCCATATTTACCACAATCAGATTGAAGAACGGTGCCATATTTTTCAGTAGTTTAGGCACAATTATTCTAATTAGAAAGAGAGAAATGGGATTTAACGTCCACTCAAGACACTAGGTCATTTCGGGACTATCATATGATACAATTTCATTTCAATAATTTGCTTAAGTGTAGGGGTCTTTAGCAGTGAGGAGAAACCATACGACCTTGACAAAACCCATGAGATTGGACAGGCAAACCTACTCCTTGTCACGTACAAGCTTGGGACCAAAACCATGACAGACCTTATGATCTAAAGTGCATGCGTTAGACCACTTGATCCTCATCACTCCTTATGATGAACGCACCAATCAGATTGAAAAAGGGTAATTAAATATAAATACCGGCTAGCATGAGCTGCATCCATGAAGAGAGCTACGTAACGCATATCTTGATATCTCTCTAACATCTGTTCGATCTGTATAACCTCCACATCTGATGGTGATGGCGTTACGGCCATCGATTTACCAATACAGGTATCCTTCTTATTACTAATCTCTTCTCGAAACTTCATCGAACCAGCACGACCATAATCATTATCCAGATATAGGAGAATAACATATTCGGCACCTGCCACACCGAGCATATTAGCCATGATAATAGCATCGTGAGTGTCAGATGGCACTGTACGGAGGAAAAAAGGATGCTTTGTGGAATCACTAAGTTCGGCGGAAGTGGCAGCATGACTGATGTAAGTGATATTTAAGTCGGCCATCACATCGCTGATAGCCAAAGCTTCACTGCTTCGATCTGGGCCAACATAGGCCAATAGATGACGTCGGTCAACACCCATGGGGCGTAGATTACAGTGAGCGAAACTCAGGACATTTTCAATTGTCTGTTCTTTACGACTGCAACTGTCAAATGCCACACCTCCTACATCTATACCAGGTGTCTGATATAATGCTGTGAATTTTTTGATACTCCATAGAAACGCTTCTAAGTTTACAATTCCTGGAAATAAAATAAAAATTGATAGTTGTTTAACATCCTACTGTTCTACTCCTACCGGGCTAATGAAGATGGGCATATGCCATACAGTGTGCTATGAGAATAAAATTAAAGTAGCTGAAAATAGAAAAAGGGGTTTTATCTAAAAAAAAAACCACTAAAATAATATGGTGGGTAGCTAATTGATAATAACAGTTTAAATAAAACATAAATGGGTTTAACACAATAAACAGGTGTCATAAATTAATGAAATAAACTGTTCTGCTCTGACTAGGCTAATGAAGACGTGCTATGAGGGACATTTTGCCCTGACAGTGGTGCTATGGCCTACTCTTACATCGAATTCCAACTGTCAAGGGATCTTGTATGTGTGCGTCAACATGTACACAGTAACCTCATTTTATTTTTGTTTCATCCAAACTTTATTAAACAGTGGAACTTTGGTGTCTAATGTAATCTAATGTAAAGTCTAAAGCTACAAATTTGCACCATTTTTGCCCACAAAAGTCTCAACTGCCAAGGGATCCTTTATGTTCAACTGACAAAGGATCTTTAACTTTCACAGATAGACCTTGGTTTTTCATCCCATTTGAATAACTAGACACTCTTTCCTTGTCAACCCTGACAGGTGAACGTTCTTCTCTGCCCACATACAGGATACATTACCCCTTTATTAGACCTGCTGGAATGAAATTCATATTGCCGTGTGGGGGTGGGGGTTAGGGGAGGGTAGAGTTAGCAAGTTAATATATGGGGTTTTTGGAACTTATTGTATGTGACAATAAATAATGCGTAATGGTCATGGGTCTTTAATAAAGTTCTTTTTGGAATACATCACAATGGCTGCTTTTTCTTGAAATAAAATGGCTGAATCAAAGCATCAATCAAATTTACAAAGATAATTTCCTACCTCGTTTACGTATAGCACTGCTACATGTATAAGCATCGTATCCCTGTTCATGAACACCAAACATTCCACCGATATAATAATGATCAGTCGGGCCAACTCTGGCCGATTTTAACATGGCTACATTTTGGTAGAGACATTCATCGACAGTAGCTGGACACTCCTCAACTGCGAAACACACCGACGCAAGAACAGCTGATAAAGCTGTTCGTATCACCCAAACCAGCATCTGTAATTATATCAATATACAATAATCAACATCATGATTTAATTTAATGTGAAAGCATGGAATAAATAACATCCACTCAATTAATGCAACAAGGTCATTCCAGGACTAACATATGGTACAGGGTGAGGGGGGTTACATTATAGACTAAGCCTGTTCCCAATCCCATTTAGACAACCTGAATAAAATATACAGATATTGTATAAAATAACTTTACAAAAAAAAAACAACATGGTACAAATTACAATTTTATTTCAATAATTTGCGTAGGGGTCTTTCGTAGCAGGTGAACTGGCGAACTAAAGTCCCGTTTTGGCAGGTGACCCTACTCGAATTCTCACATACATGTGTTTCTAAATACAGCTGTATTATATGGTCCATGATGGAACCAAACATAGAAATATACATCTATTTCTATGAACCAAATGAGGATGATCTAGGCTATTATTAGATGCAGGCTTAGCGTCATTATAATGAAAAGGGAGACAACTTTTGTTTTACCAATTTAGATTAAAAATCGGACAGATTTTAGTTTAATTTGACAGAGCCTTGTTTTAGAAAATATCACTTTACTATCAGAATTACCAAGATATATCTTCAATTTCTTCATTTCCATTACGGCAGAGTAAATTAGAATGTTTTTATCAACTCAAGTTCATCCACTTCTCCACACTGATCCGCAGTGAATATTTGCTAGGCCGCTACAATCACTGATAAGGATGACATCGATGCGGCTTAATGAGCCAGAAATATTAACTTTTTTCCTGCGACAAATTAAATTCTAAAACATTTTTTTTAAGTATTGGAAAAATAAATAAAGGCGTTTGACGTATTTGTAGGTAAAATTATTTCCTATTTAGTGTAAATGGGTATTAAAATGACTAAAATGCAGCATTCTCTCCGAAGCAGTAACCTCTTATGTAAACAATGCACGCGCCATTCAGCCAATGATTGACGCCGCGTGCTGTGACAGCACGTGTTAAGGCAGTCATCTTTGACAGAGATATATCACTAGACTCGTAATTCTCTGCCACTTCTCTTGACCTAATTAGTCGGGGAGGCAACTCTAACCAATATCAGTAATTAATCAAAATAGATACAAAAGCGTGAAAAGGGTGCATTCAAAATTTCACTCTTCTACTTCATTCAACAAACCAATCATTGTTTTAAAACAGTAACATTTTCAAAACGTTATGCAGTAAGTCTAAATGTGTGGAAGAATATTTTGTGTTTAAAAATAAATCAATTTCTATTCTCAGATACGAATGATCTGAATAATAATAAATGAAATGATCAATAGATAATATATAACCCAATGGTTCAAATTTAAAGCCATATCTTTGGACCATGGACCTTAATTATAATATTATAAGGTCCATGTTTGACCAAACTGGAAGAATCATTGGCTGTGGATAAAATTATTGTCAAAATAAAAAAAATAAAAAAATACAAATACACCCTTGAAATAACTTATATAAAATATTTTATTCTATAAATGAAATATAACGATGTTTTAGATCTTTGCACCATAAACGGGTAAAGGAAAGTTGCATCCAAGGCGTTGACTTAAATAAACAAAGAGCATCCCACACTCTTACAATATACCGGTCCTGGTTAGGCCTATTTACACCCCACTTATCCCTCGCTACACATAGTATAACAAGATCATTCAATTATTAACTAATAATAAATGACATGAACAGCTAGGCGGCTCTCACCTCCACACAGGGCGGGGCAAACGACCTCGATACACTTTCAACGAAATGTTTACACATAAAATGTACAAGTACGCATAGCCATGTGATTAAATATTTGAAACAGAATCATTTTGTAATCATTTGTGTTTTTGTAAAATAGATCATAAGTGACGAGAACATTACAAAAGAAGCATGTGTTACGGGTGTCGTGTTATAAGATACGATGAGATAAAGAATAGAAATAAGGGAGGGTGAATACCTATTTAACACAACGGGTCCATATTTTACAACTAAAATCGTCAGCCTAAAAATATTAGATCAGCACATATATTGAACATACGTCTACATCTTATTTTCCTCTTTTATCTAGATGGCTGTGTTATACGTTTAATATTTTCAGAATAAAGACTGTCTTATTATTGATGATCATTGATTATAGTCTTAAAACAGGCGTGGACGGCCTCGTATAAACAATATGGTCATCTATCCACACCCTGCCATATTACATTAATGATGTGAAAATATACATCACATCATACAATAAAACAATGATATAAGTCAGTCCACAAAACAGTTATATGTCAGATATTCCAATAAATACCAGTAATTAATCATAGCCTTTGGTAATAAACCATGTTTTAAGCGGTAACTAGGGGTTCCGCCTAGAAAATCATCGCGAGTAATATGGCCTCCCCATAAACCATATTATACCCACAGGCATACATCGAATTTCAAATGACTTGTTCAATTTTAAACTAAAATTCTGTGTCAAATATAACTTTTGATAATCATTGGGTGTATATATTAATATAAACAGAGTTATTATAAACAATTGAACCTGTCATATATACTCATAAAAATATATATATAACGGGCACCTGCTCTGTCATGTATTATACACACATAATAAATTATGATAATATTAATAATCCCTTTACCTTGTTCTGATGCTTGGTTATTTATTCCTCCGTTAATTCCTGATATTTACCGTCTCCCCGTCCCAGAAAAAAAACCGTTTTGCATGGAGTAAGACAAGCCTTGCCTTGCCTGCAAGATGAAGCAAGAATTTGATCCAATGAAAAGGTGTGTTATTGAGTGGTTATTGTGTTAGGTTGTAAGACCAGGTATTTTACCTGTATTCAGGCGAAGAATCTATTCATGTATAGCGGTCTATTGTCATCAAACCTGTAGAACCAGTCGGACCAGTTATAAATAGTAACATAGACACGACTAGCTAGTCTTTTCTCACCTGTATTATCACCATTCATGCGTATAAAATACAAATACTGGACAACAGAGCAATCTATAGTATTATTAAACATTTTTATTATATTTACTATATATTTAAGACTGGATATATTTATAAAAAGAAGCCAAGTTTTTAATATACATATATGACTTAAATTCCTACCTATTATTCAAGCCTAGCTTGCAGAGATATAGTATTACAAAATAACTACATATATTATGACATTCACTGTTTTATGACCTAATCTATATTATACATAATAACACGAAAGGGACACCCACACATGATTTTTAAAATAGAGTCCCTTAGATTTGTAAAGTGCTCACACCAGGAGTGCCATGGGGCGTAAAGCATACTATACCTTAGGGCTTACAGTTAAATAGAGCTCAAATATGAGGGTTATTGTGCCATTAAATTATAGCCCGTATAATTATCACCTTCGGCGTAAGTGGACATTAAGCCCCATGAACGAAAGATCGATCGAACGAACGCCCGTTTAATAAAACTAAGAATAAATCTCTTATATACATGTATGTTTTGTTTCCAACCTCGTGGGTTTTCTCCGGGTAATCCGGTTTCCTCCCACTGCTAAAGACCTCTATATGTGCAAGCTAATTATTGAAATAAAAATTGAACCATGTGTTAGTCCCGAAATGTCCTACTTTGTGTCGAGTGGACGTTAACCCCCCCCCCTTCTCTGTTAAAAGTACTGCCATGCTTTTATACACCATTAAAGAATCATTCAAAACAAATGGCAGGAAAAGCTGAGTCCATTTCGAGACTAGCAACATATACCCGGACTTGAACCCGATCTCCATTGCGATGTGAAGCGAAATCAAATGGGGCTTGACGTCCTACATTTATGCACTTATGGGGCTAATTAAGAGTGCAGAGTGCTTGGGGGTAATCTTGCCCGGTAGGGGGCATTGTGACCTACTCGAAATCCAAATATCAGGGGTTCTTTTATGTGCACGCCAACGCATACAAAAACCTCTTTTTTTTTCGCACCATCCGAACGACTAGACGACTTGTCTGGACTACCAATCTGCCCAACCACCAAGGGAGAATCTGGACTATTTTCTCGACCAACACCGGGGTGCCTAAATGAAAGTTGGCCATAGACCAGAAAAAAAAATTGTATTTTGAATTTAATGAAATTTACAACGTGTGTACGAGCACTACTCATATATTTTATTCCCAAGTATTGTATGATACAATCTAACGGCATAAGGAATACGATACAAAAACAAGTCAAGCAAACTGATATTAATTTGCTTCCTTGTGGGTATGGTATATGAACGATAACTTATGATATGGACAAAGTATAATAATTACAGTATTTTAGAACTATGGTACCAATAAGTGGGTAATTTGCTTCCTTGTGGGTATGGTACATGTACAATAATTTATGCTATGGACAAGGCATAATTATAGTATTTTAGAACTATGGTACCAATAAGTGGGTAATTAAAAGTTAAATAAACCGTTTGATTTAGGATAAAATAAAGCATTTCTTTTTTTTTTTTTTTTTTTTTTTTTGCAATATTCTATTTAATTTGAAAATGCATCTCCAAAATAAAGCATTGCATAACGTTGATGTACAAAGTAATTTTTATTCCAAAAGACGTTAAACCCCATTACAGACGTGGGAATGTTCTGGGAACCGGACCATGAACTACGTCAAAATCCACCATTTATAAAACAGTGTGAATTAACATTTAAAACTAAAGTTAAGAATAAAATAGCTGAAGAATAAAACACTAAAACACAATAATAGTGCGATATATATCGTTATTTTATTACCTACGCCCCAAGCTGTTATTGTCTGTTATACAAGATGGTGTAACCCAGCTCTAGATTTACCAGATCATAATTAGATAATCTTAAACAAGGGCACAATCAATCGAATAAAGGAATGGGGTTTAACGTCCTACTTTTCTGCCCCGATCGGGATAATGAAGACGGTCAAACATCATGCAGTGCGTACATTGGACCTCGGTTTTTCGTCCCATCCGAACGATTAGACACCGTCCTTGCCAGACCCTCTTACCCGCACCACTGATAAGGGGATATTCAATAAAATGACCCGTTTATTATCAATTTCTGACGCATAGGGCGACTATTCTATTAACACATTTTCCGAAAGAAAATAGATGTTTCTGATTTATATCAGCGACGAAGAGGTGGGGTAGAAATCAAGTCAAAGTTGCTATTTTAGAAAATATGTCAACCAATTTTACGCTGAATGAGTCGCAGTTAGTTGATTGTTTTATTTAGATGATTAATCAAATTTTCGTTCTCCCAAATTTCATTTAAATATGTGGCCCGTCTTAGTCGAATCCTGTAATCTGGACTAGAATATACAGGTAACAATTCTATATGGAATAAAATTACTGCTTATTACTGAGTCACGTTTAGACTTGGGTTCTCTTGTCTTTATCAGCCAACAGCTTAGCGAGGTTGTTGTCCCCTGCCGAAATCCCAAAATAAATAGAAGACACATATTCATTAATCGCACATTTATCGAGCAATCGAAAGGCGGGGGATAAAAATTATTGCTTAATAAAGACTAAAGAAACCAAGTCTAAACGTGGCTCAGTAATTGTATTCCCTAGAATTGTGACCTGTATATTGCAGTCTAAATATTAAATGCCACTAATCACGACGTGAACCCAGAAGAATATGGGGAGTTTTCTTGCCTGGTTCCTTCTTGAATAGGCCACTGGTCAGTATCGGGTGTGGGGGGGGGGCAAAACGGCACCCCCATATTTTGGGTTGAATCCAAGATCAAAATTCCAGTGTATGACCGAGAGATTCTAATTTAGATTTGAAAATGTCTTTATTATCTAACTTCTTTTACTGGCCCAGAATGCCCAAAATCGAATCCACATTTCAAAATTTTCTGCGGGAGGACCCTACAGCCTTTTTTCCATAATTCACCCCGCCCCCTTCACCCCGACCCCATTGATTTGTCTCTGCACCCCAAAAGGATAACCTGGCCCTTCCACTGGGTAATATGATCTGTTACACTGTATTCCGGTAATTCTTGCTGCAATCTTGTAGCGTTGACGTGGTCTCGGATCAAAGACGAAAGTTAAACTGTACTTCAGTGACCCTAGCTGCAATCTTATAGCGTTGACAACCTCTCGGGTCAAAGACGAGAGTTATCATTAGCGGAACCATTTCTACACAAATCCCTGATAATAATTTAACCCACACCCCAGTACTTCAATATACCACGACTGTACCTCAAATTACCATCACAGTCTTCAAGTTACCACGATATTACTTCAAACTACCATGCTAGCACATGTACTTCAAATTACCATAAAAGTACTTCAAATTACCATAAAAGTACTTCAAATTACCATAAAAGTACTTCAAATTATGAAGACAATACATTAAATTACCAAAACAATACTTCAAATTACCATGATTGTACATGTACTTCAAATATGCAAGACAATATTTCAAATGACAATGAAATTACCATGACAGTACTTTAAATCACCATGACAGTACTTCAAATCACCATGACAGTATTTCAAATTACCTCGACAGTACTTGAAATTACCATGATATTACTTCAAATTACCATGACAGTACATCAAGTTACCACAATATTACCATGTCAGTACTCCATAATTACCATGACAATACTTCAAATTAACATGACAGTACTTCAAATTACCAGTACTTTAAATTACCATGTCAGTACTTCAAATTACCATGCCAGTTCTTCAAATTACCATGTCAGTACTTCAAATTGCAATGCCAGTTCTGCAAATTACCATGCCAGTACTTCAAATTACCATGCCAGTGTTCAAATTACCATGACAGTAATTTAAGTTACCATTATATATTACTTCAAGTTACCATGTCAGTACTACAAATTACCATGCCAGTACTTCAAATTACCACGACAGTTACTACAATATTACTTCAAATTACCATCAGTACTTCAAATTACCATGTCAGTACTTCAAATTACCATGTCGGTACTTCAAATTACCATGTCAGTACTTCTATATACAACACATTGTATGGGAGAGATAAAACAACAAAGATAATAATGAATACAGTATTTATATAAATTTGATTAATAATAAACTTCTAGTAAGAGAAGAACAGTAAAATGATATAAATATTGATATATAAAGATACAAGACGGATGGTATATACACAACTTATAAAACATAATATACATTAATCAAATCATTTATACTACACCCATATTAGGCTGGTTATCATACCTGAACCCACCTCTGATTATTATTGTTATTATCAACACAGAGGGATACCGATGGAGGCATAAAATATGTGGTAATAGTTTTTGGACAAAAATATATGTCTTAGTTAACAACCTTGTGATTGAGCTTGGTCTATATATTTCACTTTTTTGTTTTTGGTATGTTGTCATATTTCTACTTTTATAGTCATATTTCTACTGTTATAATCACATATACTGTTATAGTCATATATTTCTACTGTTATAGTCATATTTCTACTGTGATAGTCATATTTCTACTGTTAGTCATATTTCTACTGTTATAGTCATATTTCTACTGTTATAGTCATATTTCTACTGTATTAGTCACATTTCTACTGATATAGTCATATTTCTACTGTTATAATCATTATGTTCTGATTACTAGAGATACAAGATACATGTAGACAATCAAATAGTATTTGTATTAAAATATACTTAAACCAGAATTAAAGAGAGCTATGGTTTTGAAATATTTGAATGTACCGAGTTGCAGCCACCCTAACCTTAATGCTTAACCACTATGGTTGAGAGACAATCTACCAAACATTTTGACACCCTGTACCTTAGTACTGGGTCCTGTTTCACGAAATTTTAACTAAGATAAAATCAAAACTTTAGTAATTTGATTGGATCATATTAGATTGATTTTAGTGTTTAGCCAATCAAAATTGAAGTATCTACTAAAATTTGGATTTTATCTTAAGTTAAAATTTCGAGAAATAGGGCCCAGATGAACACTGTTGGTCAGATTCAATTTTTTCCCTAAAAACACAATGAGTCAGTTGTGGTGAAGGAGTGCAATGCCTAACAGGGTAAGCCCCATGGATACATATATTTTTCAATGTTTACATCATATTTGGCAAGTTCTAGTGCCTAATAAGGAATATTTGCACGAATAAATAAATAAATAAATAAATAGCAATGAAGGCAATGATACAAATCATAGATACATTGGCATTTCCCTATAAGGTGGTTTGTAAATGGCCTGTCCAGGATTTATTAAATGAAGGGTGCATTAGAATCAAATTAAATAACCCCCAAACAGCATAAACTGCCTAAAAATGGCTTAGGATATGCCATACCAGCAATCAGCTATATGTAGTATATGTATTAACTGCATATATTACGGTTCTTTCATTTTATTGGGTTTTTTTTTCATATTAAAGCATTTCAAAATATTAAGAATAAAACACTATTGACGAGGGGAAACCACATTGGAAAATGCCGATGAATTTTCTCAGCCAATGCAGGGATTGAAATTACAAAAGAGGTAGAAATACATTTACATAAAGATAAATAAAGGCCCTATATACTCTATATTAAAAATACATTATACAAGAGCGAAATCTGCCTGTTGGAGGTCTTTCTTTAGGCCCGAAATGTTATATAAACTATTAATTAGACATTAATTAACTTATCCAGACTATAATCAACTCTCAATGTCATCTTATGTGTCAGATTTTCAATGTATTGGAATCCAATCTGCTGCTCAATGCTCATTGATGATTAAATACAAAATTGGATAACCAGGACTATGTTTTTTATCATACCGACTTAAGTAATGATGATCGAGGCTAGGCTTAAAATTCAAAAGCTAATATCTTGGTTCATCTTGGAGCAATTTGACTGAAATTTTCAACATCTTCTATTTAAGTTATCTATTTTTTAAAACTATTATAGCAAGAACAGTCAACTCTTTATCTAATCTCCCATAATGTATCTTTAATTAATTAATCAATTACTATAAACATTATCCATAAGACAATCATAGGTTGAACACTCTACATTTTCATTAACTGTTTTTTTTACATCAAGTTCAATTAGAAAATATCAGTGAAACAATTTATGAGAAAGCCTATTAGTCAAGTCAGTGATCAAATGACAAAGGACTACAGTCTGCCCTAGGCATCATGAGTACCTAATTATAGCCTTTACATATGTTACGTACATTGCTATACACAAGGATAAAGTACCTGACACGTGTCCATAGGGGGAGGGGTCCAGGGGGTCTTCTCCCCCTGCTGGCGCAGAGAATATTTCTTATCTCCTACATTCATGTAAATAACACCGTTTTGGCTCACTCCACTGTAATCCTATACATGTATGCACCCAAATGAGCAGAAATATTGTCTCAAAGATTATGTATTTATCAAATTCGCGGGTAGTTCCCCCCAGACCTAACGCCAACCTTGACATCGTCTTCACCCTGGACCCCCAGCTGCTCAATTCCTTGACACGCCCCTGAGTACTTCTATATTTAAGGTAGATAAAAATAAATCACATATCCAGTTAAAACAATCAACCATTACTTCTTCATTCTGATGTACATTAGTCGAATTGAGCACACTAAAAAACACAACACACTTTAACGTCCACTCGACACAAAGTAGGTCATTTCGGGACTAACATATGGTTCAATTTTATTTCCAAGTGACCCTACTCCTTTTCACCTACAACTGGGCAATCGAAACCATGCCAGTTGACTCAATGACAGAGTTCATGATACAGCGCGCATGTGCTAACCATTCAGCCATCCAACCCCCCACTTTATATTGAAAACGATCACTGGTTTATACACATAAAGCACAACTTTTTGACACGTTTTCTGTCATTGTTTTCGAGCAGAGCACACTTGTCGAAATGTTGAACGATATATGTTAAAGAAGGCAAGTCTCTAACTCAATATCATCCAAAGTCTTCGACATTGCAAACATGACTTATTGGTCAATTTAAATCAACATGGATGTTGTTATCTTACCATGGCCATCCGATATCTAATATTTAAGACAAAATGAAAATTTTAAAATTGGCACACAAATCGCATGCCAGAATGCTTCCGGGCGCCATTTGTAATGAAGGAGAATACTATCGGTGCAGACACGAATAACCAAAAGCCAAAGGCTGCCAATCAATTTTGACTTTTTGTGTATTTCACTGAACATAACTGATTAGAAATTACAGTAAAAACAGAAAATCAGTCTGTCGTTAATGAGCATCATCAGCTATATTATAATATATATAAATATATGGAGTTTTATACTTTAACAAATAACAGAATATTAATATCTACAATAATACACAAACTACTGGCAATATTATGACATGGAAGAATAAGATTAATTAATACTAAATATCTATATAAACGCTAATAAAGCTGTGTTTATTTAAAATACTGGGACTGCATTCATACAAAAAGTAAAATTAAAACACTTTAAGAATGTAGTCCATTCATTGGCCAAGAGCTATGATTTGTACAACGATTTTAAATCTCATCCAATGATATGGCTGCATCCTTAAAATATTGCAGTTTAACTTTTTGTGAATATAAGGCCCCTGTACATTTATTAAAACAATAATAAAGCTGTGTTCCTTCAACCCGTCTTCATTAGTCCAGTCAGAGTTTTATGTGTAAATACATTGTAACTTGATATTATTATGACGAAGGAAGAAGATGACCCGCCCTCTCTTCTCACGACAGCGAATTTTAAAATTACGTTACAAAGTGACTTTTTGATATACAAGATTTTTTTTTTTATGTTTTTACCAATTTTTTTATTACTCCTTCATATGTAAATAACTCATTTAAATCAACCTGTTCATAATATCATTTACAATATATTGGACATTAAATTTGTATTGTAGTTTGTAAGACTTGTATTTATAAAAACATTATTTCTAGTAATACAGCTTTAAGAATTACAGTGATATAAACATTATTTTCAGTAATATAACATCATATAACATCATTTCTACAATATAGCTTTAAGAATCACATTTGTAAAACATGTTTAATAGCAATCTACCTTTAAGAATTACATTCATAAAAACATTATTTCCAGCAATATAGCTTTAAGAATCACATTTATAAAACATGTTATATAGCAATCTAGCTTTAAGAATAACATTTATAAAAACATAATTCCACTACACCTAGAGTTACTATGTATAAAAATATAAAAGATAAACACATATATATAATTTTACACCATTTCTTTAAAACCGTTATCCCTCATATCTTAGAACTATGTAAAGTATAATACTGATATATCAACTACACCAGAAGCTAGCTTAATGAATTAGAATTATAAAGGTATATTTCAGCTATAACTAAAGGCCACACTATGTGTAAAGAAAGGAATTCCACTACATCTAGAGGCTTCTTTGTGGAAAGAAATGAATTCCACTACAACTAGAGAGGCCACTATGTGTAAATAAAGGAATATTTCCATTACATCTAGAGGCTACTATGTGTAAATAAAGGAATTTGACTACATCAAGAGGCCATTATGATTGCATATAGGGATATTTCCATTACAACTAGATGCCACTATGCATAAATAAAGGAATTCCACTACATCTAGAGGCCACTATGAATACATGTAGATTAAGGAATAATTTCATTACATCTAGAGGTCACTATATATAAATAAGGAATATTTCCACTACATCTAGTAGAGGCCACTGTGGATACATTAAGGAACATTTCCATTACATCTAGAAGCCACTATGAATACATAAAGAAATAATTTCATTACATCTAGAGGCCACTATGTGAAAATAAAGGAATATATTCACTACATCTAGAGGCCACTATGAATACTTTAAGGAATATTTTCATTACAACTAGAGACCACTATGTATAAATAAAGGAATATTTCCACTGCATCTAGAGGCCACTATGAATACAATAAGGAATATTTCCATTACATCTAGAGGCCATAATAAAGGAATATTTCCTCTACATCTAGAGGCCACTATGTATAAAAATATAAAATATAATAAAGAATATTTGATATTAATTAATCACAGTATTAAATATATTTTATAATTAGTCATCTGGTTGCCTTATAACAAAGTTAGATGTAGATGTGACATAAATAGATCTCTTCATGGTTGTCAAATTGGGGGAATGGAGATAATCATAATGCTGTTGACTACAGAGAGAGAGAGAGAGAGAAATGGGGTTTAACGTCCACTCGACACAAACTAGGTCATTTCGGGACTAACTTATGGTTTAGTTTTATTTCAATAATTTGCTTGCGCGTAGGGGTCTTTAGCAGTGGGAGGAAACCGGAGGACCCGGAGAAAACCCATGAGGTTGGACAGGCGACCCTACTCTTTGTCATGTACAACCGGGGATTCGAAACCACGCCAGTTGACTCAATGACAGGCCTTACGATACAGCACGCACGTGCTAACCCTTCAGCCATCCAACCCCCCTTGACTACGCAGTACAAAGCTGACCAATAAAGTTGGAATTTAATAGAGATATATTTTAATGTCCAGTCAAAACAAACTTTGGAATGAACATATGATATATCTTTAAAATATGCATATAGGGAGAAAACTAGAGGTTAGGATGGGCCACCATACTACTTGTCTCATACAAGCCTGGCATCTTAACCACAACACTTACATCAATGACAGACTTTAGGTGAGTGGTGATAATAAAGACGGAACAGATCTTATGATCTAAAGCACATGTATTATATCTCTTGGTCTCCCACCAAGCCCCTAGGGACATAGTAGAAATCCAAAGTTATAAATACACAGAAAGCAGGCCCTGTGCCTCTGACTATGTAGACCCCAAGGAACTTCCGGGGCCTACGCGGTCCCTGGACCCTCACCTACGATGGTAGCCCCCCCTCCCCCAAATCAAGAATTGCTTCCGTCGACCCTGGAAAGAGTAATGTGCCAGAAGAATTTTCTTAACCCCATTAAATCAGAAAGTCAACAACCATGAAGAGACCTTTTGTACGTATCAATCATAAAAACTTTACGCTTCTTATCACTTCTGACACCAGATTTTCAGACAAGACAAAATCACAGTTAGAGATAAAGGCAGGATATATGAGCAAGATAAACTTCTTACAAGTTATTTCATTGGCTACTAAAATACAACTAAGCAACCAATCATTCAGTATTTGTAGTTCAGCTAATAAATACCATATAAGGCACTTGAAGAGATCAGAAAATGGATATCACGGTTCATATCACGGTAATACCTACACCTGGTCCATATCATGGTAAAACCTACAACAAACAAATAATTCATTAAGTTTCCCTGAAGATATAAAACTCAGATATGGAAAGTAAAATAATGCACTGTTCAACAGGTAATACTTTCGTTTCTTTTAAAAAAAAAAAAAAAATAAAATTAATTTATTTGAGTTGCTAGGGGTGATGACTTTGAATTGACATATTTGGACATAAACACTTTTGTTTATCAAAATTAAATTGCATTGTTTTAAAAAGTGAAATATACTAATTTTGTATTTGTTGCTTTAAATCAGATTCTGTGAATATCTGTTTTCCAGGATTTTGGGAAACATAATTTTTTCTTTTTTTTTAAATTTGTATAAAAAGTGATTTCAATAAAACAGCAAAGATCAAATGTTGTGAAAACCAGTATGTGCTTTAAAAATGAAATTATGATAATAATAACAATGTTAGTGACTGGAAACATATGTGTTTAAAACATATTTCATTGAAACTAATTCAAAAAGGGACTAGAACAATTTATAGAAATTATGAACCTTCTGCGATTCTATCTTTAATTTTAGTTTACAAAATCGCAGGAAATGTTTCTTCAGTCCAATTGCATTTTAAAACTTGATTTTTAATTCAGTGGGCCATTTTTGGTACCTACCTGAAATGTTTGGCTAATACCAAGTAAACTATAATTTTTGGTTAAATAAAGAAGACAATATTCTCCGGGTGGCGCTGTCATCCATTCTTTTGTAAAAGCTAAAGTAACACCCGATACTCCGCGCTTCTCCACACCTTGAACGGCCCAAATATATGTAACATACTCAGTTAATGCAGTAAAATCAGCCTGTCAAAAACAAATACAAAGATATGTAATACACTTAGTCAATGCTGCAAAATCAACCCGTTTAAAATAAACTATACAATATTCAACATAATTGAGTATATGCAGCAAAAATCTACTTGTCAAAGGGGCATTAGGTAAGATTAGATAAGGAGCTGATAGTTCTCGCTTTAATAGTTAGAAAATAGATAATGAAAATAAAATATGCTGAACATTTCAGTCAAATTGTTTCACTCTGAACCAAGATATTAGCCATTGAATTTTACGCTATTCTCAGTCGTCATTACTGATGTTGGTATGATAACAAGCAAAATCTTGATTATCCATTTTTAGGTTAAATCATCCATCATAAACTGTATTCAAATCCAGTAAATATTGCAGGATAACGATGGCATTGAGAGTTGATTATGGTCTGGATAAGTTAATTAATGTCTAATTAATAATTTAGATAACATTTCAGGCCTAAAGAAAGACCTGCAATAGGCAGATTTAGCTCTTGCATAATCTATATTTCACATAGAATATACAAACATATATAATATTGTCAGTCAAAGCTGCAAAATCTGCCTGTTGAAATATATTTTTTTAATAATTGACTCTTTAATTGTTTACTTTATTCACTTTACTACTACAACTCTGAGTTTACAAACCATTCTCAGACTTAAATCAAGAATTTACTCAACTTTCATTCACTGTTTATTAGAAATATCTTTGATCCAGAATTACAAAACTTTGCACATAGTTTCTGATTGAGATATTTGATACATTAAAACAAAAATGTTTTTATAGCGGGCTATATTTTTGTTTCCATTTGATTCTAATTTCAAATCAGTTAGATCCAGCAAAATACGGTAAGAGTCTCAACCAAATAGAATTGACAAATAATTCGTGTTGTCATCGTGTAAGACTTTGGATGATATTGAGTTAGAGACTTAGCTCAATGTTGAATCGAATTGACAAATAATTCGGGTTTTCAACGTGTAAGACTTTGGATGATATTGAGTTATAGAGACTTAGCTACTTTAAGTCTGAGAATGCTTTGTGAACTCAGCCCAGAACTTGACATACAATTCGGATCTCGAACCTACAACCATCTTTAATTCTATATCAAACTTTTGAAAGCCAAGTGAGTGGGTAAGACATGGAGGTCCCGTATTAGTTCTAGTGTTGCCAGAACAATGTTCATCAGGAGTTTCTGGGGTGGTCCTCCCTTGTCATTGGTGCAGAACAAAGGGAGTGGCAAGGGACAATGCATAATCGTTCGGATGGCATGAAAAACCAAGGTCCCATATGCACATTGGCGTGCATGTAAAAGAACCCTTGACAGTTGGAATTTGAAGTAAAAGAAGGCCATAGCTTCGTTGTCCATGCAAAATTTCCCTCATAGCAATATTCTGTATGGCGTATGCCCGTCTTTATAAGCCCAGTTCGGAGCAGAACCGTAGGACGTTAAACAATTTCATTTTTTTTTCATTTAAACCTTTTGAGAGAGAGAGAGAGATGTCCACTGAACACAAATTAGGTCATTTTGGGACTAACATACTCAGAAAATCCCACGTGTTCGAAAGGCGACCCTATTCCTCATCATGTACAAGCAGGGAATAGTAACCAAGCCACTTGACCAAACAACAGACATTATGATCAAACCATTTGACAAACCTACCCCCCTCCACCGTTTGATATGAATAATAATGAGATTATTTACCTTGTATAAACCAATCCAATCATTATAATACGATGAACCAGACGACACCATCTTGTAGTTAATCAAATTATCACGTTTCTGGCGAAACTCTTTGATTGGATAAAACGTAACTGGGAGACGTGGGGGGTTCGGGAAGACCTGAAATGGAAAATTGTAAAAGAGTTAGTAGTCTATTATTTTGTTGATCAACACTGTTGTTACAAGTGACCATCAAGTAGTCGCAGGTAAAACTATCAAGGAGAAGATGAACTATAACCCAGTGCACAATATATGTTAGTCCCGAAATGACCTAGTCCCTTTTCGCTCATTCTATGGAGAAGATAAATCAAAATTTCTGTTATGAAATGTTCAAAGATTACCACCCATCTATAACTGTTCGGTGACAAATGATACAATTCGATACTCCAAATAGAATACAAGAATATAGACTTTACCTAGACATTCCAAATAGAATTAATACAAGAATACAGACTTCACCTAGAATTAATACAAGAATACAGACTTCACCTCGACATTCCGAATAGAATGAATACAAGAATACAGACTTCACCTAGACATTCGGAATAGGATTAATACAAGAATACAGACTTCGCCTAGACATTCCGAATAGAATTAATACAAGAATTTAGAGAGAAATAGAGTTTTAACATCTACTTCACATTTCTGGACTAACATATGGTTCAATTCTATTTCAATAATTTGCTGTGGAAGGAAACTGGGGGGACCCGGAGAAAACTAACGAGATTGTCACGTACAAGCAAGGAGTGGAAACCATGCCACCTGACTCAATGACAGGTCATACTAGAATACAGGTAATAAACTTTACCTGGATATGAAAAAGAGAAGACACAGGTTTATGATCACTGACTTTATAGACTGGATGACTGTGATAATGTAGTTGTTGTACATCCAGACACACATCATCATAGCTTGTATCATGTGTATACCACAATATACGATCACACCAGGCTGGTACACGTTGTTTCTCACTATACAAAATAATAAAATACATGTCATATAGTTGATATACATTTGAAATATTAGGATATGACACATATGACTAATTTCTACGTGTTTTTGGCCGACATCAAGGAGATTAAACAAATCTAAAAATGGAGAAATCACGGGTTAATCACATAGATTAAATTTATAATCACCCTTATTGGATTCATAATAGTCCGACAAAGGAGAAGCAATGACTTCTGTTCAGGATTGGGTTGATGAATTGTCCGATTAAAGATTAAGTCAGTCAATCAAGGCAGATTAACTAGTTAATCAAGGTAGGTGTATAAGTGGTATAACACGATAAATACGTTGAACACTTAATTATCTAATCAATCCCGCCTATTATCAAGGATAATCGGGTTGAGTGGTAGATATACGCTCAGTACACTATATTAAATTTGGAATTTTGAATATTATTCACCATTTCTTGATGCCCGACTGGGCATATTCCTGGTCGGACAATTTAGGACGTTTGGAAAAAAGCATCAGACATGTCCAGAATATACGAGTGAAATCCCAATACGGAATGTAACAGTATCCTTTCACACTATACCAATAATAACATACATGTGCTATAGTCTATATACCGGTATATCTAAAATATAGATGTCACCTAATATTTGATGTTGGCATACCATTATTTCTATACAGGCACTTTGCCTTTCGTACATTATTTATAAAAGATACAAAAAAAAAAAAAAAAAAATATTGGACTAAGTTTATTAAAGGAGTCAAGTAAGACATGGCATAATATATTGATAAAACTCTCAGACTATTCTTATTTTGACAAGATGATTTATAATGTGGTGTCAATGGTATACACAGGACCTCACTTTTCTACCAGCTGAACGACTAGATACTTTTCCTTGACAGGCCATCAATATTGCTCTACTGACAAGGGGACACCACTCTGTCTTACACTACTGACAAGGGGACACCATTCCATCATGTACTACTGACAAGGGGACACCACTCTGTAGTACACCACTGACAAGGTGACACCACTCTGTCTTTCACCACTGACAAGGGGACACTACTCTGTCGTACACCACTGACAAGGGGACACTGCTCTGTCATGCACCACTGACAAGGGGACACCACTTTGCCGTACACCACTGACAGGGGACACCACTCTGTCGTGCAACACTGACAAGGGGACAACCTGTCTGGAAAATTCCAAGGAACTTTCTTTGTCGACACAGGAACGAACCTGGTACATCCTTGTTAGTGAGGTACAAAACCACCATGGCTCTCCTAACACGTACATTGTCATTAATTACATAGTCACTGTAAAGAAAAGGCCCCAAGTTCACAAAGCATTCTCAGACTTAAGATGAGAATTCAGTCAACTTTCAAACACTGTTTGTGAGAAATATCTTTGATCCAGAAACACAAAACTTTACACAAAATTCTAATTGATGTATTTGATACATTAAAACAACAAAAGTTTTAAAAAGAGCTATATTCCAGTTAAAAAAAGGCGAACAATTTTGAGTAAATTTTTAACTTTTAAGTTTGAGAATGCTTTGTTAACTCGGGACCAGATTTTGATAGTGTTACTTAGTTGCAATTTTGTCAATTCAGAACAATCTAACAATTGTACACCATTAAGAATTGAAAAGCTGTATACTATATTTTTGTATCATGACTATGGTTAATGTGACTGAATTCCTTGAATAGCAATAAGATTATTATACGATTATTCATGACATTACCTTGAATCATATTGATCTGTATTGATATCAAATTTATAGGTTGGTGGAAAACTTATCTCCCCTTCATGGAAATCTTCAAATACTAAACCTGCTTGCATTGCCAGGATTAACTGTGAAAGAATGAAATAAATGTCTATCAGTGACAAGTATTTCGTTATTTTAAATAAACATTTTCAGAACCAAGACATCTATTAACTGATCTGATCAAGGTACATGTTCCGTACAAATGAAATGGGGATTAACGTCCTACAGTTCTGCTCCGAACTGCGCTAATGAAGACGGGCATACGCCATACAGTGTGCTAATTTTTGCTCGGACAGCGGCACTATGGCTACTCTTATATCGAATTCCAACTGTCAAGGGATCCTTTACGTGCACGCCAATGTGTACACGGGACCTCGTTTTTTTGTCCCATCCGAACGACTAGACAGCTGTCCTTGTCAGGCCCTCCGTCCCGCATCACTGACAAGAAGAACCACGCCGGAAAATCGGGATGAACTTTCTCTGCCAATGTAGGGATCGAACACCCGACCTCCAGACTAGCGAGCCAGTGTCTTACCCAAATAGACACCGTGATCCCCATGTTCTGTACAAGCTTGGGAACGAAAAACCACACCAGCTGATTTAATGACAGATCTTATGATCTAAAGTGTGGATGTTAGACCTTTAGATCATCCAACCCCAATACTCAGTTACAGCTGTGTTTATACATATAGTTGTAGTACAGTGCAATAGACTGATATCATGTAGGTCATTAGAATAGAATGAACCGCTACTTATAACTAGCCAGATTTCAATTGGAGAAATGAAATGGGATTAAAGGTGGTTTAATGTCCTACTGTTCTGCTCCGAATTGGGCTAATGGAGACTGGCATACGCCATACAGTGCTATGAGGGAAATTTTTGCTCGGACAGAGGCACTATGGCCTACTCTTATATCGAATTCCAACTGTCAAGGGATCTTTTATGTGTACGCTAATGTGTACACAAGACCATAGTTTTTCGCACCATCCAAATGACTAGACAGCGGTCCTTGTCAGGCCCCCTGTCCTGCATCACTGACAAGGGGCAACCACCCCGGAAAATCTGGATGAACTTTCTCGGCCAATGCAGGGATCGAACACCCGACCTCCAGACTAGCGAGCCAGTGTCTTACCCACTTAACCACCGTGACCCGATATTTTAATTGGAGTACAGTGTATATATTTATACCTGATCAAACTTGAGAAGTTTTTCGTAATCTTTATTTTCACTACATTTAATGGCTTCTTCTTTGGTCAGTTCATTCAGACGAAAATTCAAATCACCCATCCATAGAACATAGCTGTTAAATAAATTAACAATTAATGCCAGTGAAACTATTAATTGAAATTTGAAAAGAAAATCCTATAACACTGATCTTAGTTTTTTCAGCCATGGATAATGCATGCCATAAGAATATAATTGTGGGAAGAATATAAAAAGATGAAACTTGGTAAATAGAATAAATTAAACGTACTCATGGTCCATAATATTATCAACATCATCATCTTTAAACTTCTGATGATCTATAACACTGTCATAATCCTGAAATATAAAACATCCCAGTCATAATCCTGTAATATATAACATCCAAGTCTTAATCCTGGTTTATATAGCATCCCAGTCATAATCCTGTAATATATAACATCCCAGTCATAATCCTGTAATATAACAACCGGTTGCCATGCAAGCTAAAAAAAAAAAGAAGCTATTTTTCCGCACAATCAAGGGCCATAATTCAGGAAGTTACGATCCGATATGCGTGAATATTATAAGGAACCAAGATCTTTGAGTTATAAACATGTATTTCAAGTTTCATCAACATCGGATCAAAATTATGTCCTCTAGAGGGTCCACAACCTTGATATACCATATATTTACAATATTTGCGTACAAGGGGCAGCCATTTTGTCTTGCAGTTTTGGTCTGATTTATACGAAACCATCATAAGGGTGCAACAGTGATATATTCAAAGGTTTTTTTTTAAATCAGATAAAAATTGTGACCTCTAGAGGAATCACAAGCTAAAAACGTGACTTTTCATACAATCAAGGGCCATAATTCATTAAGGTACGATCCGATATGCACGAATATCGAAAAGAACCAAGATCTTTGGGTTATAAATAGTTATTTCAAGTTTCATCAAAATCCAATCACAATTGTGGCCTCTAGACGGTCCACAACCTTGATATACCATATATTTACACTATTTGCGGGCGGTAGACGGCCATTTTGTATGGCAGTTTTGGTCCGATTTGCACAAAATTCAAAATCATCTTCATTAGGGTGTAACGGTGATATATTCAAACGTTTTTTAAATCGGATAAAAAGTGTGACCCCTAGAGGAACCACAAGCTAAAATGCAATTTTTCGTACAATCAAGGGCCATAATTCAGGAAGTTACAATTCGATATGTGCAAATATCGAAAGGAACCAAGATCTGTGGGTTATAAACATGCGTTTCAAGTTTGGTCAAAATCAGATAAAAATTGTGACCACCGAGTGTCCACAAGCTAAATACGTCATTTTTCGTACAATCAGGGGCCATAATCCATGAAGTCTCGATCAGATACATGCCAATATCGAAAGAAACCAAGATCTTTTGGAGATAAACTTATATTTCAAGTTTTGTCAAAATCGGACAAGAATTGTGACATGTAGCGTGTTTCCGAAACAATCGGATCAAAATTGTGGCCTCTGGAGGGTACACAACCTTGATATACCATATATTTACGTTATTCAGACTGACGAAATATATAACATTACTGTGTCATATTTTTGTTTTAGTCGTTCTGTGTGTTGAGCAATAGGGGTTTATTGCCTATTAGAAAGAGAAGACATATAATAGTTACATGATACCAGTCACTATTTATAACTAAATAGAGCAAAGTTTAACATCATTTAAACTTAAATACTAACCTCTATTCTTTCCAGTAAATTATCTCTATGAGCTGCCAGATGACTGTTGACAATAATAACATTCATTCCATAAATATCTAATCTAACACTAACACCTCCTTTATTACCCTACACAATATAGATTATAGTATACAATAGAGAATGCTTGATTACTAGCAAGGAACATTCCGAATCGACAAAATTGAGTAACAAAGAAAAGAAACAAGAGTCTTGTTCCAGTTCTGTTATTTCCGAAAAAAAGGTGTGAGCAGAACTGTAACATAATCAAATGCTTCAGATATTAATTTGTGACTGGTCAACACAGCATCGTATTTGGTTGGCACTTGCTTTGTCATTCAAAATTCTTGTCTTTACTCAACCGACATCTTTTGGGAGTTCAATTAAATATCCCCATCAGTTGTGATTATGGATACATTTTTTTACATTTAATATCAATGTAAGTGTAGCAGCATCTCTTTATAATTAAAGATACATTATGAGAGATAAGATAAAGAGCTGGCAGTTCTCACTATAAATTATAATTAAAAACTAGATAATGTAAAGGGAATTTGCTGACAATTTCAGTCAAATTGATCCACTCTGAACCAAGATTTTAGTGATTGAATTTTTTGTCTAGCCTTGATCATCATTACTAAAGTCGGTATGATAAAAAACATAGTCTCAATTATCCATTTCGTGATTAAATCAAGAATGAAAGTGGAGCAGCAAATGGGGTCCTAATCCAATAAACATCGCTGGCTAGCAATGACATTGAGAGTTGATTATGGTCTGGATAAGTTAATTAATGTCTAATTAATAATTTAGATAACATTTCAGGCCTAAAGAAAGACCTGCAATAGACAGATTTAGCTCTTGCTGTGGCAGTTGAAATACATTCTAGTAGTTGTAGAATGTGGACTATATCTAGTGTCATCTGCTTGAAATCATTCAGTCGGTTGATATGTTTAACTGACAGTAACCCAGTCACATTGTAAATTTCAAGTGGTTGCTAAGCTAGTCCGAGTTCACGGTAGGTTAAGAGATTAGGACAAAATGAGAACAGATTCAAATAATTGACAATCTGTATGCTTCAGCAGAAACAATGACACACTTGAAAGCAACTTACCCATAATCCATTTAAACCCGTTCTTGTCGCTTCTGATTCGAAGTTGGTGATAAATGGCAAAATTGATCGCTTAGCAAAAATAATCAATAAAATACCCTGCATTGAGCGAACACGAACCTGTAAAAAAAACCAAAAACAATGTCAACACGGATACGTTCATCTTCAAATTAAAAAAAATGATGCCCCATTCTAATTTTTCTTAATGGCAACACTACCACAGAAAGACTGCACCACTGATAGACCACATGAACTTATCAAATAAGACAAATGTCGTATCACTAGAAGTACACTGGTTTTCTGCCTCTTAGCAAAGGAGAAATGGGTGGAACATTCACTTGACAAAAACTAGGTTATTTCAAGACTAACATATGGTTTAATTTTAGTTCAATAATTTTGCTTGCTCGTAGGACTCTTTAACAGTGGGGGAGCAGGTGACCCTACTCCTGGTCATTCACAAGCAGGGAATTGAAACGAATACCACTTGACTCACAGGCAGACTTTATGATCTAAATCTAAATCCCCTGTCCTCTTGTACAACACTTGGGAAGGAGCGGGGGGAGGTGGCCAAATGGCTAGCACATGCACATTGTATCATAAGGTCTGTCATTGAGTCAACTGGCCTGGTTTCAAATCCCTGGTTGTATGGGCCAAGGTGTTGGGTGCCCTGTCCAACCTGGTTGGTTCTTCCAGGTCCCCTGGTTTTCTCCCAATGCTAAAGACAGGTATCAAACATTATTTACAAGTTGTCTAGTAAACAGAGAAAGTGAAAAATCTACTCCTTGTCACGTAAAAGTGTGGGATTGAAACCACACCACTTGATTCAATGACAGACCTAATGATCTAAATTATATGAAGACACCATTAGATGTTATAACAACTCATTTCTAACTTTTACCAGCAAGATTTCAACTAATTCAATTTCAAATATGTCAGCAATTTAGTGAATTAATTATTATTATTACAGCATATTTATAGTGCGCCATTTCATATAACATGTTCAGGGGCACTTTACAAATTAAATATATGATAATATTTCCTACCCTGACATAATCTTTAGGTTTTAGTATATCTGTAATGGCCGCCGACCAACTGTTTCTACCCGTACCTGTATGGTCATTATTTACTTCCTGTAATCTATGTTAGAAATAAATAAACTTATATTATTCAATATGAATCATGCAATTAAACAGCATCACTACATGTACCAAAAATATACAATTGAAATAAAATGAGATGGGGTTTAACGTCCTACTTTTCTTCTCCATCTACAATAATGAAGATGGGCTTTTGCCATGCAGTGTGCCATGAGAGAAATTTTGTTCGATCAAGCAGGACTACAACCGCCTCTTATTTCAAATTCCAATAGTTGAGGGTTCTTTAGTGTGCATGCCAATGTTTAATTGAATCTTGGTTTTTGTTCCATTCGAACAACCATCCAAAGATATATAAGTGATTTTTTTTCTGTTTTCTGTTTAACAAAATGCAAGAAGTTAGCATTTAACTAATAACAAATAACTGAAAGGATGAGAATAACTTTCATATATTTGTAACATGAGAGAGTGAGTGAGAGATTTAACATCCACTCAGCACAACTGGTCATCTAAATACGAAGAAAGCCTACTTTTCTTAATTAATTACATGGTGCTGGGTGATGCCAAGTACAGACCGTTTAGCCAACCATTGCTCCACAATATCATTTGGCTAAATGCTGCTGCATTTCGATACACTGCAGATTTATATTTTAAATGTACTTTCTCCAAACATTTCTAACAGCCGCTTTTGACTTTCCGTTAACAACTTTAGAATGATAGGTGCTACCGATTGCAAGTTTACTTACAGGAGAGAATGTGACATCATATGTGGGTTCTCAAATTAAATGTAAAATATGAAGAAATAAAATAAATGGATAAAAGTATCAAAGTGGTAAAGACTTGTTACCCGATTGCGTAAATTTCTGGCAATGTTGATTGATGAAGTTGAAGAGCATCTGTTAGATCTACAGGTTTTGAATATGCTACATTCCATGTACATAAATACACCCTGTGTAAACAAACAATAACAAACCCTATAAATAAGCAATTACATTCATCTGAACAACTGCTCCTTCTGAAAATCTTTTCAAGTTGTTACTTTTTTAGATAATTTATATAAAAGAAGCATCATCACTTTCAGTAACCAAAATAAACAAACTTAGAGTAGTCCTGCTATATTTTTCTGAAGTGTTCAAAAGAAATGAAATGAAATGGGGTTTAACGTCCTACTGTTCTGTTCAGACTGGGCTAATGAAGACGGGCATATGCTATACAGTGTGGTATAATGAAAATTTTGCCCGGGCAGTGGCCATATGGCTTACTCTTATATCAAATTCTAACTGCCAAAGGATCTTTAACGTGCATGCCAATGTATACAAACGACTAGACAGCTGTCCTTGTCAGGCCATCAGTCCTGCACCTCTGACAAGGGGAAACCACATCGGAAAATCTCGATGAACTTTCTCGGCCAATGCAGTGATCGAACACACGATTTCCAGGCTAGCAAACCAGCGTCTTACCCACTTATTAGCCACCGTGGCTCCCTGTAGTGTTCAAACTTTTATAACATTTATTAATAACAACTCCACTTGCATGATCTGTAAATTGACAGTTATAAAGTTTTGGCCTAACATTGTGAATCTAAATATACTATAATTTTTAGAATTTAAAAACAAACTAATAGAAATACCTACCCAACATACTTTTTTGGCTTACCACCACTGCCACTACTACTTTTTGTCTTGACAGATGCTGTTGCCATTATCAGACGATTATTTGATTTTAAAATGTCAGAGAAAATATAGACCACAAAAGGAATCAAAAAACCATAACATAACAAACAGGGCAGGGTCCAGTTTGATTTAGATAAAACCATATACAAGTAACATACATTAACAATAATAATAAAAAAAAACCAACAACAACACACGAACAACTCAAACCCGCTCTAACTTTGATTTCAGCAAAACAAGTCGATCATGACGGGTGACAAACAGTAATAAAATTCAGCGAAATTATAATGCGATTTGCTTCAGTTGTTTTCGCATTCTTTATAATACAATTTGCCTGTCCCGGTAGGCTGTTTTAGACATGGATCATTAACTATGGTTATTTATTTTGACATTAACACAACAATATAAAAGTTTTAAGACTTTTTCTTTGGAAATTTTGACAGCGGAAATGAATTGGGTGTGAAATACGTCATCAATTTATGCTGAAATCACCGGGGAGTAACTCTCATTTTTCTTCGTTTCTACGAACGCACTGGCTCCAAATTTGGTGTGTAAGTTGATGTTCATTGCGAGATCTGCTTAAATAGTAAAGTATTAAACATTTAATTACACGCCCACAGTACACGTGGTTGTATCTTGTCGTTGACCCTGTTTATCGTTCTGTCCACAATCACTGTGAACGCTCTACAAACCGTGGACGTCTGAGGATTTTTGTTCAAACTAAAACTTACTTTGCCAGGGGCAGGAATCGAAAATTACTGTCTGAGTCTTGGTAAATTTTAAACGGATTTCTTCGATTATGAACAAACTACTTAACTTTGGTTATTATAAACTTACCTGTGTGTTTGTAATCAACTCCCGTTCGATAAAATCCATTGCACAACTAATTATCACAACAATGAAAACAAGCTCTCTCTTGAAAAATTGAAATATCACAAACTTTTCCCAGAGAAAAATACCAATATGGAAGATGGTTACGTCACTCTGCGGAGGATATCATTTCGTATTAAGGGGTGACAGCATAGGAAATTCAAGTACAATTACGACAAGAATCCATGACCACTCGGACCAAAGACCACCCGGTTCAAGACCAGTCGGACCAACTGATAGACCACTCAGCCCAAACAAATAGACTACTCGCCACTCGGACCATACAAAAAGACTATTCGGACCCAACAGAAAGACGACTCAGACCAATAATATAGTGTTGTTTTAGTAAATTGATAATTGCGTTTGTTTTAATATGATTACTCGAACCAATAATAAAGTGTTATTTTAATAATTGATAATTGTGTTTATTTTAATATGACTACTCGAACCAATAATAAAGTGTTATTTGAATAAATTGCTAATTGTGTGTGTTTTAATATGACTACTCGAACTAATAATAACGTGTTGTTTGAATAAATTGATAATTGTGTCCCAAATCGCAAAATATCGAGAACCACACTTGTAGTGTAGTCACGTTTAAAAAGGGGCATATTATAAACGTCCGGTCTTCGTATTATTATGGGCTGTTTATATTAACACATCAAGGGTGGATAACTTGAAAATGTGTCTCTCCCCCCCCCCCCCCATATATTAACCCAGTGGTTAGTGGGTTAGAACGGAATGAAACCACTGGGGATACCGCGAATGTGGAAAAAGTAAAATTAGGCCATCAGATAAGAACAGTATACCCGTATATGTAGAAACTGTCAAAAGTCTGGACATACCGAGTCTCATTGCAAGAGTAAATAAGAAAAATTAGATTGATATTTTTTTTTGTCACCATTATTAATTAATTTTAAAACTAATCGTTGATTTATTTTCCGTACACAAAATTGAACTAAACAACTCTAAATATAAGAATTCCGTATAAGAATTATTTGCTTCTTTGTATTGTGATTTAATAATAAATAAATAGCATATTGTCTAGCCTTATAATATAATTTAATTGGTTCGACTGGTCTTGTTTTGGTCCGACTGGTCTTAGTCCGAGTAGTCTTTGGTCCGAGTGGTCTGGATACCTACGACAATTGGCATTGAGTTTGAGCGTTCGCACACATAACTACCCGCATTCCTGTATTTTAGTTACCGTCTTTTACATTCTAGTAAAATCTCTGCAAATTTGATAGCTTTACTTTTTGAAATATTTTGTTCTAATTATTTGATTAGCGATTCGGATGGGATAATTTACTTTTGAACACGCATGCCGCACAAACACAACTATACATTCGTTTTACGGGCTTGATCACACTTCGGTCAAAACTGTCGAATCGAGAATTAATGTTCCGTTTCTTAAGGGGTCATATGGGCTTAGTAGCATTATATACCCACCCGGGCACCCATTAGGCACGTTGAGGGCTGTCGCAACACGCTTAAAGATGTTACTGAAGCGGTTATTATTCGATCGAAAGAATGCGTATAAAATTAAAAATACACTCGGAGAATTCGGAGGTAAGCTTCATGATCCTTGTTAAATTATTTATAACAGAAAGAAGATAGGATATTTATAGTTTATATATGACTTTATTTTTACGAGTATCCGTGCAATCAGTGATAATTTAATTGTGAAGAAAATTTGATAGACTGGCGATCAATGGTTTCCATATAAATCTCCTATGTAATTGCCTTCAATTGATATTTTTCGTCGCCCAAACCCATATACGATCAATATGATCGCACTGTCAAACTATCTTTCAATGTTAACCAACCCCCGCAACAGGTATATTGGATTCGACCAATACGTCACGAAGACATTGTTGACATCGACTCTGTCGAAGTTACAAGTAAATTTTCAAATTTTTCAAGAGAGAACTTGTTTTCATCGTTGTGATAATTAGTTGTGCAATGGATTTTATCGAACGGGAGTTCTTTACAAACACACAGGTAAGTTTATAATAACCAAAGTCAAGTAGTTTGTTCATAATCGAAGAAATCTGTTTAAGATTTACGATGGTTCACACAGTAGTAAAATTTCAATTAATATAACATGTCATAAGATAAATCAAATGATCAACAACAATATACCCATCCTGCTCTTGGATAAGGGTAATGATTTAGTACTACATAGTTCTTTCTGATATGTGAGTCATTCCGTTATTAACAAAGCAAAGAACCTTTACCTTTTAGGTCTTTTTAAGGCTTTTTTCTTGTACCCCCCTCCCCCCCCCCCCCCAAAAAAAACCCCATTGATAATCGACGACTGCTACAAACCCCCACACTGTCTATAGATTTACTCAAAACAACCCAAAACACCTTTAATTCTCTAAACTTTACTCTTTTTTTTTTAACAGTTCTGAAAAAAAACAAACTGAAATGAATTTAAGATCAAAGCAAGAAAAATAACTCGTATTGTTCTGGTATTAAACAAAAAATTACATTTGCATCAGAAACATATTACGTAAAAGAAATCTTTAACCTACTATGATAACCATAGAAATATTTCTATGACATTAACTTAAAGCGGATTAACCTTAGAAATCTTTCTATGACGGTAACAATAGGAGTTGTCTGTGATTTTGCCTAAAATATAGCAAAAGATCAAACTAATGATTAGAGGAATTGTAATAATTGTATTGTATTATTTATTTCAGGAGTGAAAATGTCGGAAGCTGCAATTAAAAGACATCAAGATATGTACAAGAGTAGAACACCACCATGGAAAGAAACTTATAGAAAGGTAATGTGTCACCTTATTTACAGGTATAGATTGTAAAAATATTCAGTTGTTAATGTGGGTAAGTGTACTAAAGGGAGCAAGGTGATGTGTACCCTTTGGCTTGCAAGAAGATATATATTATAATGCCACTGTCTGGCCAAAATTTCTGTCATACATGGCATATGCCTATTTTCGAATATCTGACAACTCATCCCAAAGACAACTCATCCCAAGACAACTCATCCCAAAGACAACCCATCGAAAGACAACTCATCCCAATATAAGACATCTCATCCCAAGTTAGAAGACAACTCATCCCAAGATATTAGCTATACTGAAACTCGTACATAAAGATAAGGATATTTCATATTCTGATGAATTTCTATCAGACAGTGATATGGAAACAATCAGCACGACTGGGGCCAACATTTTCAGTAGCATGTATGGTTCCAAGAAGGAATTGAAATGTGTATGCTATGATAAGTATAGGGAGCGCCCAAAACTTAAAACAACTTAAAATTTAAAACAACAATATCAATTTTATTAAAACATCAATTTCATTAGCCCAATTGGTGCAGAAAAGTAGGATGTCAACCCCCATTTCATTTCTCACTGCAATAAAACGAATGGGTTAAATTTATGTTATTGGTTGGTACAGGGATGTTTGTCTGATTATTATAGACTTGTTTACCTGTTTTATTACAGAGATGTTTAGATCGTTTAAGAGGAAGTCGAGAGAAATTGATGACAAGGTTTCGTAAGATAGATATGAATAACGAACCTACCACTGATGATACATTTATTAAAGATTTAATGACAGAAGAATGGAAAAGTTTACAGAGAGAACAAACTGATATAGATGTAAGAATGATAGTTAATATTTCTTCAGTTTAAAAATATCTCCTCTAAATGTCGTGAATATGATTTAGTAAGAAACAATCCGGAATCCCATATGGTTAACGTGTGCAAGTTCGATCAGAAGGTCTGTCATTGAGTCAAATGGTGTGAATTTGATTCCCTGCTTGATCATGACAATTAATACGGTTTCCCAGCTCCTCCACTTTCCTCCCACTGCTAAAGACTGCTACGCGCAAGCAAATTATTGAAATAAAATTGAACCATATGTTAGTCCCGAAATGACTTAGTTTGTATCCAGTGGACGTTAAAGTTTTAACTCGCTCTGAGTTTGATCTCTTCCTTATTTTATAATTATATTGAAGTTATGTTTTTTTAAATAAACAATATTTTCATTCAGTAAATATGTGAATTTGGATTGGGGAAACAAACTATGTCTACATGTAAACCCATCTCTAATTAGATACTTGTACAAAGTATAAAATTATACAGGATAAGAAGAGCTAAATCTGCCTATTGCAGGTCTTTCTTTAGTTTTGAAATGTTATCTTAATTAATAAGTAAACATTAATTAAAAATTATCCAGACCGTAATCAACTCTTGATGCCATCATTAGCCTGCGACAATTAGTAGACTGGAATACATTTTTTGAAAAACAATCAAACATAAAAATGGATAATCGAGACATTGTTTTTTATCATACCGGCTTTAGAAATGTTGATCAAGGCTAGCCTAAAATTCCAAAGCTAATATTTCGGTTCAGAGTGGAGCATTTTGACTGAAATTTTCAGTAGATTCTATTTACGTTATCTAATATTTAGCTATTATAACTAGAACGGTCAACTCTCTATTTAATCTCCCATAATGCCCCATTAAACATACTTGCATTACACATACAGGGCTCAAGCGAGGGGGCGATATGGGCGAATTCAAGCAAAAATTTGCGCCCGGAACGCCTTGGAGCTTGACCACGGCGACTTCTCGATCGCCTTGTGTCGCCGTATCCTGTCTTGGTGGTGACTTGAGATTTTTGTAAGTTACCGGTACGTGAATTGTAATCTCAACAAGCCTCTGGCCAGCTTGAGTTGCTAGCGTCATACCAAATGTGACGTAATACTAATACTAATAGATATATAGATATTATGTTTATTAGTTTGAAGGTGATGTCAATGGTGTTGATAAGATGTTAAGTTTATTTGAAGATATTCAAGAAGAATTGAGACGTGAAGGTACAGTTTTATACACATATTGTCACCCTGGATGTTTCACATTTTCTCTGGAGACTAGAGCTCTCATCTGTTAATATTCATTAGTCCAGGAAGTCTTTATATTCACCAATTTCCTTAATCTCACTAAAAAAAAATCTTGTGAACTCTCTTCTAGTAGCTACATGTGTTTATAGTTGCATTCTGATTGACTGGAAATTAATGGCGCATGATAAGTTAACTAGCAGTGAAAGTTATCATTGAAATTAATACACAGTGTTTATGTCCTTACTTATGAAATAAATAATATGTACATCATCCAAGTGTGATTTCCTTTATGGACGACTCAAACAACTTAGCTATATACTATGACCTTCTGTTTCGTTGCCTGACATCTTATCTTTATAGACAGGACAGAGGGCCTGACAAGGACAGCTGTCTAGTCGTTTGGATGGGATGAAAAACTGAGGTCCCGTGTACACATCGGTGTGCACGTAAAAGATTCCTTGGCAGTTGGAATTCGATATAAGAGTAGGCTGTAGTGCCGCTGTCCAGGCAAAATTTCCCCTCATAGCACACTGTATGGCGTATGCCCGTCTTCATTAGCCCAATTCAGAGCAGAACAGTAGGACATTAAACCCCATTTTATTTCATTTCATTATCTTTATAGAACATTGAAGATGAGAAATTTGTAATTATATATTTATTGAACTAAGATTATTACAAGAACATGAGAAATATATAATTATATTTATAGAACTAAGATTATTACAAGAACATGAGAAATATATAATTATATTTACAGAACTAAGATTATTACAAGAACATGAGAAATATGAAGAAAGTTTACAACAAGAGGAAGTGGTTTTATCTTCAGCCATTGAAAAACTTTCTACAGATGAAGTTATTTGTCCAATTTGTCAGAAGTAAGTTCTAATTATCCTTGTAGTGCTGTTCTAATTATCCTTGTATTGCTGTTGTTTTATATTTTTCAACTTCAATCTAAACGATCAGTACAACCCCGGTAAGCGAGCTAGCGACCCCAGTAACAAATTCGCAAACCCCGCCAATTTGTCAAACCTCTGTACAACCCCGGTAAGCGAGCTACCGACCCCGGTAACAAATTCGCAAACCCCGCCAAGGGGCCAACCCCGGTAACCCCGCCAATTAGTAACCATAGAAACCCCACCGGGGTTTCGGAATAGTATAAATAAAAACGCCCAACACGTGAGTCAAATCAGTCTGAAGAGTTCAATACGAACGAAACTAGTCACTGACATCCGGGATAACCAGGTCTTCATAGCCACCTTATCTCTTATTTTATTTTTCAACTTACTCTGTGAATTGCTCTGTGAATAGGATACATACAGGAACAGTTTTATTTTTCATCTATATACTTTTTTTCTATGTTTTAATTAAATAATTAAAGTTGTATTTCATTGACTCAAAAAATAAAATAAAGGCTTTTAAGTTAAATTACGCATTATGGTATATAAATTGGTTATAACTGAATAAATATTTCTATTGACTCTTGTAGATCAGTGTTGATGATGAATCAGAATATTATATTTTATATTCTAGATCAGTGTTGATGATAAATCGGAATATTATATTTTATATTGTAGATCAGTGTTGATGATGAATCAGAATATTATATTTTATATTATAGATCTGTGTTGATGATGAATCAGAATATTATATTTTGTCGATGTGGAATGAGAATAAACACTGAGGTAAATCATTTGTCAAGTTTTTTATGACCAACTTTAACATCAAAGTACAAGTAGAATGTAAAAAGCAATTTGTCCTTTGGATCTCAGGACCTGATGATGGTCATTTTGAAAAATGTTGTGAAAATTGAATGTCAGTCCAACAATGGTTCAATTTACAAAGATATGCAGATTTGAAAATTTCACAAATTCCTCCAATCTGATTAAAATACAGATCTATATTTCGTTTCGTGTTTTATACTTTCGATGGCCTACACTACATGAAGATCTGACAAGTTATAGCGATAGGTCACGTCAGAGGTCAAAAGACCGACTTTTGACCTTATGGCATCAAACATATGATTAATCAATCAGAATTGATGTTACTAGTGGATTACCCACAGTTCCGTGCAAAACACGCCTAAAGCTTGCTGTAACAGACCGTTTCATTGGCTTATCCCCGACACCATTCAGAACACGAGTTAAATAACAACTCTTTCAGATCCTAGTGTAGTAAAGTCAAGTAAAACGAAATTTTGAACTATAAAAACGAAACGAAATAAAATCTGTGTTTTAACCAGATTGAAATTCCTCTGCAGATGAAAGTGTTGGGTAAAATCTATTGATGGGCCTCTTATTGATCTGCCAGCATGGTTTCCCCTTGCCAGTGGTGCAGGACAGAGAACAGCTGTCTAGTCATCCGGGTGGGATGAAAACTGAGGTCCCCTCTACACATTGGTGTGCACGTTAAAGATCCCTTGGCAGTTAGAATTTGATATAAGAATAGGCAATAGCACAACTGTCAGGACAAAATGTCCTTCATAGCACACTGTATGGTGTTAGGACGTTAACCCCATTTCATTTTTCATTTCTTAATTATCTGATTGAATCCATGCCAGGAGAATATCTATCAATTGATTTTTTGATTTTGTTTTCTTAATTAAATGTTAAATAATTAATGTGAGGATAGTCAGGCATGTGTGGACTGTAAATGCACTGAGATTGAGAGCGTCAAAGCTTCACACTCCTATAGCTAACTGTGTATGTTTTCTTTGGTTTCCTCTGACTGCTTGAGAGCTTTGCATAAAAGCAAAGTATTGAAATAAAGAATCACAATTATTAGTTCCAAAATAATCTGGTAGTTTTCAGTGGATGTCAGTTAGTTTTTCCTGGACTCTTCCAGGAATGCTTCCGGCCACTACTACAACTACTATTAGTTAGAAGCTAATTGATTGCAGTCTTGGAAGTATTTTAGTATTTCCTTTCTAGATAATATTGTTACATGTACAACTGCCAAAATTAACCTTTCTAGCTTATCTGCACCCCTCCCCATATTGTTAATTCATCACTGTGCCCAGGAAAAAAAAATCTAAGAGCGTTTTGAAGTATTGTAGTTTAAGTTTACATGTTATTATTTCCAGCAAGACTATAATTTTGAGCGATGTTTATTATTATTTTACAGCAAGATTGTATAATTGACTGATTTTTATTATTATTATTTTGCAGCAAGATTGTATAAGTTTGGGTGATGTTAAAGTACAGTTAGAATCGGCCATATCACAACACAATTCTTCCTGTTCTTATAATCCTGTTTTTAAGGTCATGTCAGAGTTTGGACCGCAACATTTACTGATGGCTTGTCAGGTAATGATAATCCTATATCCATATCTATTCAAGGAGGGTATTAACAGAATTTCAATTGGTGTTGGGTATAGCCACTGCAGTCATGATACAACATGTATTGCGATTCAGGTGCCACGGTACGATTCGTATTATGATTCATAACCAGGTCAAAATTTACCAAGAAAACAACAGGGTAAATGAATAATTGATATTTTTAGTCCTGCCTATTTTGAAGAAATATAACTGTTTTTTATCACGATATTGATGTGGATCAAAATAAGACCAAAATAATTTAAGAGTGTTTGTGTACCTATGGATAATGTGTGAAGTGGATAATTACCATAGCAACCAAAAAAACATAAAAAAATCGTGATACATCAAGAAGGTGAATCGCGATTCAACGATATATCATGCCAGCACTAATTTCAATTCACTTTCAGAGATTTGCCAATCCTGAAAATAGATGTTATGTGAACAGAATTGTTTCAAACGTTTGAGCTATGGTTGAGATATCATCATATTCAGTTAGCACAATTCTCTTCTACCTAAAATTTCTCTGTTGATATGAAATGAAATGTTTTTATTTGAATTCTAATTATCTTTAACCTGCTTTCACTAATATGGTATTTGTATCATTCGAACGACAAGAGAATTTCTCTTGCCAGGTCCTCCGTCCTGCACAACTGACAGGAAACTAGGCTGGAAAATCTGAGGAACTTTCTCGATTATCGATAGAATTATAGTCAGAACCTTGTGATTAGTGAGTCCAGCACCATACTCATGGAGCCTCCTTAGTTTAAACAATATTTTATTCAATAATCTGAAATGGATTGAACAACCGGCAAAGGCCTATACATAAGTTCTCTACAAACATATAAAATAGTTTAATCTTATGTTTACAGAGCCTGAAAGAATTCAATCCTGACCTCTCATACAAGGCTGTTTAGTTTGTATTTATATTGTCCAGCAATACTATTTTAATTGATTTTTTATTTTTATTTTTGTATTTTTCAGGCCTGTGATTTTATGTACATTATAATATAGAAAAAGTGACATTAAAACATAGCAGGTGTAAAAAGTGACATTAAAATATAGCATGTGCAAACAGTGACATCATTAAATGTAGCAGGTGTAAAAAGTGACATTAAAACAGTGACATCATTAAAAAATAGCATGTGTAAAAAGTGACATTTAAACATAGCCGGTGTAAAAAAGTGACATCATTAAAATATAGCAGGTGTTAATACTGACATCATTAAAGCATAGCAGTTGTAAAAAAAAGTGACATCATTAAAACATAGGTGTAAAAAAGTGACACCATTAAAATATAACAGGTGTTAATATTGACATTATCGTACAACATTATTCAGTGAAGCATGTATATATATGCGATCAGAATACAGTTCTGGATGTGTGAGATAAGGAACAAAAGGAAGTAATTAATAACTTGTTTTGAATGGCTGAATTATTGAATTATGGAAAGTTTGAATGTTGTAAATGTAAGTCATATAGCCAGTGAGTTTTACCACTAGTTGTGTACAATGTCCATACCTTTATAAATTAATTTAATATTCAGAATCTGGAATGATAGAATATATTCTTGTAAATAAATTTGTATATTTTCATTGTATTAAAATATCAGTATTTATTTTCTTTATGTACTTGTTTTCACTTAAGGGTTCAGACAGAAATGTTGGATGTTTAAAGACACATGGGTTCCATGTCATTTCATTAAGATGGCTGTTAATCATTCATTTCAGCAGAAAGTTTGCAGTGGTGTATCTAATAATTACTTATATATTTTTTGCAATGTCTAATTTCTGTGTTGTCCGCAGGTTTATCTTGTAGATTTTTGTTTTGCGTGTAGTGTGGTCCTCCTGCACTTACTATTAAAGAGTTTTGCCTTTATCTTTTCGTTTGCTTAAACATTAAGAATGCGACATGCTTTATATTCTGCTCGAAAAAACTAAGCAGCTGTGGGTGTATGTTGAGTTGCCTGTCAACTCTATCCTTTTCAAATTCTCTGGGATTGTTCATTGGGTCATAAGGAAAACCCAAACTGAAATTCAGAATTTTTAGATCCCATATTACAAGAGTTATCTGTTCGATCCCTGCATTGACCGAGAAAGTTCATCGAGATTTTCCGATGTGGTCTCCCCTTGTCAGTGGTGCAGGACAGAGGGCCTGAGAAGGACAGGTGTATAGTCATTCGGATGAGACGGAAAACCGAGGTCCCATGTATACATTGTCGTGCACGTAAAAGATCCCTTGGCAGTTGGAATTCGATATAACAGTAGGCCATAGTGCCGCTGCCCAGGCAAAATTTCGCTCACAGCACACTGTATAGCATATACTTGTCTTCATTAGCCCCATTGGAGCAAAACAGTAGGATGTTAAACCCCATTTCGTTTCATTTTTTTGCAATAGTTATCTCCCAATTCTAATGTATGAAGGGGATGCTCAATTGTCAGTGCAGAATTGTAATTGAGTGACATAGAGTTCAGTCCTGTCACAATTCTGTCAGTCTCGACAACTGAGGTGGTGTGAGTAGAATAGTGATGTTATTAAACACAACAAATATGTTTCATCTGTCATGGTTGTTTGAGACATTTTCATACGCAGTCGGCGCATGCGTAGTAGCCTGAAATCCCCCTTTTACCAAATTGTCATTACTTTTGGGATTGAGAGAATTCAATTCCCGAATGTTCAATCATGTTTCCTCTATATCTGCAGACTTGGATACAGGTTAGAGAGATCAATTTTCTTTCTTGTCATTGTAACTGTTAAGCTTATGAGAGGGGTTGTATGACCGAAAGGTTAGCATGTACGTATCATATGGTCTGTCATTGAGTCAACTGGTGTGGTTGTACGTGATAAGGAGAAGGGTCCCCTGTCCAACCTAGTGGGTTTTCTCTGTGTCCTCCCAATGCTAAAGACTCCTGCACGCAAGCGAATTATTGAGAAATAAAATTGAACCCTGTTAGTCCAGAAATGAATTACTTTGGGTCGAGTGGACATTAAACCCCATTTCTCTCTTTTTCTACAGCTTATGATTCCAGTATAGGACACTGTTGCAGATAAATTTTTATACTTGCAAATTTTGATGTGGATGTATTATGTCCCCAGCTCCTTGTCGATGTCTCACCGTCCACCTTTTTCGTGTAGACTCTAGAAGTTATAATATTTATCTGATTTTGGTGAAACTTAAAATATACTGTATGATTATATCCCAAAGATTTCGGGTGGGTTTGATTTTGGCACATTTGTATTATTACCGCTGATTGTATGAGATTTTCCCGTCTTTGATTTGTCAGTTTTATTACACTGAAATCGTGGATGAATTGGAATTTTGTAGAAATCGAACCATAACTTCCTGTTAAATTTCTGTCAAGAACTGAGATCAAAATCATATTCCTTGTATTTAATAAGACTCAGATGAAGTCCCGGGTTCACTCTGGAGGTTGTCCGAGAAAGTTTCCCATTGTCAGTGGTACAGAAGGCCTGACAAGGACAGCTGTCTAGTCATTTGGCTGGGATGAAAAACTGAGGTCTGTGTACACACTGGCGTTCAGTTGGAATTTTATATACCTTAAGAGTAGGCTGTTTGGGCAAAATTTCCCTCAAAGCACACTGCGTGGCGTATGTTCGTCTTTATTGACCCAGTAGATGCAGAAAAGCAGCACGTTAAAAAAACATTTCAATGCCAAGTTACTTAGGTTGGACGTTAAACCCCATTTCTCCCAGAAAACACAACATCAATAGTTATATATATATGATTGTTTTATTATTTCATATTTAATAGATTATCACAATATACAACAAGATATATAAACATACATATACACACATTATTTATTTGCAGGTCATAGTTCAATGAAAAATATGTTAGGTCATAATAGTTGGATGAAATACATGTAAGGTCATAAATCAATGAAATACTTGATAGGTCAAAGTTCAAACTGAATATACAATTATATTTGATTGACAGTTTACTCCTACAACACTAGGGAAATGAGGGAATAGACCAATGGAAAGCACAATGTTTTTAAACCAGTTATCTACTATTTGGCCCTATTTAACATCTATGACTGAAACACAGGTCTACCAAGACCAGGACATCCGGTTGTTACTGGTCGGTCCAAAACAGAATCCTATAAATTAAGTTTTGAGGGTTTGTCTTAAGACAGATAATTCGTGGAGTACATTTGAAAAGCATTAAGAAAATATCATGGGTCTGTATACAAAATATTATAACTTAACTCAAAATATGATGGGTCTGTATACAAAATATTATAACTTAACTCAAAATATTATGGGTCTGTATGCAAAACATTATAACTTAACTCAAAATATCAATATCATCCCTGATGAAGTTAGTTAGAAATAGAGAAGGCAACAATGGTAATATAACATATCAAAATACACTAAATCAAAATATTCCTAGCTATATATAAGGTAATATAGAAATATAGAAATCTAATACACCAATTCACTGATGGGAGAGAAAAAATAAAATTTCAGTTATTAATAACAAAAAGAGACCTGATAATCTAACTTGGCATTATAGTAAAACACAAGGAAGATATACCCAGCATTTCTGGTTTATAGTATTACACAACTTAGATGTTTATAGCGAGAGTGAGAGAGAGAAATGGGGTTTAACATCCACACAACACAAACTAGGTCATTTGGGACTAACACATGGTTCAATTTTATTTCAATAATTCACTTATTATTGAAATTCACTTATTACTGGAGGAGAGGGAGAGAGAGAGAAATGGAGTTAACACATGGTTCAATTTTATTTCAATAATTCGCTTGCACGTAGGGGTCTTTACCAGTGGGAGGAAACCGGAGGACCCGGAGAAAACCCCACCAGTTGACACAATGACAGACCTTATGATACTGCGCGCCAGTATTACACAAGTTACATGTAGATAACATTACACAAGTTAGATATTTATATATAACATTACAAAAGTTACATGTACCCAGATTTACAGTAGTAACCTCGTTACATGCACACAGCATTAGGGTAGTACCTGACTGAAGGAATATAGTAATACACAAGGTTACATGTAGCCAGCACTTAAGATTACAGTAATAAATACAATTACCCCATACAGGTATTAAAAAGGTGTGCTATTTAGGACAACCCAAAACAATGAAGGTATTTGAGAAGTGTGAGATTAATTCCATGTACCAAGCAAGACCTAGATTACTGTAGCAAGCAACGCCTAGATTACGGCAACATGTGGACCTATACACTTATGGTAGCAAGAAGACAGAGGACTAAAATGAACAAACACCTATATTTTACTGTTGTATATCAAAAATTTAACCAGTGCATCAGAATTTTAAAAAGTTGTCCCTGGATAATAATAATAAAAATCTACAGTAACAAACATGTAACATGTGCACAACCCAACATTACACACATTACATGTGCACAACCCAACATTAGGCCTACACAAATTACATGTACACCACCCAACATTACACACATTACATGTGCACAACCCAACATTACACAAGTTGCATGTGCACAACCCAACCCAACATTACACAAGTGCCATTTGCACAACCCAACCCAACATTACACCAGTCGCATGTGCACAACCCAACATTATACAAGTCACATGTTCACAACCCAACATTACACAAATGCATTTTAACAACCCAACATTACACAAGTTACATGTACCTATCATTACAGTAATACACAAGTACCCATCATTACAGTAATACATGTGTACCTATCATTACCCAACATTACACAAGTTACATTTAGGTAATTAGAATTAACCCATTTAGGTATTAAAAGGGTGTTCTGCTTGATAAAAACAAACAGAACAAAACACTGGAGGAATTGAAGATGTGTGACATTAATTCCATGTATGAAGCAAGGCCTAGACTATGTAGTACGGTACCAAGCAAGGCCTAGACTATGTAGTACGGTACCAAGCAAGGCCTAGACTATGTAGTACGGTACCAAGCAAGGCCTAGACCACAGCACCATGTACAGCCTAGACTATGGTACCATGTGGGCCTATACAAGAGAAAGACAGAGGATCAATTAAACAATAAAACACCAGTATTGTATTGTTGTATATCAAAAATTTAACCAGTGCAACAAATTTAAATAAATTGTCCCTGGATAATAATAATAATACAAGAGAAGGACAGAGGATCAATTAAACAATAAAACACCAATATTGTATTGTTGTATATCAGAGATTTAACCAGTGCAACAAATTTAAATAAGTTGTCCCTGGAAAATAACAATAAAAATTAAACAGCCTCAAGTCAACTGACTTTGGGAGAGAGAGAGAAACAGAGAGAGGGAAAGAGAGAGAGAGAGCGAGTGTTGATCATGCACTAGGTCATTCTAGGACTAAGATGTGGTAAACATCGGACCTGGGATAATACAATAAGAATGAGAGACGGTGTTTTAACATCCACTCCAGGCAAACTTGGGCATTAGGGGACTAAAGTATCGTAAATCAACAATTCACTTTTACCCAGGCACTTATAGCCAAGATGATCTAATGCCAAGATGTCGGATCACTCAATGGTCTCTCTCCTCTGACTGGTAAATACAAACTACATATAAAAATATGCACCCAGAGGATTGTCACATTTGTTGTTGTATGTCAAAAATACAACCAGTAGAAAAGATGAATTTATGATATCTTTAGTTAAAAAATTAAAATAAGAACATATTTTCCTCTTCCATGTTGATACATAAAATATAAATTATAAGAAACCAACAAGATTGATGTAAGAAATTGGCCTCTCTGAGGAATAGATTTTTTTACTTACTAATCTACAATTATCATAGTTTATCATGGTACTAAAAATTTCAAGAATTCTAATGACCAAAATTGATATATTTCTGTTTCATAAACTCAATAATACCACCATTTTACAAGCCCAAAATCACCAGAGAACCTACTACGAGACCAACACCAGTAGAGAAACTACTACAAGACCAGTACAAGACCAACACCAGTAGAGAAACTGCTACAAGACCAGTAGATGACCAACACCAGTAGAGAAACTAGTACAAGACCAGTAGAAGACCAACACCAGTAGAGAAACTAGTACAAGACCAGTAGAAGACCAACACCAGTAGAGAAACTGCTACAAGACCAGTACAAGACCAACACCAGTAGAGAAACTGCTACAAGACCAGTAGAAGACCAACACCAGTAGAGAAACTTGTACAAGACCAACACCAGTAGAGAAACTGCTACAAGACCAGTAGAAGACCAACACCAGTAGAGAAACTAGTACAAGACCAGTAGAAGACCAACACCTCAAGAGAAACTACTACAAGACCAGTAGAAGACCAACACCAGTAGAGAAACTACTACAAGACCAGTAGAAGACCAACACCAGTAGAGAAACTAGTAAAAGACCAGTACCACCAGAAAAACCACTACAAGACAGGTACAAGACCAACACCCCAATAGAAACTACTACAAGACCAACACCCCCTGGGAAACTAGTACCAAATGTAACCACATTATAGCCGCAACCTAAATATTGTTTTCAAATTCGTAAACATGTTTTATTTGGTCCTTGAGACAATTTTGGTTCATTGCCAAATTGTTACTTTACTCTGTCTATAGAGTTAAATCACACGTATTTAATGAACATGAATATATAGTTATACATAAAAAAAACAGTGATATTTTGGTTAAATCATAATCATTGTCAAAGTACCCATCAAATTCTGGCTGTTTATTGACCTATTGTTGGTAGACCAAAAATAGGTAATGTCTCCTATCGAACTTGTGGGAAATAAAGAAGTTTATATGGGTTGGAAATTAACGTCAAGGTTTTCTTAGACCTGCAGAAATTAGGGGGTATAAATTAGGGTGTAGAAGCAAGTTGGATCAGAGCTCACCCAGAAATTCCTAGCAGCTATTATCATTGAGAACGAGGAACCTGCAAAGCCATTACAACTTAGAAATAAAATTGTGAAACTATTTTATGCTGTAGTCTTATTAAAGATCACCAGAAAGTAAACACAACAATAAGAAGTCCTATAGTACTACACATGTAATTCAATGGAAATGGATGATATTTTGATATATTGGCATGACCTCATGATACAAGTCCGCAAAAGACAGCATGTCATTCATCATGCATGTGAAATTGTAATCACACTTTAAATGGAAATTTATCTGGATGGCTGTCAAGCCCAATGTTCATATTTGGCTAATTCTTCTGTCAATGCACACAAATTAACCATTCACTAATTAATAGGAGAAATCAGAGAATATAAAAGATGAAAATTAGAGTTAATCAGATGCCATTGAGATTGAGAGAGAAGACCATGATGTATATAGTGTAATACTATGGTCCTTGTGACCATATTGTATCTTTAAGTATTTGGTTCACACTTTCTATAGAGTCAAATTACATGTACTTAATGAATTTGAATGATATATTTACATATCAAAAACAGTGATATTTTGGTAAAATCCTTACCATTGTCAAAATATCCATCAAATACTATCTTGTTTATGACATGTGTTTGGTAGACCAAATAAGGTAATGTTTTCCCCCCCGCTCTTTGGGGAATGGGAATGTTTATTCAATGTTTGGGAAGGAAATTACCGCCAAGGTCACTCTTTGATGTACAGAAATTAGGGGGTTATAAAAGAGGGTGTTGAGTGAAATACCTCAGAGCTCACCCAGATATTCTGAGCAGCTATTATCTATACTTTATTGAGAACGAGGAAACACAACAATGATATCTTATATTCCTAGTTTTACAGAAGTCTAATCACACTGGTTCGATTTTGCAGGAGTGGGGGTGGAGAATGAAAGACAGGGTTAGGGTTAGTTCACACTAAATGGGCGCAAAAGAAAGGTGATCATCTACCACAAGTACGAGTGACCAGCTTCAATAAATCAAACAAACTTGGCAAAAAATTCAAGTCAAGAAAAGAACAAATCCAGAAGCTGTCTCTACAATATTCGAATCATCATAAAACTGATAAATATGACAGCCATGATATTGACGACTGTCGATTGGTTTAGAAGAAATGAAATGGGATTTAACAGCACGGGCGATATGTATTGTGTAAAGATGGCTATACTGACACTGCGTGTGAAAAGTGTGATGATTGTTTGTGCTTCAATGAGAGCCACAATTGCTATAGAGTTCATCACATTGCACGAATCGAATCGGTGTGCATAAACTTTGATTTATCAAGGAGTCATAATTATCAGGTACACTATGCATACCGTTCCCAGTAAAAAGGTCCAACAGAACTTTGAAAAACTTTGGAAGATATAAATGTACTGCTTTTAAATTTGTTGACTTGAGTGATATAAGTAAGCCGATATCCCCAATTTTATAGTTTTCTTGCTTTTCAATTAAAACAGAGCCAGAGCTAACATTCCTCCAGCTACTGTGAATCCCAAGTCCCAACACTTGTCTATCTGGATCTATACTTTTGGTAACAAGAGGTGGACAGAGGATAAATTAAACAACACCAGTATTGTATTGTTGTATATCAAAGATTTAACCAGTGCAACAAATTTAAATAAATTGTTCCTGGATAATAATAATAATACAAGAGAAGGACAGAGGATCAATTAAACAATAAAACACCAATATTGTATTGTTGTAGATCAGAGATTTAACCAGTGCAACAAATTTAAATATATTGTCTCTGGATAATAATAATAATAAAAAATTAAACAGCCTCAAGTCAACTGACTTTGGATGAGAGAGAGAGAGAGAGAGAGAGAGAGAGGTCATACTAAGACTAACATGTGGTAAACATCAGACCTGGGATAATACAATAAGAATGACAGATGGTGTTTAACATCCACTCCAGACAGAAATGAAAAAGAATAAAATGGGGTTTAACAGCATATATCTTTTTTTTTTTACACCAACCAGGTAAATGACGACTGGGATAGACCGTTGCTACACAGTCTACAGGGTCATTTTGTCTGGACAGTGCTGTTTCCATCGCCTTTTCAGTAAATTCAAAGGTCATGGATTTTTTCTCATGCACACAGGATCTCATTTTTTGATCCCATTTGAACGACAAAGCGTTTTTTTCTTGCCAATTGCCATGACCTCTGTCCAGCACCATTAACAATGAAGGAACTATCTGAGCGTACCACAGGATTGAAGATGGGACTTCTTGTTGGTAACAGACCCACTGCCAGCACCCGTAAAACAGAGCCAGAGTCAACACTCGTCCAGCTACTGTGGATTCATAAATAATACGGACACGCTCTGCGAGAAATTTGATCTTCGCCTCTGCTTTACACATGACCGTAATTGTTTTAAAAGATACCACAACTAACTTTACATTCAGAACAGTCACTTTTTAAAAGAAAAAAAACCCTCTAAAATTTGTCTCGATCAAGAGTCAAGAGTGCGAGTGTTACTATGGGTTACCATCAAAGCCCGATGTGACTTATGTGAAACATAGTCCAAAAATACTGTTTGTGACAAAAATAAAATTTTGATGCCAAAAATGTGTTTATTTATGTCCAAATAGCCTAGATATTATAGGAAATAATTTTAGGAAGAGTACAAGTACCTTTGGGTCTAAATTAATATAAAACTGTAATAAAGAAACTTTTGCATTTGTTCCTGTTAAATAGTATGTAAAATGCAGTATATTCAATCACAATGGGAAACTGTCATTAATGTGGAATGTCAGAATGACATCTAAAGATACACAACGTGAGTTGTAAGAGGAGGATTACAAGTATAACTAGAGATAATACAATGGATGATCAAGGCTTGTTCCACGCTATGTAGTAAGAAAAGGGTGCATGGATCATACACCGGATGTGGCGACCGGTTTTGAAGGTATGGTTGCTTTCCACGCCTGACAGACGACCCATCGTACTACAAAAGAACTTACCCTGTAGTTGTAATTTCGATCACAGAGAGAACACAACAACGAAATCCAGTAGTTCTACAAACATCCCAATTAATTATTACATATCAATGACCAATTGGGTGGTTTAAATGGACACTGATTACCAAAATTACCGGGTCAGCTTTAAACTGAACACAAGTACAAATTAATTGATTTGGGGTTATTTTAGATGATTTTTTTTTAAATTTTCAAACAAAGATTTGATACTGAATAAATGTGAATGAAATTAGGGGTAAATACGCAAGATCAAATGATACCTGCTTTACAGTGACGGAAGATGTATGTATATCGAAATACTGGAGAAACAACCAAATTATGGATTCAGTTATTGGAGGATAAACTTTACCACCGTTACAGCAACGCAAGTCAGACAAAAATCAATTACACAAATCGATATGGGTATATTCAAGTTTTAAATCGTAACAACTAGGAGACAGCGCACACGTGCTAACCATTCAGCCATTCATCACGCCCAAACTATGTGAAAACAAAACTCAGAGGAAGACGATAACCATATCAACTTGGTAACTTAAAGACAGTTGAATATCTTATTATCTTTTATAAAAATAGGCAAAAGAAACAAAACAAACTAACAGTATAAATACATACATGTATATCTATTTTTTTTAATCTGTGGAATAACATACATGTATATCTATTTTTTTTAATCTGTGGAATAACATTGAAAATGTTGTGAAAGTCATGAAGAAATCTGACCAACAGAAGATTTTTTATCTTTTTTTTTTTAAAAAATTAGACTGGAAAATGATAAGATGTAGTAAGATTGATGCACTTTTTGCTTTTTAAAGTAATAAAAGTATTCGGCAGAAGTCACATCGCCTGTCATATTAGCCATATACTTATTTGAGAACGCGTCCTTCCAGTTTATTCAAATAAAATATAATAAGAAAGAACCTGAACTGTAGTTGTAGGTTTAGTCACGGAAGAGAATACGACGCGAATGTTAAAGATCCAATAGTACTACAGTTAGATTTGGAGCTGTGACTCAGGATTGACCTTCAAGGGGAATCTGGAAAATAAGAAAACAGTAGGAACCAGTCATCAAAAGAAATCTGGTGGAAAAAAATTTGGTGGGGAAAAAAAAAAGGTTGGTGGAAATATTCGCAAATGGGGAAATACATCTTTCTGAAAAATTGAACAAGTAAATTTGTTTAAAAGACCAAAAAATGCTCAGTTGTTAATGTAATGTAAGATTAAAATTAAATAAAATAAGAGTGACAGGTGTTTAAAATTTAATTGTAGGATATATAATATGTTTATTAGAAAGGTTGACATATACATGTAACTTAAACATTTATGTAATATGATTAGCTTTCGGAATGTCAAATTTGATGCATTTCAGTTTAAAGTGGGTCTAGCGGGTGCGTTACAATTTTATTATTTTTTTAAAGTATAACTTAGGAATAATGATAAGGAAATGGGTAGGGAATAAAATAAGTTATTAATGGTGTCTTCGAATCAAAGTAGAAAGACGGCAGAGCTAAGAATGAAGTATAACTAAGGAATAATGATAAGGAAACGGATAGGGAACAAAATAAGTTATTAATGGTGTCTTCGAATCAAAGTAGAAAGACGGCAGAGCTAAGAATGAAGTATAACTAAGGAATAATGATAAGGAAACGGATAGGGAACAAAATAAGTTATTAATGGTGTCTCTGAATCAAAGTAGAAAGATGGCAGAGCTAAGGATGAAGTTTGCGAGTGATTAACTCCTAGTTTTCTTGTTGGTTGGCCTCTTGATTTTAGTTACCAGGTATGTTTTTCTGTATTTAGGTTAAAGTGAATCATTATAGGACTTTGAAGTGCAGTGATGAACTTTTGGAGATCGATTGCATGCAATTTTTGATTTTTATTTATTTGTGTTTTTCTTTGATATTTTTATTCTTGAAACAGATTGTTGATATTTAATCTTGTATAGTGATCGTATATATCTGCATGTTGCATGAATAATTATATGGTTTATTTTAGGAAATGGAAGTTTTTAAGGGTCTCGTAGCTGATAATTTCGCACAAATCTTAAAACAGGGGAGGTAATGTAATAATTTTGATGGCGAGCTTTGTGCTACATGTATGAATGCTTATATAATCCTATGGTCGTTGTAAAGGTTTCAAGGGATCTTTTGCCTAATACTGAGTAAAAAATCTAAAGAAAGGGATGAATGTAATAAGATTGAGAGAATTTTTGCTCTTTAAATTAACAATATCAGTCGACAGAACTCACATCACCTGTAATATCAGCAATATACTTGTTTGAGAATGAGGAAGATTTGTGACTAACGTGTCCTTCCAATTTATTCAAATAAAATATAAGAAGGAACGTGAACTGTAGTTGTAGGTTTAGTCATGGAAGGGAATACGACGTGAAGATTAAAGATCCAATAGTGCTACAAAGACACGGTTCATGTGAAAGTAAGTAAGTTGAAATAGGTGAATGAGAACCCCTTCCCAAAAAGTCTGTATCGTTTATTATTCTAAAAAAAATGACATTAGCATTAGATTAAAAGTATGCTTGAAAGTGTTTTCGTTAACTTTGTGTTGAAGAAATGAGTCGTATTGCACATGTGATTGGTACAGAGTCAAATGGTGAATCTGAAACTTCACAGACCCAACTTCATATCAACAAAACACCGCTGAACGAAATGGCATCTACATTTCAATATCTCTGCCTTTAATTCCGTTCCACATGGGATAAATATGAGTTGAAGACTGTGTGAAGTTTGCTGGTACTAAACTGTAAGATCTATGTGTGTCGAATATAAAACAGAGGATATACACATGTAATTAACAATCATTATTACACATAGCTTGTAAGGTATACCAGATAGTGATCCAACTTGAAACATACAGAGAATAAATCAACAGTGTAGGCTTAAATTCAGACCTCAACAGAGACCATTCTTTCGATCTTCAAGCTGAGTTAAAACTATTTTTTTAGTCTCAAAAACTTATGTTTGTGTTTATGTATCCGTCATAAACTCTGCATCTGAGATGTATCCTGCTTGATATTAAAAAAGAAAGAACAGTGTTTTCCTAAGTTATATTGAGTACCGGGGAGAAGTCCGTTTAGAAGTCCAATCTTTAAGTCCACTATTGAAACACAATGTGAAGTCCAGGATTTGAGAGCTGCAACTGGTTAGTTTTACACTTGACAATTCACAGAGAATATGTGTAGTAGGATTTGGTATGCCAGTGATCAGGATAGGCTTCCATATTTGACTAGCTATGCTACATATGACAGAATAAACAGTTTAACACAGAAATGAGTTGATACGACAGAATAAATGGGTCAAAAAAGCAAGTTCACCAGTTTGTTCTGAGCCAACTCTGGTTATAAATGCCCATTAAAAGCGCCTGATTAATAGTCGCTCTTAGCAACCAAAAAGGAATATGTGGCAAGATATAAAGCTGCAATATTGGATGCTCAGACAGAAAATATTGCATTTGAAAATAAAATTAGAATTCAGTTTTATTACAATTTTTTTTTAAGAGTCGTATGCTCAGACAGAAAATATTCCATTAAAAATTGACTGAAAATCTCTGCATTTGCACCATTTATTTGTTTCGTTTTTTTTTAAACGTTTTAAAATAATTAAGTTTCAATTTTTTTGGGGGGAAATATTTTAAAAACATTTTTAATACAAATTACATTTTTCTTAATCTTTCAAAGCCAGGTGCTATTCTTGAGAGCGGTGATCTGTGACTAAAGAATAAAGTTTAATGGAACCTGAACTGTAGTAGTTTGGTCACAAAAGAAAAGCACATTGCTGAATGTCAAGTAATAACATCCCTGAAGTAAAAAAAAATATTTACAACAAATATATGGTAATGCTGGGTACATGTATATACATGAATGTAACTCTGAGTAACTGTATCTTAACTACATTATAATGCTGGATACATGGACTTTGTGTAACTGTGTTATAACATTATAATGCTGGGTTTACATGGACATTTAATTGTATGTAACTTTGTGTAACTGTATTTTTACTATATGGTAATGCTGGGTACATAGACCTTTAATTCTGTGTAACTGTATTTTAACTATATTGTAATGCTGGGTAAATAGAGCTTTAATAGAATGTAACTATGTGTAACTATATTTTAACTATATTGTAATGCTGGGTACATGGAGCTTTAATAGAATGTAACTTTGTGTATATTAACTATATTGTAATGCTTGTTACATGAACACGAACCATTATCAGTTATCTTGTACAAAACTCATAAAATTTGGTCTGCTAAAAATCTTAAAATATTCTTAAAGTATCTAGCTTCCCAATAAAACACCTATAACCTTTAGAACCAATTTCTCAGTTCTAACTTTATCACACATAGTAGTCTATTGAAATTGAGCTTTCCAAAGTCAATGTTTAAAAATGAAATAACTAATATAAGAATATTCATAAAAAGTTTAAAACAACCCTGTTTTATAATCACATTAGTCAACAGTGGCTGTTTTATAATCAAATTAATCAACAGTGGCTGTTTTACAATCAACATTGCCTGTTTCATTATCAGATTAATCAACAGTTGCTGTTTCATAATCAACATTATAATCAACATCAGCTGTTTTATAAACAACATTGACTGTTTTATGATCAACAGGGGCTGCATTATAATCACTGCTGCTGTTTTATAATCACTGTTGCTGTTTTATAATCAAGTTAATCAACAGTGGCTGTTTTATAACCAAAAAAACATCAACAGCGGTGGTTTTATAATCAAATTAATCAATAGTAACTTTTTTGTAATCAACATTGGCTGTGTCATTATCAGATTAATCAACAGTTGTTTTTTTATAATCAACCTCGGCTGTTTTATGATCAACAGTAGCTGTTTTATAATCAAATTAATCAACAGTGACAAATTGTAACCCAGCTTAAAACACAATAAAGTACATGTAGTAAGGGCATCTGTACAGGGGTAATTCACTTGATGACCCTGTGACCCAGTTAGATGTGACATTGGGTTGAGAGAAAGAGAGGAGAGAATGAGAGGAACATGCGCAAAGAAGGTGAAAGAATAAAGCAGAAAGGGGACAAGGGGGAAAAACTCTGTTTGCATTGCACTGAAAAGGGCTGTTTCCCTGTCATCCTGATATGACTTTTCTTGCTACTGATGGTGAGAACATCATACCCGCAGAATGATGAAAAAAAAAGGGTGTGCATATTTTGGGGAATCACCCTAAATTTTCGCACCTCCCAACAGTTGAATCACGTCACAATGAAGGAGAACGTACGAAACGTCAATCACATCGAACCTCTTCTCATTTCCAATACTTTCAAGATTGCAAGATCACTTAACTGACGTCTCTGGACACGCTCTGAGAACAAAAAGTATAAAATCGTGTATTACAAGCGTTTCATTCAATTTAATAAAGATGGAGAACAAAGCAATATTTACCCCCTATGGATAATGACTTTCGTGTCTCAGGAAGATGTGAACCAGCAGAGGATGTGGATATAGTCGAAAAGCTAAGACTGCAAAGGCCTAACTTTCGTGTTAAAAGAAAGGCAGCGCGAGGAGTGCCTACCCTTTATTGTCACTGCCTCTGCGTGGCCTAGCCAAAACTACAAGACATCGATAGCGTGCTTGGAAGTATGATGGACGATCCAAGTGATCGATTCGAGAAGTGGGGAGACGAACAACGATGGAGGGAAGACATCGTGTAAACCCTGAGAAAGTACTGGAAGGTGGTTGCAGGGTTTAAGATGGTGATGATCAAACAAGATGGACATTGGGAACACCTGCCACAGACAGAGCAAACATCTTGTCAAGTGCCAGAAGAAACCTGTTCCACAGTGGTCTGAGAATCAAAAGTGTTCCTACTAGGAAGACACAAACCCTCTCATTCTAGGATGATAGGACAACAGCCCTGAAGAATTCAATGCAAAGAGAGTTTTAGCCTCCCTTAGTCCCATTCCTCCCTTGTCTTTCTTACTTCTCCTCGCCCAGTGCCTCTCTTTCTCTTGAATTAGGTCATAGGGGTCCTCCCTCCATCATGACTAACTAGGTCACAGGATCAATATGTGAATCATCCCTGTACAGACACCCTTACTACTAATAATATCATATACTTTTAATCCATTAAAGTAGACAATTGTATAAATAAAATAGAGGTAGCCCAGATTGCTAGGCAACAAAATGGCTAATTACGTTGAATTTTGTAATAAATGCTGCTGGCTATAAAACTGTAATACATGTATATACCTTTAAATATAAATATACTTTTAAATATAAATATATACCATTACTATAAATGTAATTGAGGTTAGGAAAGAAATATACATGTATACGAGTAACTCTAAGTTCTGTAATATCACTGCACATGTGTACCAGTCATGCACATTTAATCGAATTCTGGAATATCACGTCATTAAATAGAACCATTTGGATTCGCATTTATCAGATAATGTTTTCATTTCTTACTTAAATGGTATAATGTTAATTTGATATAATTCAAATTATGACAAATGTCATTAAAATAATTTCAATTTGAATATAAATGTTAGGCAAGAAATAGAATTTTAATGCTTTTAATAGTGAAAAGGTCTAAGAGACATCAGGAAGACAAAATCGATAAAACATCAAAAGACCATCATTTCAAATTTCATGCAACAGAAACTGGGAAACCAATCTTTGATATAGCAGGCTGTTTTTGAATATCTTTTTTAAGTAATCATGAAGCCAAATATAATTTAAATTGAAATGAAAATGAAACTAGCTTTAACTTTTTTAATGTTCTTCAAAATTTATTTGAATCTATTCAAAGACACAATAAACCTACCGGCCAATAATAATTTGCCCTATTTAAAATACAGATGTGACGTCATCCTTCAATGTTGGCGTACCATTATTTCCAATAATGTACGGGCAACTTGCCAATCGTACATTATCTGTACTAGATGAAATATTGGACTCCCGTGACATATTTCAATGAAAAGCATTTGCGGGATAGTGCCTGTATTTTAAGTTATTTATTGGTCTTGAGCTAAAGACATTGCGTAATATATTGAAACAACACTTGGCTCATGCAGTATGAATATATTACTTAATGTCTCGCTCTCGACCATTCAACCATACTAAATGTCTTTTAGTGTGGGATATCTATATTAAATCGTTTACGTTCATGTACATAAATATAGAACACCTATACATCAATAGATATTTGTCATGACCTGGGCTAAATTCTACCTTTAAACAAAACAATGAAGACATAAATATCATACAAATTTACAGGACATTAATATAACGTGAAATGGTGTGGCAGATTCACAAAAACTTAAAAAATGAAATATTTTAAGGCTACTTTTGATTCCATTTGATTGGCTGAATGGTAAAAAATCCTGAAATATTTTAGCTCTTTAGGTCAGACTGTTTTCTGTGTATGCCATGGTGCTATCTGAAATATATGGACCAGGAACTAAGTCTGACATCACTGGCACTATCATGGAACTGTGGCCTCATAAAATATCGATGCACAAATGTCCATGAAACAAGCTGTTCCTTGTCAATTGTTATTCAATTGGCTGGGAGCCTTAGGCTTTTCTTTGAAGAGATTTGTCCCCAATAACAACAAGTTGAGTAGCATTTGGAGAGTAGTAAGTGGTCCAAAATGTTTCAGTTTAAAATGTTTGTGAATAATGCCTCCTGATCAACAATAACAGAGAAATAATAAACAACAGAATATCAAGAATTAAAAAAAAAAAAATAAGAATCACAGTAGTATGGTTTGTTGATTATCATCATTTAACATAATAAAAAATATATACGTACATCGTAATTTACAACACAACTTTCATAAACATTACTCAACCTTTCCCTCAAAACTATCATACACACAGCATTCTACATTTCTATCAAAACTATCATACGCACAGCATTCTACATTTCTATCAAAACTATCATACACACAGCATTTTATTTTTATCAAAATTATCATACACACAACATACACCATTCTTCATTTCTATCAAACACACCACAACATACACCATTATACATTTCTATCAAAATTTTCATACAGACCATTCTATCAAAATCATATCATTTAATTGAGCATGTCACAGTTGTTAAAGAACTTTCATTTTAGGCTACCATTATTATTTTATTACAGGCTAACATATGACATCAACCTTCATGTCCTATTGCCATAAACTAATTGAAAATGTAGCAAAATATTTTTAATTAAAAAAAAGTTAGAAATTAAAAACGTCATATGAAAATGCGAATTTGGGAGTATTGGTTGTAGACGGTAATATCATGCCATTTTAAACGTTATATACATATACACTACACAGAATAAAAGACCTTTTTAAAAAAAAAAAAAAAAAAAAAAAAAAATTCTTCTCGGTATAATTTTGATTAATTGATAAACTATTTCTGCTGAGTTTACACTGGACACAGCAAGACAGTAAAGGTATAAAAATGTAAGCCTTTTCTGGGGCGGTTTCACACAGACAACATGACAGCGTCATCAATGAATACAAATATCACATTGTACACAATGTAGATAATGTTTTATGGACATCACCAATTTAAACTTTCATTCCTTAGGTACAACTAGAAAAAGTATTTGCTTCCTATTTCCATTTAAGAACAAACATCATTTGTTTGCTCTTTTCAAAAACTTTCAGTTTCAAATTTTAAACAAGATATTCTTATCAAAACCCTGAGAACTTTAAATTAGATTGGTTTGACCTCATAGAGAAGGATGTAGATAGCACTCAATATTGGAAATTACAAATTGTATAAGGAAGGCATTTATCAGAATATACATGTAGCCTCTACATTAAACTGAATTATAGGCAAGAGGAAGATTTACTTGCAATATTTCAAACAAATTGAATTTTTTTTTTTTAAACATAGCCAATGCCCTTGTATAGGTCACAATACTGGTGTTAAAAAAAATGTCATTATATGGGTTGTTTTGTATAAAAGAGGAAATGTACTGGATATAAATTCAGATAGAAAAATAAAATTTCTTTTTATAAAACGTGACGGGAATGAATGCCCTAATAAATGGAGTATGGTAGGTCAAAGGCCAATATTTATTTCAGAATACAAATATAAAATAATTGATATTTTTTATAAGGCTAGTTAAGAGAAATTGAGAAAGAAATGGATTTGCATTACAATGAAACATTATACTGACATATAAAGATATTTCAATTATAACTCTCAACGAATAATACATATACCTGAACACTCCACACAATTTCTATGCAAATTAAATGACACCATTTTTAAGACGATCCTTCTCACTGAAGATCTTTAACTGCACCTTCTTCTGTTATCTGTGTAACTTGATATTTTCTTTTAAAAAGGATATAAAATGTCAATAGATCTCTTTTGATCAAAACAGCAAGATGATACGCCCGAAGAAAACATTTCTTTCGAAATGCAAAGCTCAAAATAGCCAATAGAAAGACTCTTTAAAAAGTTTAAAGTTTGCACTCTCTCATCAATTAAAGTATCAAAAAAAAAACGTCTATTGAAAATTGTTACTGTGGTTTATGTAGCTGAAGCAAGTTGTTTGGAAGTTTTCTGTCATGAAATATAGACTGAACACTTTTATCGAAGCACTAATGAATAAAATGAACACATTTATGTACTGATTTGATAATCATATGGACGATTTAGAATTATCTGCTAAAAGTTATGAAAGCGGTTCAAGCAAACTGGAACAGAAATTAAAGTCGCTGGAAAGTCTAAAATCATTAGAGTTATCTTCCCATTTCATTTACTCGATAAAATCACAGACATACATACATGTATAAAGCACAATAAAAAACATTTATTCTGTCACTTCAACACCACCCTTTAGTCTCTTCTGCTGATGTTTTCTTTTTTTGAAATAAAATCGCTACGGAAGAGTCTATAGAGCAAGACGATATTCATAACGGTTATTATAGCGAGTCCGATACTACCGACGGAATAGAACGCCAAAGGTATGAGATGTCTATTAATCACAATCCATCGAGTCATCCAGGATAAAACAGATATTCTAAATACAACAAACGTTCCTGAAATCACAAAAAATATAAATCTTTGATAAAAAGTACATGTATGTTGCAAAATTTTCAATTGACCATACTGAATGGAACTGAATCCCTTTAGACTGATATTCCTTATTTATAGTAACAGAGAGAGAGAGATAGAGAGAGAGTGAGAGAAATGGGGTTTAACGTCCACGCGACACAAACTAGGTCATTTCGGGACTAACATGGTTTAATTTTATTTCAATAATTCGCTTGCGCGTAGGGGTCTTTAGCTGTGGGAGGAAACCGGAGGAGCTGGAGAAAATCCATGAGGTTGGTAGACGACCCAACTCCTTGTCACGTACAACCTGGGATTCGAAACCACACCAGTTGACTCAATGACAGGCCTTATGATACAGCGCGCACTTATTGTAACAGATCTTTCACAAGATTCCTCAATCCCTCAAATGATGATGGGCAACTAATTAAGCTAGGGTTTCATGATTCTTATTTTATAGTTTCTGTTATTAGTGTTGAATGTACATGTACCTACATCATCCTACATGTATATATAACGCTCCCACCATTTTTTCCTCATTAGTAAATTTGTATGATTGATAACAACCCGTGAAATCTTGTGAAATCTTGTCGAAATGTCGTGTGTGTAACTATAGTGTTTGTTATCCATTATCCATAGAACAGTGTTGTGTTATTTTGTAGCTTGAAAGGGATTTCTATATCCATCCTATAACAATTGGCAAGGTCTATTAATTAGGCCTACAATGATTAACCAAAATAAATTGTCTTTTGAAAAAAAAAAACCTCTAAGCAGTACTTACCTAAATTAATAAGACTGTTTAATCTATAAAGACAATTATTCTTGGAGTACCCAAGGATTTGTAATAATTGACGAATGTGGAGGAAGATGCTGTTTAATTCAACCAATAAACTAACAACAGCATACCCAACATACAGACGGGTAAACACAGCTATAGAAAACGCACAAAATATCTGAAACAAAATCAATACAAAAATTTACTAAATAAGTTTATCTTAATTGATTTTACAAGCGCACAATCACTCAGTTTACATTATTCTGAGAGAGAGAGAGAGAGAGAGAGAGAGATGTACATGAAATGAAATGGGGTTTAACGTCCTACTGTTTTGCTCCGAACTGGTCTTCGAACTGGGCTAATGAAGACGGGCATACGCCATACAGTGTGCTATGAGGGAAATTTTGCCCGGACAGCGGCACTATGGCCTACTCTTATATCGAATTCCAACTGTCAAGGGATCTTTTACTTGCACGCCAATGTGTACACGGGACCTCGGTTTTTCGTCTCATCCGAATGACTAGACAGCTGTCCTTGTCAGGCCCTCTGTCCTGCATCACTGACAAGGGGAAACCACGCCGGAAAATCTGGATGAACTTTCTCGGCCAATGCAGGGATCGAACACCCGACCTCCAGGCTAGCGAGCCAGCGCCTTACCCACTTTGCCACCGTGATCCCCAAGAGAGATGTACATGTAGGATAGATTGTTTATTAATGTAGCAACGGTAATTTCCAACCAATTCACCATTTCAAATGGAATCATTAAATGGCTATCGTCTTTCAATCCATTTAAATTTCGACTATGCGATTGTCTAGAAAGTTGATTACCCGGTATAGGTTTGTCATGCGAATGAATGTCTAAATTCTATTTTATTTATATAACATTTGAAGCCAAACAAAAAAACTGCCGGAGACAGATTTATATGATGCACCTTTACAAATGACAAAGTTTAATCTAACGTTTTAATGACTGACTGTCCCCTCTCCGTCTCTTAAAGGACAATATTGGTGTCAGTCATTATCACATATTTGATAGAACTGGTTAAACACGTTCCAAATATAATTTTAACACAGAGATCATTGCTATGATCATTCCGATTCAGGAAACCTGTATTACTCAGCTATCATAGCAATGATCTCTGTGTTAAAATTATATTTGGAATGTGTTTAACCAGCTCTATCACATATGTGATAATGACTGGCACCAATATTGTCCTTTAAACTTAACCTCTTTCGATAAAGTCACTTACCACAGTATGGTGTCCAAGTAGTTCAAATGATTGTCTGGTCCTCTGGTACAATAACATATCAACAACATCGTATACAAAATATCCTGAAAATTACAAACACAATATAGGCAACACATCAATGACATCGTACACAAATTACACATATCAACATCACACACACACACACACCTTTTCAAATGTTTTCATCAAAATGTTCTTCTCTGGAAATTTGTATTCAAGCATGAGAGCGGCTTTGGGACAAAAAGTGGGAAATTTCCCTCCTCCTCCCCCCCACCACTCCCACCCCATAGATGCAGTATCCAAACAGTTTGTACATACATGCTGCTTATCAAATCTGTTTAAAAATTACTTAAAGATGCATTGTGTAAGATTTAGATAAAGAGCAGACAGTTCTCACTTTAATCGTTAAAAAATAGATAATGAAAAGGTAAATATGTTGAACATTTCAGTCAAATTACATAATTCTGAGCGATGTTAGTACTGCTTAGAGAAAAGCAGAGTCTTGATTGTCATTGCTACTGTTACGATAGTAAACAAAGGCTCAATTATACATTTTCTAATTAAATCATTAACCGTCAATTGTGTATAAATCTGTTGAAAATCTTGGGCATCTGAGTGCATTGAGATTTGAATATGGTCTTGGCAAGTTAATAAATTAATCATTTATACAACATTTACATGTACATGTAAGGTATGCAATAGACAGATTTAGCTCTTACATAATGTAACTTTACAATTGAGAACACACATGTACATGTACCACCAGCAACTGGAGAGACTGCCATGTGCCCACACAGCAGCTATATATGATCGGCAGATTTTTTAGCCTAAATGAAATCTTGGATTTTGACCAAATTTGGTAAGAAATATGGAGCATTCAAGGGATCTGGCCAGGATTTCACAAAGCATTCTCAAACTTAAGTTACGAATTTACTCAAAATTGTTCGCTTTATTTAGCCCTTTATAAATCTTTTGTTGTTTTAATGTATTAAAGTTTTGTGTATCTGGATCAAAGATATTTCTCAAAAACAGTTATTGAAAGTTGAGTAAATTCTTAACTTTAAATTCTCAACTTTAAAGTCTGAGAATACTTTGTGAACTCCGGGCCATATCTCTATTGTGTTCACAAGCTATGTACAAAAACAAATACCAGTGGATGCCAGGCAAGATACGCCCACATTTTGCAAGGGATGGACAGACAACAAGCTATAAAAAAAAAGCGATATTTACATAAAATCAGGCGTCATCAGTTTCATTGAAATCAGATAAAAAATGTGACCTCTACAGATAGTCCACATTCCACAACCTACATGTATTTGTTTACGGGTAGAGGCTATTTTGTGGGGCAGCTCCGGTCTGATTTTCATGAAATTTGAACTCAACTGTCATTATGGTGTAACGGTGATGAATTTAACCAATTTTTTAAAATGGATAAAAATTGTGACCTCTAGACAAGCAAAAAACTCGATTTTTCATACATTCAGGGGCCAAAGTCTAGGAAATTATGGTCCAATGTATGCGAATACCTACAGGAACCGCGATCTTTTGGATATAATAAACTTTTATTCATCAATATTGAATACAAATTGTGACCTCGAGAGGGTCCACAACCTTGGGTATTATGTACATGTACATTTTGTCAGTCTGTTTCAGTCAGACTTTCACGAAATTCGAACTCAACCATCATTAGGTTGTAACACTGATAAATTTAAACGCTTTTTGAAATCTGATAAAAATTGTGACCTATAAAAAAGCTATTTTTTGTACAATCAGGGGTCATATTCCTGGAAGTTATGGTTTGATATTAGTGAATATCGAAAGAAACTGAGATCTTTGGGATATAAACATATATTTTAAGTAGTGTTGAAACTACTATTCGGATATTCGTTAACGGATACAAAATAAGGGTTATCCAAATCATTTTACTATCCGTTTACTATTCGTTACAATATATTCTGACATTCCGTATGCTCTATATTTTGCCATTTTTACGTCTGATTACTTTAAAATTTTCCCCAATGCAATTAATCATGTACGCAGCTCTGAGCATAAATGTCAACATTATGCGTATTATTTAGTGATAGTAACTAATAAAATTATTAATGCAGTGCAACGAAAACAGTAGTCTAAATAAAAAAATATTCATTCATTCCCTGCACTAGTTTACGGCATACGAGTTTAGACCGTGTTTTGACTTCCCACAATGAAATTTATTCATAACGACCTAGGTCACGTATATTCCCACTCACTGATTGGTTCAATAGTAGTAGATTATCAGAATGAGGCAAACGACCTTGCCGGAATAAATGGCACATGGTTTTATTTTACTTTTTTCATTCGTGTTGATTGAGGGTGGGAGGGTGCGGATAACAGGAGTAGTTATATTATACAAATTCCTTCACCTCATTGATTTTTTGGGATGTCAGACCGATGTCACAGATAGTCTTAATAATTACGGCTAAAGGTAGGCACGTTTTTTTTCTTCGCGGCTCAAACAATTTGCAAATCGAAAGTACGATTTCATACTCGGCATACACAGACACTCATAAACATTGAAACAAGTAAGAAATTATGAGTACCGGTATGTGAACTTTTGATGTAATTTTGTTCAAGAATTTCAAGTCTCCGAATTATCCGAATAGTATTCGGATAGCCAACAAAAGTATTCAGATCACAAATCTTGATCCGATTTTCAACACCAATTTTAAGCAGGGCTGCCGACAACCAGTATCGCAGCACAATTTGCGATACATATTTTGTCCGTTGCTAATCAAAAATTTTGGATATTGACACAATGATTATCCACATTTTGAAGACTACGAGGCTTTCTCAAATAAAATTTTATAAACAAAACTGAATTCTCTGTGTGACATTTTCTTCTCGAACTACCCAGACACTTAATTTATTATACTATATAATACAGGGACATAACTCTATGAATAAGCCGGAAATGAGGAATCAAGTAGTACCACTCATGTTGTGAGACATGTCAATTTCAAGTAATTATATCAGTAGTCACTTTGAAAGAAATAAAACCAATGTATCCCGCACATATTGTAAATAAAATAAATACATGGTAACGTATTGTAAAGTAAGAATTCCCGTAAAATATTATTGTTTATATCGCGTGTCTAGTTAATCGAGGTGCGCCCGATTGAACTAAAATAGTAATACACGATAAAAAGCAGACGAAATTGTTTTCTAACGAAGATTTCTAACGTAACGAAGAAATAACATTTAAAATGAGTGGGGCTTCGGAAGCCACTGCCAAGAATTGGCTTCAGAAATAAGACCTGACCAAAAGTCTACATCATATTCATAAACTGTCACAACTGCATGTGGCAGTGCTAAAAAAAAATCGAAGAATGAAATCTAATGATTTGTTATGAATTAAAGCAATATCTTGTTATTTAGGTGTTTTAAGTTGAAACTAAAAAACTGCTAATCAATTTTTAAATTGGCTAATCAAATTTGGCAAAATTGGGCTTTTTGATTAGCAGTGCTGCTAATCAATTGTGAAAAATTACCGACAGCCCTGATTTTTAAGTTTCATCAAAATCGGATAAAAATTGTGACCTCGAGATGGTCCACTCCACAACCTTGATATACCATATTTTTACACTATTTGTGTACAACGGGCGGCCGATTTTCACAAAATCTGAACTTAAACATCATTAGGGTGTAACAGTGATATATATAAACAAATTTCACAATTGCATGGAAATTGTGATTCTGAAGGTACACAAGCTAAAATAACAATTTTTTTTTGTACAATCAGGGGCATAATCCAGGAAGTTACACTTCAATATGCGCGAATATAAGTTTCATCAAAATTGTGACTTCTAGAGGGTCCACAACCTTGATATTACATACTTTAACACTGTATCTGTACATGAAGCGGCCATTTCGTCGGGAAGTTTAGTTGAATACATATATATATATGTTATCAAATAACATGTTACATGTACGTTTAAGGTATACATCTAATGTCATTAAAAATTTCAGCCATTACTGCATTATACTAAAGAGTTGTCCTTGACATAGTTTGAATAGCCTACATGTATCAGCATTATATGTACATGTACATATGCTACATCTGCACTTTCTGCTCATTTTAAAATCTACCAAATTTCCTACCTTTGCCATTGCAGGAGCCAGACTAAATTCACCTACTAGCTACAGTGTACACTCCCACACCCCTCTATGAAATCTCTTACACCCCTAGATACAGGATGGGTGTCTGTTCATGTTTGTTTGACTAGTTGAATCCGGTTGTATAATCATGTGACTTGTACAAGCCAATCAAATATCTACATGTATGCAACTCTTTATGACATGTATGTCCACCACTAAATATTTTACAATAAAAAAAGGTCAGTGATAATATCCAGTTGAAGTGCTGTTGGAGCTGATTTAGGCCAGACCAAACTAAATGTTATACAATAACCATAAGCTACATGTATACAGGACAGTGTTTCAGACAGTGCAAATAGTGCACATACATGTAGTTGCATAACACTCAAAGATTCTAGAATAACCCAAACTCTAATCAATTATTTCCTAATTAATCTACACTCAAAACAATTATGAGGTCATTTTGGCTTTTTGTTATGAGGTATTTTTCTATTTCAAATAAATGGGTCACAATTCTATGGAATTCAATTATTGTTTATTACTACATGTACAATGTATCAAGCAAATGATAAAACAGGTATTATAGGAGATTAGATAAGGAGTTGACAGTCCTCGCTATAATTGTTAAAAAATAGATTATGTAATTAGAATATGCTGAAAATTTCAGCCAAATTGCTCTACTCTGAACCGAAATATTAGCTTTGAATTTTAGGCCTAGCCTCGATCATCATTACTAAAGCCGGTACAATAAAAAAAAACAAAGTCTCGATTACCCTTTTTTACGTTTAATTTTTTTGAAAAAAGTGTATTCCAATCTGCTAAATATCGCAGGCTAGCGATGGCATCGAGTGTTGATTATAGACTGGATAAGTTAATTAATGTCCAATTAATAATTTATATAACATTTCAGACCTGCAATTGGCAGATATAGCTCTTGCATAATGTACAGTGAAGGGATTCCTAATCTAAACCATGCTCAGTAAAAAATATCATATACATGTACAGTACAACTAGTTGTATTTCATACAAATTTATCTTGTGTGTTTCCAGTTCAATACCTATATCTCTCAATTTTCTTTTTTCGTAAAGCATAGTTTTTATATGCGTGTATATGAACTGTCAGCATATAACGACGACTCTAAATTTAACATAATTATTTGGGGGTTTAGCCTTACATGTACAGTGAATCATATCTTGGTTGTAAAGTGTCAGGGTGTGACTGAAGGAAATATTTTCACGATAATGGGAAGTCGACAATAAGACCGTTATAGTCATGTTTGGTCAGGTTAGATCAAGTTTATTTATGGTTAAATATCTAGTCAGTGAATATAATAGCCCCTCTATATGTATTGGGTCAGTCCATATTATACAAGTCTTCTATATGTATTGGGTCAGTCCATATTATACAATAGTCTTCTATATGTATTGGATCAGTATAGGCTTATTATATAATTACTTGTCATATAACAGTTATAAAGATGTATTATGTAAGATTTAAATAAAAAGCTGATTATTCTTGCTACAATATTTCAAAAACAGAAAATGAATATAATCCTTGAGTGGCATTTAGCGATTGAACACATTAAAAACACAACACAGTTTATATGGAACTACAATCACTGGTTTATAATGAATACATTGAAATTTCATTCAACTTACTTTATGACTGTTGTAAGAGAGACATGTAATGTTGATTTTTTATTATCGTAGCAATGGTACTGGACAAACGAGACTATGTCTCAATTATCCATTTTATCGTTAATCAATCTGAATTATTATTTAGTGTGTGTTAGTGAAAATGACAAAGCATCAAGCCTTTAACTATTAGAAAAGTTCTAGGTTCCCTGGGTATAAAGATAGGTTGCCAGGCAATGAAACATACACCCACAGCAGCTAAATCGTCCGGCCAGTCAACAAGAGTTGTTGTATACTTTTACTTTCTTTCAATGTGGGCGTAAAAAAACTAGTGTTAAGGAATGCATTAGTTAACACTAATTGCTTGATAAAGACAAGAGTATCCCAGTCGAAATGTCGCTTAGTATTAAACCTTGTGTTAATATGTTCGCATTACATGTAGTTATGACATCAATACATAGTAATAAAAGATCATTCAATATGGCATCTCTGAGAGATCATTCATTATTAGACTGTGTACCTGATTTTGTACAGAAATTGTAAACTTACGATATGACAAATGAAATAAAATCGTGTTTAACGTCCTACTTTTCTGCATGGACTCGACCGATTAAAAAGGAACATTTGCTATGCAGTGTCTTATATATCCTACTCTTTTGCACTGACTCAAGTGGTAAAGAAGGGACATTTGCTATAAACTGTATTAAGAAAATTTTGCACAGACATCGAAGCTTCTGCTTACTTTTCAAACTGTTGAGGGATCTTTTATTTGCATGCTTATGTGTACATGCCTACAGGGGGCCTGAAATTTCATTCCATTCGAACGACTAGGCAGTGTTTCTTGCCATGCAATGCCAGTCAGTCAATGCTTATAAGTTTCAGGACTTCAGCCTGGTTGTATATTACGAATTTTAATAAAGACATTGATTGAAATATATCTGATGTTACTTTGTTTTCACAGTGAATATTTTGAAACCATTAAAATATATTGATCTGACAGATGTGAGCCTAGTTATGTGTACATCTATGTATGTATTCATAAACCACTGAGTGTAAAATATCTTTAAAGTACCGAGATAAATATATCTGTTGCTACATTATATCTTGTGATATATTTTTCAAGCTGAACACATTTCATTACAATAACCTAATGTTAAAGTATCTATCATCCAAAATCTTCAACATTGAAAACACGATTTATTTGTCAAATTAAATCAACATTCATGTTGTGATCTTACTGGAAAAAGATGGGCTTTTGATATCCAATATTTAAGACAAAATAAACATTTTACCATTGGTACACGAATCGTGTACCCTAATGCGCTTCAGCCCCAGTTGTATCGAGAGACTCGAGGGACAAGGCTAGATACATTGCGCCAAATCAAACGACGTATGTAGACAGGAATAACCAGACGCTAGAAATTTGCACTCGCTTGAGACTGCTGGCTTATTTCGCCGAACATAACTGATTTGAAATTGGAGTAAAACGGAAACCATTGAATGTAAATCAGTTTATATACATTCATACTACAGTATTATATGCGTTGCGACCCACTTTTGTCAATTTCTAGGTCCCAAATATTAGCGATTTAGCTCCTTTAAACACAGGAGCTGATACAATGTACATGAATGTATACAATGCCAAGTCATTCTAATTGTGATACAATTCATGGATGAGCACCCTAACAAGAACGCAATTTGCCAGTCAATGGAAAACCACATCACTCTATATGACATTTGATCGACAATAATTAATATGTTAATGGGGCGACTAGATGTGAACAGGTTGTCAATAGTTATGTTGTATTTATCAAATAATGAATATCAAAGGATCCCTCCACCCACACCTACATGTACTTACAAGTGAAATGAAATATAGTTTAACGTCCTACTTTTCTGCTCCTAAACTGGGCTAATGAAGACGGGCATACGCCATACAGTGTGCTATGAGGGAAATTTTTGCCCTGGCAGCGGCGCTACGGCCTACTCTTATATCGAATTCCAACTGCCAAGGGATCTTTTACGTGCACACCAATATGTACACGGGAACTCAGTTTTTCGTACCATCCGAACGACTAGACAGTTGTCCTTGTATGTACTTACATCTTTTGTGCTCACTAAAATTCTAATAATCAATTGTTGGGCGTGTTTCCTTAATCAAACTGTAGAAAATACCAAATTTTAAAAAAAATATATTTCTGTGAGAATCAGTAGCATGAAATGAAATGGAGCTTAATGTCCTACTGTTCTGCTCCAACAGGGGAAATGAAGAAGCAGTAGCATATTATTTTATTAAGGCAGAGGGGCATATTAGCATAAAAGGCACTATTCAATTCCAGAGTCTGAGAATTTTGTTTTTCATATTTTAACCCCCAAATAATCTTTCTTTTACTACTTTGACTCCATCACCTGCCGTAAAGTTGTGTTATTCCTCACTGTTTGGAAATGACAGTAATATTCCAAAACATTTCTGCATCTGGTCACTACACGATACACATGTATCACAGTGAGTATGGCACTGGAATTATTCTAACCAGGTTGTCCCTGTTTGAATTGAGCGCAAGAGAGAGATGGGGTTTAACATCCACTTGACACAGACTAGGTCATTTCGGGACGAACATATGGTTTAATTTTATTTCAATAATTCGCTTGTGCGTAGGGGTCTTTAGCAGTGGGAGGAAACTGGAGGACCCAGAGAACACCCACGAGGTTGGACAGGCAATGGACATGTACAACCGGGGATTCGAAACCACACCAGTTGTCTCAATGACAGGCCTTATGATACAGCGTGCATGTGCTAATCATTCGGCCATCTAACACCCCTGTTTCAATCGCAGGTTGGTCACAACAGGTCCTCAAGGATTTTTCAGCTTGGTTAGGAAAAATATTTAGTTGTTCGGATAGGACAGAAAGCTGACATCTTGTTTACTTGGGTCCTCACATAGGGGGGAGGCTGAGGGGGCATATGCCTGGGAGTGACACTTCTTGGGGGACAAATTATCTAAGTGCATTATATATACCAGAAATATTTAAAGAGAGCCCCTTTGAATATTCATTACTAAAGGCAGTACAATAACAAAAAAACAAAGTCTCGATTATCCTTTTTTACGTTTAATTTTTTTAAAAAAGTGTATTCCAATCTGCTAAATATCGCAGGCTAGCGATGGCATCGAGTGTTGATTACAGTCTGGACAAGTTAATTAATTATATATACCAGAAACATTTAAAGAGAGCCCCTTTGAATATTTATAGACTACATGTAGCTTCCTAGAGGCTGAAATAACAAATCACCGGCCTTCGCATCATATTCCAGCAAATAGAGAGGGTAGAATAATTATGATTTTTGCAAAATCTATTATTTGTGTAGGTTTTTTTGATCAAATGGAGGGTTGAAGGGGAAATAAACATAAAAAATTTACATATAAGTTGATTTAATACATGGTTATTTAGATAAAGTGTTTAAAGTATGAAAAAGTGTATTTTAAAATTTCTTTAATCATAGAAAGTCAACTGGACACAGGCACTGAGGAAAGTCGGTCGGGCATGGGGGGGGGGGGGCATCATTGAAACCTTTGCCCTGGGGTGCCACATACGCTTGTGAGGGCCCTACTTGTGTAGGCCTATACCACTGACAGGACTTAGATCCCCTGGCAGTTGGAAATTGAAATTAGAGTTAGAGAAGGAACTGTAGTGTGGCAGACCAAGTAAATTTCCCTCATAGCACACCGAATCATGGGGTATGCCCAACTTCAATTGATGCATATAACTAAGTGGTTAAACCCCATTTTATTTCCGATTCGATATCATGCCCCTTTAAAATTTAAATTGGTGGTTATAAAACAATTAATTCCTAGTATCAGTCCACTTCAGTAGCCTATGGTAGGTCAACGGGCAATTATCAGCTAACAAAGGTCAGTCACATGCCCTTCTTATATATTAAATAATCTCATTATAAAACAGCACCTTATCCCAATATCATTATATGGTTATATATACCTCGGGTGAATAATTGGGTCACAGTTACAAAACCTTATATAACAATAATAAATTATTAATTGCAGAGAAGTGAGACTTACCAAATGACACCGAAACCAAACTGTGGGAACTAACAGTGTATGTGCTAATCAAATCCTCCGCCAACTTAGGAGACTGATAAAAACTAGAAAAATGAGTAGATAAAAACATAAAATAAAATTTAAGCCCAGTATTAAAATTGAAGGCTAAAAATAGACCTGACCCAAATGAATTATGTAACTTTTGGAATTGGAATTGAAAAGAAACGAAATTGAATTTAAAAAGATATCTGTTTATAAAAGTAGAAATAGGCCTACGTCAGATCATTAAGTGGCATAATGTGACAAATAGTAAACAACTCACCAAAACACAGCCCATCCGCTGATTAACAGAGCGTGACACAAGGACACCGTTATGTTTTTCCATCTCCACAGAGATTGCGAAGGCACGGATTTCGGCGTGAAATAAACAATAACTTTACTGACAATCAAAAATATAACAGCTGACATACTTATTAAATGAGCAGCATAGTTCGGTTCCTGCGCATCGCTAGGCCAAATTTCCGTGTAAGAATCTTCACCGTCCATTTTCAAAATTATTTGATCGCGGGCCTAATTGCAACTACCTAGAGACAGTCCACATTCACTGAAATCATAAAAACAAACTAGCACCCACCACCAGATGGCGTGTTCTAAATCCTTGTCTGGTTTGATCGCGATGATTTCGAGCGAGAAAACGTGATGGAAAAAACTGTACTCTGAACAGGTAAAGGGAGGCAAATCCATTTAACGTTACAAAATGGAGTTATGTCCCCTAGACCATAGCTGTGAAATTAAGCTGGCATTTTAACTTCCGGCAAGCAAAGCCATGTGAGTGAAAATAAATAAACTGTTCTTTTCTATTGTTGGTACTAATCACCTAGTTGCCTAGCCCGCATGTAGTACATTGGTACAATGTAGCAAGCACACTTCAAGTTCTTTTCAGTAAAATTTGTCAGACATTGTCAGTATTTAAAGGGTGAGATGGGAGAGTGAAGTTTTGCTAAACCGAAAGTAGAGAAGTCTTAGCCCTTCCTACTCCGAGTTACCAGACTGAACGTTGCTTTATGAGATTTATCATGATAGTTGATACGGTCAACGTCTAGATAACTATGTTTGCCCTTTATTTTAATCTCTCAATCTTATGGCCATTCTTATGAACAACAATTAATTTAGATCGCATGAACTATGAAAGTTATCGACATTGTAACCAATCATTGTTGTTGTCATTATGTCAATGATGTTACTTATTGTTAACTTTTACTGGTAGTTTTGGGCGATTACCAAATTGGACTGATACTGATATTCCTATTAGACGTTAAATTAGAGGTTCAGTTTTCATTGTATTGTAGTTTGATAGGGATTAAAAATTCCTTAAATTAACGATCAGCGCATGGCCTTAACTTAAAGGAGGCAAGTCATCCACAGTCTTAGACTTAGACATTGCATATAGAGGACTTATTGGTCATTTGAAATTAACATCTTTAAAATTGGCACACAAATCGCATGCCAGAATGCTTTCGAGCACCATTTGTAATGAAATGACTCAATGAACGAGACTAAACATATCCCACAAGAGTAGGCCTATACTAGTACTACCGGTTTACTTATTACTTACATTATTATATGTGTTGCGACTTATTTTTATATGTGTCCATTTCTAGGTGTCAAAGAATAAAGATTTAGCTCCTTTAAGCTGTACTTAAAGGGTGTAATGCTCTATTCCTTGCGCGAGCTGTATCATAAAGTCTGTCATTGAGTCGACTGGCGTGGTTTCGAATCCCCGGTTGTACGTGACAAGGAGTAGGGTCGTCTGTCCAACCTCGTGGGTTTTCTCCAGGTCCTCCGGTTTCCTCCCACTGCTAAAGACCCCTACGCGCAGGCGAATTATTGAAATAAAATTAAACCATATGTTAGTCCCGAAATTACCTAGTTTGTGTCGAGTGGACGTTAAACCCCATTTCTCTCTCCCTCTCTATTCCTTGATTTGAAACTGGAAAATAGATGAAAATACGATCTAATTTAGCACATTTAGGTTAATGTAATATGAAGGTTTATAAAAGTGATTGATATTAAATATGAGGTGAAATACATGAACAGACCAAATTGAACGGCAGTTGTTTATACCTGCTTAGTCTATTCTACACATATTTTTATTTTGTCGTTTTTGAATTAGACATTACTAATTCTTTCAGCATTGGCTTGTAGGATATGTCCATGTCTGTAGCACTACCCTGCTACACATTTTTAGTTTTGGTCTGATTGTCTATGTTTTGACTCTGGTGTGGATCCTGTTTTAACACGCTCTATTCAAGACCTTCACTTGGAATTCACGTTATGTGTTTTCTCATTGCTACCTCAAATCAGATACACAAGCCTACACATATTAGGAACAACAATATTCTAAGCGTCTGATATTCTAAGCTTAATGTTGCTTTATATACCCCCCCCTTCCACTCCTTCCTGATTTCAGCTATTAATTAGGTGATCGGTCATTGACACCCAATTATGTGATTAGTCTCATCATTGACACCTAATTATGACAAGAATTAATATGGTCATTGGCTGGTAAATTTCCATCACAATAACATTTTAAAACATAAACAGATGATTTTAATATTTTATTATGACAAATACATATTTGTTCATATGATGCTGTTGTACAGACCACTGTTTATAAGATAGGGCCCAGGAAGATGTTATGTTGTAGATATTTACCATCTATTTATAGACCACCATTTTATAAGATACGGTATTAAAGATGATGGCGGCAGCAGAAGAAAAGGGATTTTTACAATATACGGGACCAAGGGATGATATTACATATCCTGTACAGGTTGTTTATTGTGGAGGTAAGTTTATAAATACAAGAGGAAAGTTAATGTCTAGTCCCTCGGATGGGACATCGAACTGAGGCCATGTGATAAATTGGTAGTTTAGCATATACCAGATGATCCCTTGGCAGTTTTAATTACAAGAAGAGACCCTAAAATCTCATCCCGAGCCATATCTTAGTCCCATAATAACGAAAGTATCATATAACCCCATTCCTTGCGGACCATGGTGATTCAATGAGTAGGATGTTTGCTCGCTAACTTTGAGGTCCTGTGCTTTGATCCATGCGTTGGCTGAGAAAGTTCATTTTCTGGCGTGGTTCCTCCTGTCAGTGGTGCAGGATGAAGGTCTTGCAAGGGACATCATATAGTCATTCGGATGAGATGAAAAGACGAGGTCCCGTGCAAAATTAGCATACACATAAAAGATCCCTTCACAGTTGGAATTCGATATAAGAGTTGAACATAGAATGGTCGTCCTGCAAAATTTCCCTCATAGCACACTGTGTATGACGTATATGCGCGTCTTCATTAGCCAAGTCGGAGCAAAACAGAAGGATGCTAAACTCCATTTCATTTCTTTCCATTCCTTGCCTGAATGTTGATCGACCAAGTGTTAATTCTGACATTGATCAAAAGCCTTTTCATTCCTTGCCTGAATTTTGACGACCAAGTATTAATTTTGATGATAATTCAACGCCATTCCATTCCTTTGCTTGAATGTTAGTTAATCAATTATAAAATGATCATTATTTTTTTTTGTTATTTTTTTCAGAATGTACGATGCCAATAGAGGTGAGGAATAAATTTTAATTTTTATTAACCTACATGATTGTACATTGTTGTCAACCCAGTCATTCGGTCCATCCACATGTTCTTGTGCTCGTTCCACAGTGTTAAGTTCTTAAGCAATTTTCATAAAATTTTCAAGGAAAAGTTTGTATTGTGGTAAAGATGACTTAAATCGATTCTGACTATTTTCTCAAAAGTAGCCTAGTTCTAGAGTTATTGCATCTTTATTTACCGGTCCATCAACTTAAAATTATATGAACACTATAAAAAAACTGACAACTAAGCTGCTGGTTGGACCGACAAACTATGTTCTATTTTATAACTAGTAAATAGGTCATTTCATGGTTGCTGAATATTTAGTTTCTCCTGGTCCTATGTTCACAAAGCATTCACAGACTGAAGTTAAGAATTTACTCAACTTTCAATCACTGTTTATGAGAAATATCTTTGATCCAGAAACACAAAACTTTGCACATAGTTTCTGATTGATGTATTTAATACATTAAAACAACAAAAGGTAATTTGGAGTAAATTCTGAACTTAAGTTTGAGAATGCTTTGTGAATTCGGGGTCTTGTTTAGGGGGTGGTGGTTTATGTTGATAGCTGAGTGGTGTAGATCATCATAAGGTCTATCATCTTGTAGGTTTTTTTGTTTTTCTCTCCCTCATAAAGATACCTCTGTGCTAGTTAAATAATTGATAATAGCTTACTACATGTTAGTCACAAAATGACACAATTTGTGTTGGTTTGACCTTAAACAAATGAAATTAAAAATAAAGTTTAAAGATACATTATGGGAGATTTTTATAAGGAGTTAGCCATTCTTGCTATAACAGTTCAAAAATAGATGATGAAAAAAGAATATATAGAAAATTTCAGTCAAATTACTTTATTCTGAACATAGTTATCACCAGTGTCATTTTTGACTAGAAATGGGATTGAATTCCATCTTCACCGATTCTTAGTATGGCCGATCGTGTGATCGACAGGTGTTAACTCCACCTACATAATCTCTGCTGTCTTTTGTCTGCTGTCATCATATTCGAATTTGTGTTTTACCTTTTTGGATTTTTATAACAATTGGACAAAATGAGTGAGAGGGTAAATTTTCATTCTTACTTGTATTTTGGACATGCATTAAATCAATTGAATATAGGACATAATATTATAATACAATTATGATAAATCTATAGGTATACACCAGTGGCCATTGGGGAAATAAAAATATTTTTATTGATATTATTAAGACAGAAGACCTGTCCGTCTGTATTAGTCATCACACGGTCTCCAGGAATTGTATAATTGGTCATTATCTGTGTTTAGTTTATTGCACTTTAAATAGTTTAGATGTCATTTGTCAAGGCATCACTCAACGGCGGCATCGCTTCGTACACTCTATCATTTAGCCTCGAATGAGTATGACGTCAATGTAACGGTTAATCTCCGCTCACGACGCCATTTAAAATTAAATCAGTCAACGAAATCCCGTTTAAATCCAAGCTGAATCCAAGCCATCCGTGGGTCTACAGAGTTGATTTTGTGCTTGTTGTGTAAATAAAGATCTAATTTATAATTTCTAGGACATCTGAAGCCTAAATAAAGACTTGCAATAATCAGATTTAGCTCTTGCATAATGTATGTTTAATGTCCTACTGTTCTGACACGACTGGACTGGACTAAAGAAGACGGGCAAATGCTATAATTTGCTATGAGGGAAATTTTGTCTGGACAGCAGGACTACGGCCTACTCTTATATTAATTTTCAAGGGTTCTTTTACGTGCACGCCAGTGTGTAAACAGGATCACAGTACTTCATCATATCTGAACAACTATATGTTGCCTCTTGCCAGGCCCCCCGTCCTGCATCACTGACAAAACACAAAGTCTATCTATAAATAACTTAGAATTCTTATAGATTCCTGTTCTTATTGTAGTTTCACGTCCTAAATTGTAGATAGATTCATATACTGTAATTATTTCTGTATTTCTCGCCAGTATTGTGAATATTATCCTAAATATTTCTGTAGGGTATGGCTGAAAAACAATCTGATTAAAACATAGATCCTATGTCTTTACTACACTAGGATCTGGAAGAGTTGTTATATTTCCGGCGTTTTGGATGAAGTGAGGGATTGGCCAATGAAACGGTCTGTTACGGTGACTTTTTGGCGTGCCATGCACGGAATTGTCGGTAAACCACTAGAAACGTCAACGTTGATTGATCAAATGTCTGACGTCAAAAAGTCGCTTGTATGCCCCCTGACGCAACCTCCGAGTACAACCTGTCAGATCTTCATGTAGTGTAGCCCATCGAAAGTATTAAAAAAATGAAACAAAATATATATCTGTAATTTAATAAGATTGACTGAAAAACTATCAAAATACAGGTTATAAAAGCTATATTCTAATTATGTGTATTTTTCTCCTCCAGTATTGTGAATATTATCCTAATTATGAGAAATGTAAGGAATGGTTGGAAAGAAATCTCCCAAATGAATTTGAAAAATTAACTGCAGGTAAGAAAATTTATTGTTGAAAGATTGGATTAGAGATTTACACATGATTAAAACATTAATTATTTTGAACAGATAGTTATTCTAGAACTCATTTTAACCCTGTGAATGAAATACAAGACCAGATCAATGATTTATTGTAAAAAATAAACTACGGATTTAATAGTGTTTCTAAACTACAGAATTGTTATAAGAGTTTAGCTGTAAATGGCTCCCTAATCAAGGGTGTTAAGTTTTAATTACATTTGATTGTTATTTTTGTTGCATATTCTGTACATATTTATCTACTTTTCACATATCTGTATCATTTACTTGATAAAGACCAGGCTATCCTTCTCGAAACGTCGTGTGGTATTAAACTCAGTAATTGTGTATCTATAAAATTGTACCTTGTGTTAATATGTTCATATTCCCGAACTATTGAATTATCATCAGATTCCTGAACTATGGAATTTATGACTGTTTATAATTTACAATCTGCCCTATCGTGTTTGTTTTCCAAATTGTCCGAGGAACCATCTTGAATAATTGTGATATATTTGTATTTAAGGAGAGGCTGAAGGTAAAGATGACAGTGATGATAAAAAGAAACGACAGACACGGGGTGGAAAGGGCATGTTAAAAGCCAAGAAAAAAGCTGAACCCAAGGGGATTAAAATGTGGACACAATCACGGGGAAAAAAGAAAAAAATCACAACATTAGTTGGTTTAGCTGATTACGGTGGGTTTAATTAATAATTTATAAAAGACCTGATGCCACTTCCCCTCACACTCTCCAGAACACTTGATACCAATTCCCCATTACATTTCTATAACCCCTGATACCCCCCTTAAATTATAAAAGACCTGATACCACCATTCGGCAATGGAGGAATTCGTCATACACCCGAGGTAAGATGTAGGATACTGGAGTCTGCCGAGGTTTGCCGAATGCTGATACCACTTCCCAATTAAATTTCCAGACCACCTGATACCCTCCCGCCCACCCAGTTCAATTTCTGGAAGACCTGATCATCCCCATTTAATTATCAAGAACACCCAATACCATATTAGGCCTGGAATTAACTAGTGTTTGTTGAGTGGACATCAATAAAAACCCATCAGTTTTTTTGCTTTCTTTTTTGATTGTAATAAAAAAACATACAAGAAATGTCTGTAACACCTTTCATTCATTAAAATGTAACAGGCACACCTTTGGCAAATTATGTCTAATAAGCAGTCCATATTATGTACTGAATAATTACTATTTTTATGTTCCAGGAGCCATACTGGCTCAGTCAGTAAGGTGCTGGCTCTCTATCTGAGAGGTCTCAGGTTTTCTAGCATCTAGTCTAGTTGTAATTTGAAATAAGAGTAGTCAATTTTGCTGCTGTCTGGGATAACCCCTTTTTATTTCATATTAATGTTTCAGATATTGATTTAAAAGTAGCTAGTAAATTTTTTGCCAACAAGTTTTCATGTGGTGCTTCTGCCAATGATATTGGTGAAATCGTCATCCAGGGAGATGTTAAAGATGATCTATTTGATATTTTACCAGAAAAATGGCCACAGGTTTGTACAATACACAATTTTTTATCATAAGGCCAAAATAAACAAGCGGTTGCCATGCAAGATATGCCCACATTTTGCAAGAGATGTTCAGAGAAGAAGCTAAAAAAAAATAACAATTTTTTGTACCATACAATCAGGGGCCATAATCAATGGAGTTACAGTTCAATATGCGCAAATATTGTAAGGAACCAAGATCCTTGGGATATAAACATACATTTTAAGTTTAATCAAAATCGGATGAAAATGTGGGCGTATAAAAAATATTTGTGATTGCCGCTATTTTATGGAACCAACCCTACATTTTTTTCTCATTTCCCTGGCCCTAGCACTCAGGCTTGCCGTGGTTTTTTGTGGACAATTTCCAATATTTATATTCCGGTATTATTGTCAAGAATCTTACTTAGTAATTAAGCTAGAAATGCTAGTAAATAGATAATGAAAACCCCATGAAACAAATAAAAAGATTGACTTACCAAGCAACCCTATTTTGGTATTTATATTTTGTTTCTTGGCCTAACCATGATTTGTTGTTGATTCTGAGGGAGTTGGATTAATTGCCCCTTACTATTAGGTGGTTGTTGAAATAATTCTTCTTGTTTTTATTATTTTGTTTCGGGGGGGGCTGCTTGGTGAATGCGTGCGCGTTGCACCATAAGGTCTGTCATTAAGTCATGTGGCTGGGTTTCAATTCCCCGGTTGTACGTGACAAGGAGTAGTGTTGACTGCCCAACCTCATTTGTTTTCTCTGGTTTCCTCCAAACTGCTAAAGACACCTACATGCAAGCTAATTAATGAAATAAAATTGAACCATGTTAGTCTCGAAATAACTAGTTTGTGTCGAGTCATCCTCGGTATCCCCAATGGTTTCATTCCATTCTACTCCACAAACCCCTGGGTTAATCTATGGGGGAGATATATTTTCAAATTATCCACCCTTGATGATTGTGCTATTTTTATCAACCAATCCCATACATCGTTAATTGCAAAGGAAGTTGGCAAAGGAGTTAGCCTAAATGAGAGAAGTCCAAATTATTCTACTTGCATATTTAATAACAACATATTATATTATGTGTCCATATGATATCGTAGACAAGTTATCGTGAATCAAATTGCCAAGTATAAGTTCAATAATAATAAACATAACAGAATGAAACATTTCAGACAAAGAACGAATATTAATAACAACAAAAGTCAAACATATAGATGTTAAACATATTTGAAATCAGCGAAACATACTACAGATTTTGATAATACAATTAAATATAAATAAATTATAAATATATACATTATTTACATAAATCATTCAGTAAATGGACATGAATATGGTTATCTACCCTTATAAAATCGAAGGTGAAACAACTGTTTGTAAACTGGTCTTTGATTGGTTCGTAGACCTTATCTACAAACACTCAAGGCCAGGGCAGACAATTTGAAATCAGGGAATCCCTTACCCAGGGTACAGTAGAGTAGAACAGAATGGGAACACTGGAGATACCGAGGATGGTGTCAAGTGGACATTAAATCCCATCTTTCTTTCTCTCACTATTTTATTTTATCACCATTATTGTTTTATGACAACTATTTTGTTTTATTATTTCAGATTGATGAAGAATGCATTGATGATTTAGGAGAAAAGAAATAAAATATTTAATTTATTTAACTTGTGTAAATATTCAAATTTATCTCAAATATCTTACTGTACGTGTTTGTTTACTTTTACTGGAAAAAACCCACTGCTATAGGACTGGTAAAACAAGACTTTATACAGGATCAGTGCCGGGTTTATATCAAGAGAGGCCCTAGGCTATTCCCCTTATGACCCCCCTCCCCCTCCCGACTCGAGGAAGATGAAAGTGGGTTTTCAACAACCGTGTACAGCCGAGGATAATGACTAAAGTTTTAAGACTTGTTTATAAGACAGGCTTATGACAGAGTAAAAAATATTATACACTTGAGGCCCTCATAGCACACTCCATGGCGATTGGCCATTTCCATTTTCCCAGTCGGTGCAGGAAAGTAGGACGTTAAACCCTATTTCATTTCATTTCTTGATCATTTTGTTGAAGTGCAAACATAAAAATTATTGCATTGAAATCTGCGTCAATCTACAAATTTGGCCGACTACAAGTAAGATATGATTTTCAAAAAAATAATTACGGTGTAATTCAAATAAAATGGTCGGTAAAAACGGTTTAACATGTCTATTTGATGCAGTTCAGAAGTCTTTGGATGGGAAGGGGGGTGGGGATCTGTGAGGGTGGAATCCTGAGAAAACCCCTGTGGTTCGGTACAGGCAGGCAATCTAAAGTGGACCAAAGTGTACTTAGGCTGGTCCTTTTTTTTGTTTTGACTCATCAGAACTACACCAGTCATTCCAGCGGACAAGAAACCATGCTTTGCCATTAATGCTGGATAGCTCGGTGTTTGTGAGAGATGTTTAAAAGCTATTGTGCTATAGAAAAGACAGGAAAATGGTTTTGAATCAAGCTGTGGAATAAACCCCACCAAAACAATGTACCGGTTATACTTTATTAATTATCAATCCAATATTTTTTTTTTACAAAAAATCAATTCAATATTTTATTTATATAAAAAATCAATTCAATATTTTATTTTTATAAAAAATCAATTCAATATTTTTTTTTTACAAAAAATCAGTTCAATATTTTTTTTTTACAAAAAATCAGTTCAATATTTTTTTTAGGAAAAATCAATTTAATATTTTTTTACAAAACAAATCAATTTAATATTTGCCAAAATAAATATACGATGATATGATTCTTTTCATGTCGGAACCCTATGATAATCTAACTCATACAACCAGAGACAGTCCATATTCATGGAAACAAACTAGTTTTCACCACTTGGTCAAATCCTTATCTCTGATATCTTGTTTGATTGATATGACTTGGAGCGACAAAACGTGGTTAAAATTGTGTAGGCTCAACAGTTAAAGGGAGATAAATCCATTTAACGGTAACAAAATAGAGTTATCTCTCCTAGACCGTAGTTGGAAATTTAAGTTGGACATCAATTTTGATTTGTATTTTAACTTCATGGAAACAAACTAGTTTTCACCACATTCATGAAACAAACTAGCTTTCACCACTTGGTCAAGTTCTTATCTGATTTGATTGATAGGACTTCGAGCGAGAAAACGTGATGAAAATTGTGTAGGCTTAACAGTTAAAGGGAGGTAAATCCATTTAACGTTAACAAAATAGAGTTATCTCCCCTAGACCGTAGCTGGAAAATTGGGTTGAACATCAATTGATTTGTATTTTAACTTCCGAAGATACGATTCATTCTATGTTAGAAATCTACGATAATATAACTCATGCTACAAGACAGCCCATATTTATGGAAATCATAAAAGCAAACTAGCAAGAAAACGTGATTAGAATTGTACGCTGAACAGTTAAAGGGAGATAAATCCATTTAACCATTACAAAATGGAGTTACTTCCCCTAGACTGTAGCTGTAAATTAAAGCTTGACATCAATTCGAGTCATGTGAGTGAAAATAAATAAATTGTTCTATTTATGTAGTATTTTAACTGACTCTGTATACAATCGTTAACATGTCCACATTTTGTTGTTTATTTATGATTTACATTGTCACTTTGTAAAGTGCCCCTGAACATGTTATATGAAAGGGCGCACTGTAAATATGCTGTAATAATAATATTAAATAATAATAATAGTACAGTGGCATAAAGTAGCAAGCTTACTTAAAAATTAGTCCGACATTGTCAGTATTTAAAGGGCTTTGAAGGGAGGGTGAAGTTTTGCTAAACTGAAAGTAGAGAAATCTCAGCTCTTCCAAGTTACAAGACTCAGCAGACTGAACGTTGTTTTGTGAGATTTATCATGATACGGTAAAAGCTATTGTGCCGTAGAAAAGACAGGGAAACATTTTTTTACAAAAAGACAATTCAATATATTTTTTTTTTACAATAAATCAATTCAATATTTTTTTTTTTACAATAAATCAATTCAATATTTTTTTTTTACGAAAAATCAATTCAATATTTTTTTAACGAAAAATCAATTCAATATTTTTTTACAAAACAAATCAATTTAATATTTGCCAAAACAAATATACGACGATAAGATTCATTTTATGTCGGAACCCTATGATAATCTAACTCATACAACCAGAGACTGTCCACATTCATGGAAACAAACTAGTTTTCACCATTTGGTCAAATCCTTATTTCTAATATCTGGTTTGATTGATATGACTTGGAGCGACAAAACGTGGTTAACATTGTGTAGGCTTAACAGGTAAAGGGAGATAAATCCATTTAACGGTAACAAAATAGAGTTATCTCTCCTAGACCGTAGTTGGAAATTTAAGTTGGACATCAATTTTGATTTGTATTTTAACTTCATGGAAACAAACTAGTTTTCACCACATTCATGAAACAAACTAGCTTTCACCACTTGGTCAAATTCTTATCTGGTTTGATTGATAGGACTTCGAGCGAGAAAACGTGATTAAAATAGTCAAGGCTTAACGGTTAAAGGGAGATAAATCCATTTAAGGTAACAAAATGGAGTTATCTCCCCTAGACTGTAGCTGGAAATTTGGGTTGGACATCAATTGATTTGTATTTTAAGTTACGAAGGTACGATTCATTCTATGTCGGAACTCTATGATAATATAACTCATGCAACCGGACAGTCCATATTCATGGAAATCATAATAGCAAACTAGCGAGAAAACGTGATTAGAATTGTACTCTGAATAGTTAACGGGAGATAAATTTTAAGCTTGACATCAATTCAAGCCAAGTGAGTGAAAATAAATAAATTGTTCTATTTTATTGTTGGCACTAATCACCTAGTTGTCTAGTCTGCATGTAGTACATTGGCATAATGTAGCAAGCACACTCCAAGTTTTTTTTCAGTAAAATTTGTTAGACATTGTCAGTATTTAAAGGGCTTTGGTGGGAGAGTGAGGTTTTGCTAAACTGAAAGTAGAGAAATCTCAGCTCTTCCTAGATACCAGAATGAAAGAGAGAGAAATGGGGTTTAACGCCCACTCGACACAAACTAGGTCATTTCGGGATTAACATATGGTTAATTTTATTTCATTAATTTGCTTGCGCGTAGGGATCTTTAGCAGTGGGAGGAAACCGGAGGACCCGGAGAAAACCCACGAGGTTGGACAGGCGACCCTACTCCTTGTCACGTACAACCGGGTATTCGAAACCACGCCAGTTGACCCAATGACAGGCTGTATGATACAGCACGCACGTGCTAACCATTCGGCCATACACCCCCTACCAGATTGAACGTTGATTTATGAGATTTATCATGATACGATCAAAGCTATTGTGCCGTAGAAAAGACAGGAAACGTTTTGAATCCAACTGTAGAATAATCTCCACCAAAACAATGTACCGGTAATGCTCTATTAATTATCAATCCAATATTTTCTTTTTTTGTTTTTTTTTACAAAAAATCAATTCATCAATATTTGTTGGGGTTTTTTTTATACAAAAAATCGATTCAATATTTTTTTTTACGAAAAATCAGTTTAATATTTTTTTACAAAAAAAAATCAATTTAATATTTGCAAAAGTAACGATGATATGATTCATTTTATGTCTGAGCCCTATGATAATATTATGACTCATACAACCAGAGACAGTCCACATTTATGAAACAAACTAGCTTTCACCACTTGATGACGTGGTCAAATTCTTCCTTGTTTGATTTATATGACTTCGAGCAACAAAACGTGATTAAAATCGTGTAGGCTTAACAGTTAAAGGGAGATAAATCCATTTAACGGTAACAAAATAGAGTTATCTCCCCTAGGCCGTAGCTGGAAATTTAAGGTGGACATCAATTGATTTGTATTTTAACTTCCCAAGATACGTGTCATTCTATGTCGGAACTCTACGATAATATAACTGATGCAACCAGAAACGGTCCATATTTATGGAAATCTTAAAAACAAACTAGCGGGAAAACGGGATTAGAATTGTACTCTGAACAATTAAAGGGAGATAAATCCATTTAACATTACAAAATGGATTTACCTCCCCTAGATTTTAGCTGTAAATTTAAGCTTGACATCAATTCAAGCCATCTGACTATATGTGAGTGAAAATAAATAAATAAATTGTTCTATTTATTGTTAACACAAATCACCTAGTTGTCTAGCCTGCATTGGCATAATGTAGCAAGCGAACTTCAAATTATTTTCAGTAAATTTGTCAGATATTGTCGGTATTTGAAGGGCGAGATGAGAGAGTGAAGTTTTGCTAAACTGAAAGTAGAGAAGTCTCAGACTGAACGTTGCAGTTTATGAGATTTATCATGATACGGTCAAAGTCTAAATAACTATGTTTCCTATTTATTTTAATCTTGGAGAACGATATGTTAGTGCCATTATGGATGGTGAAACCGCTTGTGTGTGGTCACGTCTCACTCACGTCACCATCTGGCGAAACGTATCAAGGTGCTTGAAAAGATAGCGGCGTCTTGCAACTAAGCTAATTCCAACAATGGATATAATATCGTATGAAAATAGAATGAGAATCTTAGGCCTACCGACTCTGGAGTATAGGCGTGATAGAAATGACATGATTCAAGTGTTTAAGATAGTACACCAAACTGACGATTTACCATATAGTACCAAAAATATATACAGATTATTATGATATAACGGGGAAATAACGGTTGATTTGGGTAAATCGTGCAGCAGGAGTATTTCATACAGTAGCATCGGATGGATCTATTTAGAAACGGGAGATGATCACAGAATGAAACAAAATAATTTAATAAGATCTGATTTATTATATACAAATAAATAGGAATAATATTTAAACACTGGACTGGTTTATTCTGTACAGTGGTCACATTATTTTAGATACATTTCAATCCTGTTAGTAAACTAGAAATTTGCTAGGTTCAATCTGTCCGTAGTCAGGATGCGTGTCATGCAAGACGAGTACGCGGCAGATAAAATCCTTTGCCCCTTTTACTATTTTACGCACCGTTGGGGATACATGTATTTCCTCTTTTTGGTGAGTTGGACTCTTATTTGCGTTGTTGTGGAGTAACATAAAAGGACATTTGACACACAGGTAACTCTGAGAATAAATATCTGCCCTGAATTATGGCCATATTCAAAATTTTATATACTAGTTTGTAATATGACTCTAACCCGTTCTATACCTGTCACACACACGAAGTCTAAATAAACATTTTCGTTTTGATTAAATATAAAAATAATTTATGCTTCTCAAAATTCTCGAAGTATACTTGGTGTTATCGACTAAAATCAATCATCGATTTTGAACTTAAAATATCAGTCAGTTAGCTTCGTCTCTGTTCTCATGTGGTGCTAACTATAGACAGTCAGTTTAGCCTACGATTGACAATGTGATAACTTATAACAATCAGCAATACACGTATATACATGAAACAATGATGGTAATCAACGACTTTTACTTATTTTACTATTCAACATCTTTACATAAATCGAGTTGACATATGTTCATGGTTGCGGAGTGACCGGTGTGACACAAAATATTTACAATAAGTAATACACACATACAAATGGAAAAATGGCGGTAATCAACTATAAATTTAAAAAATAATAATTATATTACTATTGAAGATCTTTACATAAATCTGGATGTCCTATTTGTGCTGTTTTTAACGAACATAATGAACTAGTTTTACAACTTCCTTTACATGGTCCATTGGCAGCCAACTTGTACCGGTATCTGAAGGAATAATAAACATATAAAAATGAGGGAGGGTGGGGGTGGATTAACGCCCAATCGACACAACATATAACAGAAATAAACATCCAGTCTTCCGCCAATTGTAAATGGTTTCCTTTCTGTTTATTTCTTATTATTCTTATCTGTTTAGATATGGGATTTCTGGCATTAACAGGTATTCTCCCTTGAATTATCCCCAAGTACTCCATTTCCGCATATATCTACTTTTCTATAATTTTCCTAATTCTGTACAATTTAATTGCAAATTAATACAAATATTTAAATGAATCAAAATTAGTTTTATTAGATTTATTTAGCCAACTTACTTATCGAACTTCTGGAAGAGCGCGTCATCATCTTTCATTCTATAGATTAGATCATTCCAGTCAGATGGATATAAACTTCCCATGTTATAGTCATCCTGAAATGAAACAAATTTTATCAGGTGATATGGATTTTCTTTTAAAAACATCTCTTTGTGCTATTAATTTACGCAAGAATTGATTAGTTTCTTTTATATCCAAATAGATTTTATTATTATTACAAGAATTGGCATTATGATTGAACGGGAGATAACTCTTGTCTAAGGGAGATAATTAGTATGATACGCAGTATAATAAGTTGTTTTCATATGTTATGAACTGATTTTGTTTAAAAGAGGTAGACATTAACAAAATCAAATCAAATGCCGGTCTTGTATAAATGTTTACTACGCTTATATATAGATCAACGTTATTTCAGGGGAATAAATCACGCTAAAGGGAGATAATCAAACTAAATTCAACGCTAGTATTAAAATCACTACAGATTCTGATTGAATACCTTGGCTGAATATTCTTTCATCCACACTGGTGTGGTCTTGACCGTTAATTCACTGATATCAGCCACATAATTCTCAAAATCTAATATAGCCTGAAAAATATAATTAAAACTTTGAACAAAATAGTCGAAAGACATAGACCTATGTATAAGACCTTTACGGTCTTGAGTGGAACCGCGTCGGAAAATCTCGATGAACTTTCTAGGCCAACGCAGGGATCGAGCACGGAGCAACCCTGGCTCTGTATCTCATAAAACTACTTCATAGCTTTCAAATATATTTCCACAATAATGGTTGTGTCTGGGAAATAATGATTTACAGGTAGCTGTATAGGTTGAACAAATGTACATCACAAATGCAACCTGTGTGCACTCGTGAAAAAGAGAAGTGGCCTTCAGGTGTTTCAGAAAGGATAAGCATACCGTAGTACATCGTATATAAAACCCGTCACCACTAATACTGTAAGCAGAACAATAACTTTGACTTCAATTTCATTCAAAATGACGAACTCTCTATGGAATAAGATCTGGCCGGGAGATAATAAGAATACGTACCCAGGAACTTCCTGTATAATTACCATCAATGGTATAAATTCTAAATCCTGGGTTTAAATTACTGTATGTAGTACCACTTCCGGCAACAAACCCTGTACTGATTGGTCGAGTAAAATTGACTTCATCATAAAATACAGTGAAGAAATCATCATGACTATGGCCGTTAAAATGGGCCTGTATTATACCTTCGTATCTACAATAAATATACCACATCATAATTAATCTATTGAAATATTATACAGGATATGACAAGAACTAAGTATATACGAATTCCTGTCAGACAGGGAATGGGGTTTAACGTCCGCTCAACACAAACCGGGACTAACATGGAACAATTTTATTTCAATAATTCGATTGTCACGTACCAGTGGATGATCAAAATCAACTTCTTGACTCCGTGCATGACAGATTTAAAGCCAAGACCAATCTTCCACCCAATCCCCATAGATACCAAATAAACTACTCGTACAATGTATATAATGTAGCATTGGCATGCATCGAGGACTGCTAATTCCGGCCGCCCTTTATAGGGCATGGACGAGGGAGAAGACGGTCTTCGTAGCACGTGATCGAAACAAATGTGTTAATATGAAAGAATTACCTGTTGACAATTTTAAAGAAATTCAAGTTCCATGGTTTAATACCAGTACTTGCAGTCGGATGATGCATCAATATGTGAACTTTTTCATTGTTATTCTCTGCTTCCTGTAATTCATCAGCCAACCATTGTAACTGATCTGCTGGATCTGTATTGTTGACTAATAACCACCTAAATAACAAATACACGTGTTACTACTTAATAACCACCTAAATAACAAATACACGTGTTATTACCCAATAACCACCTAAATAACAAATACACGTCTCGTGGACTAATTTTCACCTAAATAAAAGAATACACGTGTTATTACTCAATAGCCTCCTAAATAACAAATACGCGTCTCGTGGATTAATGTCTACCTAAATAACAAATACACATTATGTTGACTGGCAACCACCTAAATAACAAATACACATTATGTTGACTGGCAACAACCTAAATAACAAATACACGTCTCATGGACTAATATCCAAATACACATAATACGACCCAATAAACAACAAATAGACGCAGCGTTGACCAATGTCCACCATAATAATAAATACACACAATGCACATAGTAACAAACATTGACTTACCAGTTATCTGTCGTACCTAGATTTGAATTGATGGAAATAATTCTTAAACCAGGTAATGGTGAAACTGAATAAAATCCGCCCCTAAAATATACAGTTTATATACAATCATTCCCTCCAAAATAACCATTTTGAGGTAAAAATAAAAAAAAATACTTTAAAAAAATATACCTAATTACTTTACATATTAAGATGAACATAAATATTATGATGTTCAATATAACCCAATCTAATTAAAATACAGATCTATATTTCGTTTCTTTTTTTATACTTTCGATGGCCTACACTACATAAAATTCTGACAAGTTGTAGTGGGAGTTCACGTCAGGGGTCAAACGAGCAGCTTTTGACCCCATGACGTCAAATATTGATTAATCAACCAGCTGTGACGTTTCTAATGCTTTACCCACATTTCCGTGGATGGCATGCCAAGAAGGCGCCGTTACAGATGGTTTCATTGGCTAATCCTGTTATATAACAACTCTTCCAGATTCTAGTGTAGTACAGACAAATAAAACGAAATTTTGAACTATAAAAAACGAAACGAAATAGGATCTGTGTTTTAATCAGATTGAAAACAACCAAGTATTGAATCAATTAAAACAAAGGCTTTAGCGAGAGAGTATAATAATATAGTCAAATCATAGATATTTGCAAGTTATTATAATAACTAAGACTTATGAATTTGTGAAATGATATCTAATATTGTGCCCACCTTAAGATGGTGTCTATAGTATCCATGGGCATCCATTTTGTCCAGACTTCCGCGAAAGCTCCGTACAGCCAATCTTGTGATAAATTCCCAGTAACAAAAGGTGGAGCATATCTGGAAATAAATTTCTGGGATTAGTGAAATAAACAAAAAAGAAAATTCACGTCATTGGTTTTATACCCCATTCCGTACAATAATAATAATAATAATAATAATGTAAAAAATAATAAAGAAAAAACAAAATAAGAAAAAATAAATAAATAATAAATACAATTTGGAAAAGGATTAACGGAATTACTTGATGTGATCAAGGGAGGTAATTCGGTGTTTTGAAATCTAAAATTTAATTTTCGTCTTTTTACTTCTAAATTAATGGAACTGTTACCAGTTAAGCTACTTACATATTACACGGAGAACTCTCGTGATTACCAGCAGCAAAATAGACAGGTTTATCCGGTAGGTAGCGCTCTAATGCTGATTGAAATACCCGGATTCTCGCCAACTGATCTACTCTCGTCTGGTTCCATATATTATGAGCGGGGATATCGCCGGTGAAGTAAATAATATCAAACTAGAATTACAAAGAAAGATGTTGTCGCTATTCAAGAAGATAATAGAGGGAATACGCATTTCAAGAAATAAGGCAATATTGGCAAGGCCTCCGCATGTCCATATTCCTGAAGCAATGATCCGAGAAATCCATCACTGATCATTGCTGGATTGGCTTCTGAAACTTGAGCTTTTGAGGGAGTGTCTCTATTCTTCCCGTTCAATCGAATCTATCTCAAGTACAGCAATATGACAGCCCTTCGTTTAATCTGGAGTCTGCCCTAAAACTTTGGACATTGATTTAAGGTATAAAAACAAAAACGGAGAAATTATTGTTCGTCTCCAAACAGTATTGTTTACATTGTTGCCGTTTTGATAACCTCGTTTGTCACGCAATTAGTTTTTTTGCAATATTCTGGTATGCACTGGTTAATTGGGCGTAATAAAATCGTGAAACATTACGTTATGTAAACATATTTGGTCCAATTTAAAGCGTAATGATATTGTTACGCAGTTAGCTATTGGTTGTTAATCGGACTATTGACCAGTTATAATTTGGAACAGAAATTTACTTCCATTAACGAAACCCTGCGAGGAGTATGCCGCATGTCTAGTGTATAGATCTAGAAAGAATTAAAACTAGCTCAATATAAATGTATGTTGTAATATAAGTTACGTTGTTTTTCGAATTAAAACATTCTTTGAGTTTTGTAGCTATGTAGTTATTCAGGGAACTTTCTTGTGGTCAATGTAATATGAAGTTGTGGGTATGGGGAGGGGGGGGGGGGGCGGTAATAAAATAAAGTTTTAATAAATAATTACTTTGTTTTTAATTGATTCTAGATATTCCATCATACTATAAAACGTTCTTGGTGCCAGATCGCAATGTCTATAGTCACCCCAATATCCAGCCCCTTTATGACCAGCTTCTACAATAATAACATTAATACATTTATTATAATATGAAATGAAATGGAATAGAGTTTAACGTCCTACTGTTTATTATAATAACCAACAAAAGTATATTAATACTTATATCGCAATATCCAGTCCCATTATGACCAGACTCTACACTATTACATTATAAGGCTACAATAACCAGCCCCTTTGAACTCACGACCAGATTGAACTCACGACTTTGTATATATGACAGACCTTGCGATCTACAACCTGTGTGTCGAACCCCTTTGACACCCAAATCCCAGTCAACAGGACTAATACAAAACTATTTCTGTTGTATATAAAAGGTAAGGAAATGTCTACTATACCTGGTGGTCCATCATTAACTCTACAACATAACGGTTCGTGACAATCAGCGCTACTATTATATTTATACTCTAAATCTAGATGCATATCTGTTAGTTGTAGAATACGAATGGTAGGCAAACCTGGCTAAAATAATCATACAATCATAATAAATTAACATATTTACAATGGAATGGGGTTTAACGTCTGGTCAACATTTTCCCTGTGTTATAGTGAGACGCAATCTGATTAAAACACAGATCATATTTCGTTTCGGTTTTTAAAGTTCAAAATTTCGTTTTACTTGTCTTTACTACACTAGTCGAGGCCATCAGAAGAATAAAAAAACGAAACGAAATATAGATCTGTATTTTAATATCGTAAATTAATATTTTTTTCTACAATTGATATTAATGCCGACGTGAAGTATTCTCGGGGTTAATACCTAAATAATATAAACCCATATTTTGGTTAATTAATTAAGTACATTTGAAGCCCGACTTCTTCCATCATTGGAATCCCCAGTGGTCGCATTCCGTTCTACTCCACTATACCCCGGTGATCACTTATGTGTATTCCCGTATTCAAATTATCTGCGCTTGATCGTAGCTTGATTCTACGAACCAATCAAAAACAGTTTACAAACCAGTCTTAGCCTCATTTTTTACGTTCACAACAATATGGCGGCTTGTTCGTTCGATTATGAGAAAGTTGCACGAAATTTAATATAGAAGAAGTGACATGCACAAAAACATGGTGAAAAGGTTTTTTGTTGTCAGTTCTTGTGTCTTCAACGATTTTTTTTTGATTGGTCGATAACAATAGCACAATTATCGAGGGCAGATAATTTGAATACGTGTCCCCCCATGGATGAGAGAGAGAGAGAAATTGGGTTTAACGTCCATTAGACACAAACTAGTTCATTTCGGGACTAACATATGGTTTAATTTTATTTCAATAATTCGCTTGCGCGTAGGGGTCTTTAGCAGTGGGAGGAAACCGGAGGACCCGGAGAAAACCCACGAGGTTGGATAAGCAACCCTACTCCTTGTCACATACAACCGGGGATTCGAAACCACGCCAGTTGACTCAGTGACAGGCCTTATGATGCCTCCTAATGGATGAACACAGGGGTTAGTGTAATAGAACGGAATGGGACCACTCCTCTAATTACACCAACCAATTACACCAATTAAATGATTATAAATATCAACGCACAAACAAAGAGAAAAGGTGGTTTTTTTATCTAAGGTATAAGATAGGCTACAATGACAATCTATATATAATCAAGCAGTCATTGAATCGACATAACTCATCATGATAAAATTAATGATTGATTATGAATGTGATTGAAGGTGAAAATGCAGGTACCTAATTGACCGATTTAACTTTGAAGAGAATCTCACTGTATTGGCCATAGAAAACGTCTGGGCTACTGAAACATTGCTCTCGGTAGGAATTCTGAAACATTTCTCACGGTAGGAATTCTGAATATTAATCTCTCGGTTAACTTTGCCGTGTCATAATAAATATTTAAATTTTGTGTCAAAGCCTGATATCTAATCTTTCAATCAGTATAAAAGATAAGTTATTGATTTACACTTGTTGAGTCAGAAGATCGAACTGACCGATTTTATTTTACATCAGCCACAGGTGACTGTAAGCTACTAGAACAAAGCGTTCAGCTTTGTCAGCAAGGCTAAATTGGTGTAAAATGTTAAAGGGGCATTATGGAAGATTATATAAAGAGTTGACAGTTCTCACTATAATAGTTAAGAACTAGATAAGGTAAAGGCAATATGCTGAAAATTTCAGTTAAATTCCTCCACTCTGAACGGAGATATTAGAGTTTGAATTTTAGGCCTGGCCTCGATTATCATTACTAAAGTCGGTACGATATAAAAAAACATAGTCTCGATTATCCAGTTTTGGATTAAATCATCAATGAGCGTTGGGCAGCAAATCGGATTCAAATCTTGTGAAAATCCGACACACAAGATGGCATCGAGAGTTGATTAGGGTCTTTTCATGTTAATAAATGTCTAATTGATAGTTTATATAGTTTATATAACATTTCATAATGCATGTTTAATATGATATCTGATATTTCAAGAAAACAAACTTGAAGATGCATTATGTAAGATATTGATAAAGCGCTGACCGTTCTTGCTATAATAGATCCAATTAAAATAATTCAAAATTAATGTATTGAAAATTTCATTCAAAATACTTTATTCTGAGTGAAGTTATCACTGTCTGGAGTTTTAACAAAAAGTGACATAGATTATTGTTTATTACCGTAGCGAAGTTACTTGTTAATCAGGACTCAGCCTCGCTTCTCCTCTTTTAAATTAAATCATTAAATGGCGATCGTATTTCAATACATTTAAATCTCCGCCATCAGCTGGCTTAAAGAGTTGGTTATACAGACTTGTCATATTATATGAATAAATGTCTAAACAATAATTTATATAACATAGCAAATAAAAACCTACAAAAGACAGATTTAGCTGCTACATAATGCATCTTTAATGGTAATGTTTTGACTGGATATGGAATGGTAGAATTGGATATTAAAGCTTCAATAACGTAGATGAGTCTTATAGGTGACATTAAGAGCTTATTGACATTTTGTCTCTTTTGAACATAGAATTCTCTGTATACAGTACTTTTAATTTTCGCCAGCGACGCTTTGCCTCCGTCCTCTTTGAGTCTTTGTCAGTCTGATCAATTCAGATATAGTTTAAGAGATTTCATTATTATGCTTCCAGTGCGGATATGGGCATGTTTATCTAAAAGAAGTGACAGGGTGCAAATGAAATATCTAAATCACGGATGTGGACAATAAAGGTTTCAACAATGTCAAATTCTTTGCTTGATAAAGACGAGAGAATCCTCGTCGAAACGTCGCTGAAATAAACCCTTTAAGTAACTTGTATTCCATATAATTGTGTCATGTGTTAATCTCATCCAGATCTCATCGTCAAATATTTTATGGCGAAATTATTTCAGAGAAAATATTTACCGATTGTGTAAGATGATATAGAGACATGTCATATATTGCAAAAAAAATAAATAAACAGAGAATAAAGTAAAAAAAAAAATAATTGGTAGCCTTCAAATATCTATATCATGGATGTGGATAAGATGTTTGTGGATAAGTGTGTAATGAAATATATGTAGATGTAATGAAATGTATTCATGTGGATAATAGTGGAATGAAATATTTGTTTGTGGATAAGGGTGTAATGAAATATATGTATGTGGATAAATGTGTAATATATGTATGTGCATAGGGGTGTAATGAAATGCGGATAGGGAAATATATATATATATATATATATATATATATATGTGTGTGTGTGTGTGGGTGTGTGTGTGTGTGTGTGGATAAGGGTGAAATGAAGTATATATTTACCTTAGGAATTACTGGGGGCATGACTGGGGGTTTTGGTACAGAAGATAAAGTGATATTCCACGTTGTATTAGGATTAAATGGGCTACCGCACGTTTCATTTATAATCTGAGCACACACATCATCTGGGCTTAAAACAGTCATCTGTAGCACACCAAATATCGTATCCTATATTACAAATATAAAACATAAGATAAGTCATCTGTATAGCACACCACACGTCCAATCATCTGAAGCACACCACGCGCTCACTCATCTGTAGCACACCACACGCTCAATCATCTACAGCACACCACACGCTCAATCTTCTGTAGCACACCACACGTTCACTCATCTGTAGCACACCACATGTCCAA